CTGCATGGCGAATTGCGGCGCCTAGATAACTGGGCCAACTGTGCCCCATAAATTTGAAGAAAAAAACCCATGACATCGGTTTAATAAATGGATACTACATTCATCATGTTCATTGTATATAAGATTGATATACTATTATCAGAACAACTGTGATTGATTTTGTTTTTCTCAACCCTCTAACAATGCAGGTTCAGATGTCAGAAGAGCACATGACATTGGCCATTGTATCAAGATGTATCACAGCACACCTAAAAATGTCATGTCTGTCTAACAGCTGCGATAGCTCAGGTAGAAAGAGAGCCCGACAGAAATTAATGATGACTTTTGTATCATACAAGAACAATATTGAAAAACTTTCAGATTTGCAAAGTTATGAGCTGATGAGTATTTCCAGGTAACACACACATTTATCTCCTAAGATGGTCAAAAGACAAAGTTTTGAGGCTGCAACTAATCCAAGACCAGCTCAGATCAACTTGTATACTAAATCTGAAAACCAATACTCTGACCAGATGTAACAGCTTGAGACACAGACTGATGTTTTTTTCACACCCGTTTGCTTGCCATTCAACATGACTCCCAGCAATACTCCAGTGGTCTGTAAATAATCGTGTCAGGACAAAACAACCAAGTGTTTGACAGCATGAGCATCGATCTATGGGATACAATGATATGCATCAACCAAGTCAGGGAGCCTGACCACCTCATCCCGTTAGTCACTGCTTATGACAAGCATAGGTTGCTGAAAATCAACTCAGCCTATTATAAACCTGGATCTTCATGGTTTTTTTCCTGAGAACATGTCATCGGAATATGTCACAGAGTCCACGACATGACAACCCGTGAAGATTCCGGGGTAGAATAGGACTTCAGCAACCCATGCTTGTCGTAAAAGGTGACTAACGGGATCGGTTGGTCAGGCTCGCTGCTTTGGTTAATGCATGTCATTGGTCCCAATTGTGAAGATCGATGCTCATGATTTCAATTACTAGATCGTCTGGTCCAGACTTGATTATTTACAGACTTCCGTCATATAGCTGGAATATTGCTGAGTGTGGCGTTAAACAACAACTAACCAGCCAACCATGACATGACAATGTGTTTATTCTGTCTATCTGGATGCATCGCTTCAGTACTTTAAGAGACGTAACACAGCATAAAAGTGAGTGAGTGAGTTTGGTTTTACGCTGCTTTTAGCAATACACATCCAGCAATATCACGGCGGGGGACACCAGAAATGGGCTTCACACATTGTACCCATATTGGGATTCGAACCCAGGTCTTTGGCGTGACAAGCGAACGCTTTAACCACAAGGCTACCCGACCGCCCCCACAGCATGAGAGCATAAAAGACAAGGGATCCATGCCATACCTCTATAATTCAAGGATGAGTAACTACAGTAACATTTCCTTGTCGACTACCAAAATTTAACATGAGGTAAATAGCAACACTGAAGAAAATTTTTGTGGATCAGTTACAATATATTTTAATGTTTAACTCTGGGCACATGTTCATCCAGAGCAACATTTGTTTGACAGATCTTCTTGGCCAGGAGGCAATTAGTCTCCATGGTCTGGTGCTTAATTTCACTGTAGGTCTAGTCAATCTAATTAGAGCCTTGAACGAATTTGGGACATTGTCTCCATGTAATGAGGGTTATTGTTTACTGTTAGATTGGTGTACCCCATAAAGCTGGGTTTAGTAGACACGTTATGTGTTATCTTATTGACCAGATTCAAACTTGCTAGTCTGCTAATGATCACCATCCTCCTCACCATCATCCACTTATTATGGTCAAACAATCTCTCCAAATGAATATTTATTAATTGGCATGTCAGGCATTAATGCTTATTACACCTCCTTTTAAACCATATGCAACCTAATTGCCGTCATAGAAGTATTTCTTTTCAGTTCTACAACAGACAGTTACTCCAGTTTAGTCATCTCTTCCTTCATAAATGGCATACTGTATTCAACATAATAAGCGCCCAGGGTGCTCTCAAAATTAGAAATAGGGGGCTCTTATTAGAATATTATTTTGGTGAAAAAAAAACAGAGTTGAAAGATTGTCAATTTTGTGGTTTATGCTGACAGCATGAAATGTTAATATACGACAGATATATTTTTTAGTGTATTAGGTTCTTCAGATAACCAATGTTATTAGGCAATCTCTGTCTCCGCCAGACGATTGTTCTGCATTTCCTGATAACCCTTACTTGTCTTCTATAGAATTTATTTTTATAAACACATGGTTTAAAACAAGCTCTACAAATGCTCTACACTGAGGATAGTGGTAAGCACAGTCTTAGTCTGAGTATTGTTAATGAGTTTAGCCTTAATATGAGACCAACCTTAATTTACCTCAGGCAATTAGTCTCCATGGCCTGGTGCTTAATTTCACTGCAGGTATAGTCACTGTAATTAGAACCTTGAACGTAATTGGGACATTGTCTCCATATAATTAGGGTTATTGGTTACTGTTAGATTGATGTTAGTCTGTCTTACAGACCCTGATACAAATATATATCAAATGCAGCCCATGCAAGTCTATAATGTTTGGCAAGTCTAGATCACTGCAGTATCTGAAAATGAAGAGTCACTGGGCTCCTTTTTATTATATTTTTATTAAGATAACTGAACAACTGTTTTTTTAATGTACGATATGTTCATTTCAGAGACTAGATTTTAGTCTAGATTGATGTACCCCATAAAAGTTGATTTAGTAGACATGTAATATGTTATTTTATTGACTAGATTCAAACTTGCAGGCACCATGTGCACAAGCCTCCATTCACAAACAGTCCCTACTACATGTACATATAGAACATAATATTGTTAAGTCCCCACCTGACTTTAAACAGCAAAGTAGTAATATTGGTACAACTATTGAAACTACAATGATATTGGTCTCTGCCAGTGTACCTTCACTTATAAAAGACACCCTGAATTTGTACTATTGCCGTTTTGACATGACTTGTAGTTTTTATTAGGGCTGGGACGAGTCCAAATTTACTACCCGTGAACCCACCCCCCTATTACCCGACCCTACCCAGGTAGCCGCTGTAGGTCTCAAGAGATAGGTACAGAGTGTCCGATTGGGAAACGTTTGACCGTACTACTGTCAAAATGTATTTAGATACAGGTATAAGATGATCTGGTCATGCATACACTGAAGTTGACTGAAGTTTTATCTTTATGCAAACACATAAAGTGAGAAGGAAGGTGTGCATAGCAGCGGTAGAAAGTAACTGTTTTAGTCCACTAGTTCTTATAATGATAACATATACTATAGCAAAACCCTTAAAAATGGAAAAATTCTACTAGTCCCTATGATATCTTTACTACTGGGCAGTTTGGCAAAGACTATAGGACAACAATGCATAGTAGGAAAGAAATGTGAAAATTTGTCACTTATAGTGTAACCATAGAGTTCTAGATAATTTTTGCCATAATACTCGGACCCCATGGTACCGCGGCATTCATCGTATCGAGGCATTTGTGATTTCCGGTAGTTCACGCGGGACACGTCTCTTAGCAGCTGTCTATTAATGCAAATTAGTAGCCAGGAAGTGCACACTTCGTAAACAATTTCAATTTCCTCGGAATGTTCCGTCTGCTGTAAGTAAGGAGTTAATAATGCGTTGATACATATTTCTGGCATCTTTTGTAATATTGCCTTACCCCCATCTATCAATGGCCAACAATAACCCGCAGTTCCCCAAGTAAACTTTTTCTATCGACCTGAACTAGATCATCTGCATATTCATGGCGACTAATAAGGTAACGGAAGTTACGTAGTCCGCACATTTTTTGCCCTTCTGTGCCCAGAATCTATTGGGAGATCATACGGGCCATACTGCCAAACTTAGAAATACGTTCTTCACTAGTAGCCAAAAGATAAATACATACTTTGGGCATACTAGGAGTGTTTTTTATATATTTATTGTTAACGTTTAACATTTTTCCATTATGTGACAAATTATTGTCATCCAATTTTTTTTTATAAACGATCTTAGAATATCATTTGTGATATTTTGTTTTTGATTTTTTAAATATTTTTCTCTTACTTTTCTGTAAACATGCATTGAATACCTATTACAGTTAACACATTTAGAATTTTACTTGTGCTGTCTTTGCACTTGTCTGGATAAATCACTGATATCTGGCATGATCATACTAAGTGGTTGGTAGAATTATGTCCTCTTTTTGTCTAATTCGGACCTCCATACACAACTTTTCTCTGTACCGCAATCGATGGAGTTATCTCCCTTGTCAAACTGAGCACGAGGCCCGGGTTTTACTCGGAGCTACTGATGTATGTAATGAACTTTTATCCGTAAAATATGCATTGTTAGATAAAATAAATGAGATCTGATATAGAGAACACGAATAATCATAACGGTTAGTGAGTGCATTTTTTTCCGTTCAGCGTACATGACAAGTACCCCGATACCCCGAGGTTGCAGGCTAAACAATATAATCACGTGACTAAACGGGGGTTCAGGTAGTCCTGTGGGTACCCGGGTCCTACTCACCTCCTCACCGGACCAGAGTATACCCGAGTTACCAGTCCCAGTCCTAATTTTAATCTAAAATTAATTGTGGCAATGTCCAACTAACCTATTTTCAATTAAATGTGGACTTTTTGGATGCTGCCTATTTATGGAACTGGCCATTCACACAGCATTGATTCAATGAATTCCTGGAAACATGCACTCACACATTCAATAAAAGCTATCCTTTTTTCATTTGAAGACAGCAAATAACACCACAGTGAAGTGGGGAGCTGACATAAACATATATAACGAATTCATTCAATTTTTATCAGTGATAAATTGAATGGAGTGATATTTTAGCCATGGAAGCAACTTGCAAGTGTTACATAAATAAAGAAAAAAAGAATTATATTTTGGTCTCCGCGTCACACTACAATTGGAAATTCCACGATCATTGAAAATACAATACCAAATATGACATCAAAAAGACAACAAGATCTTACCTCATTATTTGACGATTTCTGAACTTTTCGAACACAGTACTTTTCTAAGATTGTAAACGCATGTTTGGAGTGTTTATGGGTTTCCCGGCTATGCATAGCTTCTGTAACATCATGACCCGAGTGCTCCTCAAAAACATCGACACCTCCTGGGTGTTTAGAGACAAAGTCCGTGACATCATAAACGTTTCCCGAATAGGTTATACACGTCCGACCTTGTTTAGCCCGCTGACGAACCACATCTTCCGTTGGAGAAGACATTTTCAGAAGTAAACACACACAGGTACATGAATGTGTACACCACTACCAATATAAGGTCAAGGTCGGATTTAGAGACTACTTTCCCAACCACGCTCTGCGTTGGAATTGGGGATGATGGGGTCGTGGTAAAACCGCACCGCATCAAGATTGGTGTGGCGAAAACGGCACCATAAGCATTGCATAGTTTACATTAGGGAGACAGGGGAAAATAAAGAATATTTAACATCGACCATGTATCAATTTTTTACACACAAACAATATTCTCAGATTATTAAAGAAAACCACATTTTTTATGAATGTTAAATTCACTTCACATTCTCACAATGCACTTTTCACATAAACAGACCATATTCTTTTTTCTTTCTATTTTTTTTCAAATAATTATATATGTTTCATCGCTCACCAGCACATTCTCACATACAAACCATTACTATCAGAATTTCCGAAGTCATTTTATTCAGGTTGACATTGATTGATTTTTGTTGTCTTTGTATTGTTTTATATTTGATTGTGTGTGTTTATATATAATTTAAATCTAAATAACATGAGCGTAAAATAATTTGAGTGGGGGAAGTGTGATTACAACAAGCATTGTTTGAAATAACCAGTAACTGCTGCCTGTTATACGTTTTGGAAACACCCTTCGCTCGGTTTCACGAAACCACCTGCCGTTTACGGTTGGTGCTGTTTTGATGCGGTGCCGTTTGATAGTTTTTTTTAACCGGTACGATCACATTCAAACGTGCGTTGTTACATTTGTCCATTTTCAATGCTCGTAATATGCACAACGTCATTTGTTTTCTTCGTGTATTTGCACAAAATATATAAAATAGCCTGTATCAAAATATTTCAAACAAACACTGATTTCAAAACAAGCTTTGATAATTGCGACATATCGACGTCCCCAAGAGGCCTACTTTGACCGAGATCTGATCGCACGTACTTTTCGAATCATACAAACAAAACAAGAAATAACCTAAATGTAGCAACTCTTGAACACCACATCGACCAGTGAAGGACATGACGCGTGTGCACTGACCTATTTAGTTTCTTGATCGTTTTAGCGTACCCGTAAGATGACCGTTTGATTTCCGCAGAATGTTTTTTTAAAATATAAGAAAAGTGAATTAAAGCAAATTAGATCTATAAAAGTTTAATTGCCATGATTATTAATCATACATTTTTCTCTCGAGTTACTTAAGTATTACATTTACTGAATCCACAACATATTCATTAATTATTTCTAAATTTAATTGTTTGTCAGAGATAAGAACTAATTGTCAGTTTTGATTTTTTATGACAACATATATTAAAGTTAGATAAAGTAAATATGTTTCCTAAAAATAAAGTTTATTGTACTAAGAACAATGGCCCACATACAGTAATATTATCCGATACGTAGAGGGATAGCTACGGTGGCCCATACCCGCCACTGGTGAGATCATTTTTCACTGTATGCCTCTATATTTTATCTCACAGTGGAAGTATCTGGCGGCCGCCAGATAAAATATAGAGGCATACAGTGAAAAATGATCTCACCAGTGGCGGGTATGGGCGACCGTAGATAGCTGATATGAAGTGACAAAGTCTTAATACAAAAAACGTATAATAAATGTCATGTGGCGAATAGGCTCAAAGTATACATATATGCACTGCAATCATTGTATACCGTACGTACCGTACATATGTGTGTGTGTGTGTGTGTGTGTGTGTGTGTGTGTGTGTGTGTGTGTGTGTGTGACAAGATAGACACATTTTTTTATGGATAACAGCTTCTTTAATACTGGGAAAAGCGACGTTTCGGTATAGATCTTTATACCCTTTGTTGTCAACACCTACCAATTAATGTTATCCCACTCAGGTATGCAATTGTTGTTACTGTTAATCCTCCACCTACTATATATACTCTGTACTATGTCTCTCATTCAGAAACTAGAAAACTTCAAGGCCTTAGGCGTATTCTTAATAAAAACGGAACTAATAAAACGCATCTAAAAACACAATAACCTACCAAATCAAAATCACATAAACAAACAAACATCCACCATACCCAGCTCCCTTAGTTCTCCTCCCCAATCCCATCGGCATCTATTCCAAATCTCAAAATTCCCAAATTCTATATAAGCAACCCCTAAAACCCCCCTCTTGGGTTGCACAGACCACCTTCGCCCCTTTCGGAAACACATTAAATGGCCTGGCCGGGCCCGTGTGCGAAATACGCATCAGTCGGAAAGCGCACGTTAAATCTCCAAAGTAAGTAAGTAAGTAAGTACTCTCATTCAGTCTTGCTTGACAACGGTATTAGGATCTATACCGAAACGTCGCTTTTCCCAGTATAAAAGAAGTTGTTATCCATAATTTTGTGTGTGTCTATCTTGTCATGTGTGTGTGTGTGTGTGTGTGTGTGTGTGTGTGTGTGTGTGGACCTTGATATGGGTGATTTATCAAGGCAGTTTTTACTTGCATAAACTGTTTGCACTCTTTTAATAGACATTACAGATCGTACTGCTAAGATATTGTTTCAAGGTAATTTGTGTGTGTGTGTGTGAACCCGGGGCATTGGCATAAAGAATATCATGACAGTTCATTGGATAATGATATTATAACGGATATGGGATAATCTGCATGACCTGGGCGAATTAAAGTTGGGTGGGTGGGTCGACAGAATGCAAGTCCACCTGGTGACTCTCTGCGCACCCCTTAATCGTACCCATAATGCCCGTCGGCCTCGTGGCACGCTCCCAACAAGGGATTTGTTATATTAACCAGAGACCATATACCGGTATATGGTCTCTGTATTAACCAACACAATCGCGATCAGCCCGAAAAAAACCCACCCCAAACCACTAACTTACAGCTAATAATTTCTGTACTGTACTGTGGAACTACACGAACTAATTTATATAATTTACTGTGTCACTCGTTTATTTCTAACCAGAGGCCATATACGTTATATGGTCTCTGTTCTAACTAACCAGCCAGCCAACCAACTATTAGAGTAGTACAAGACTGGTTCCTTGATTGAAAGCAATAATCCCCTGATCCACGTACTTCTTATATAATATCTAAGTATAGACCATGACATGACCTCTAACGCTGTATTGATTGCCAACGTATCCTCTAACAAACACTTGAGGGTAGATCAAATCCCTGTGCGGTGACTTGTTAGCAATGTTTGTTGGTGAAAGTACAATAGTTCAAGTTACCATCATGGCAACCAAATGCATATCTATACATTATCTTTCCCATTTAACTTCTTTGGGAGGCATTTAGAAGTTGGGGTGCCAAGTAAGGATGAGATATATCGATGAACAACTTCTTTATTACAAGTAGGAGCGACGTTTCGGTGTTGGTTCTAACACTGTTATCAAGCAAGTGATGTACAGAGTATGGTTGACAAGTATATATACCAGTGTTTATACAGTATAAACACTGCCTCCTATCAGGTATATATATACGTCGCTCCTAATTGTAAAAAAGACGATGTTCATCCATATATCTTATCCTTACTTATTTTCCCATTTAGTAGTGTCACGCAATATGTCACGTTCACACCCACGCAACCTGCCGTGTACGGAAGAAAGCGGAACTTGCCGATGAAATGAGAATAGTTACCCGAATAGTTACGACTCTAGCCGAACACATTCGACCTCAGCAAATAACTTCCGGGTCAGAAACCAACGTGTTTCAGATGACAGTAAACACGATGGAAGCGCCTCCAAAGACTTACGAAAATCAAGCCAGGGCATTGAATAACTTGGGTGAAAACCTGTTAAAGACCCAACCTGAGTATTCAAGATACTGCATGTATGTCCTTGTTTTGTCTCGGCCTCGTCTGCGAGTTTCCCCGAGTTGGTTTGTTATTGTTATTAGCTACATGACCCTGTGGCTGGTGATATCTGTTGGCCTAATCACAGGAATTCGTAGCTGTACATAAACACGATAAGATAGCTTTGATTCAGACGATCAATACGGCGCAATTTTGTTTTTCTACCATACACCTACCTATTGATGCAAGTCTGTAAAAGGCGTCTATGCGACTAACGGGATCGGGTGGTCAGGCTCGCAGATTTTGTTTGATGCCCGTCGTCGTATCCCAATTTCGTGGATTGATGTTCATGATGTCAATCACTGGATTGTCTGGTCCAGAATCGATTATTAACAGACGCCGTCAGAAAGCGGGAATATTGCTGAGTGCGACGTTAGATGATAAACAAACAAACAAGTACCTATATGCTGTCATAAAGCGCACATATGTATACTCGGACCCCATGGTACCGCGGCATTCATCGTATCGCGGCATTTGTGATTTCCGATAGTTCACGCGGGACACGCCTCTTAGCGGCTGTCTATTAATGCAAATCGGTAACCAGGAAGTGCGCACTTCGTAAACAATTTCAATTTCCTCGGAATGTTCTGTCTGCTGTAAGTAAGGAGTTATTAATCCGTTGATACATATTAATTTCTGGCATCTGTTGTAATATTGCCTTACCCCCATCTATCAATGGCCAACGATATAACCCGCAGTTCCCCAAGTAAACTTTCTCTATCGACCTGAACTAGCTCATCTGCATATTCATGGAGACTAATGAGGTAACGGTAGTTACGTAGTCCGCACATTTTTTCCCGCTCTGTGCCCAGAATCTATTGGGAGATCATAAGGGCCATAATGCCAAACTTAGAAATACGTTCTTCACTAGTAACCAAAAGATAAATACATACTTTGGGCATACTAGGAGTGCTTTTTATATATTTATTGTTGACTTTTAACTTTTTTCTATTTTGTGACAAATTATTGTCATCCAATTTTTTTTAAACAATCTTAAAATATCATTTCTGATATTTTGTTGTTGACTTATAAAAATATTTTTCTTTTACTTTTCGGTAAAAATGAATTGAATACCAATTGCTGATAACACATTTAGAATTTTACTTGTGCTGTCTTTGCACTTGTCTGGACAAATCACTGATGTCTGGCATGATCATACCAAGTGGTTGGTAGAATTATGTCCTCTTTTTGTCCAATTCGGACCTCCATACACAACTTTTCTCTGTACCGCGATACGATGGAGTTCTCTCCCTTGTCGAACAGAGCGCGAGGCCCGGGTTTTACTCGGAACGACTAATGTAAATAATGAACTTTTATCAGTAAAATATGCATTGTTTGATAACATGAATGATATCTGATCTAGAGAACACGAATAATCATAAAGGTTAATGAGTGCATTTTGTTCCATTTAGCGTACATGACAAGTACCGCGATACCCCGAGGTTGCAGGCTAACCCTGAAGATAAAACAAACTGTAATTTGCATGTGGTAGGCTACCTTCAGGAATCAGGAATGTTAGTTTGTTTGTTGTTTAACGCCGCGCTCAGCAATATTCCAGCAATATGATGACAGTCTGTAAATAATCGAGTCTGGACCAGACAATCCAGGAATGAGAATATAGCACATATTTATGTAATATAAAATTAGAAAACAAATATAGAGGGCTCATTAGAATAAAATTTTGGTTAAAAAACAGAGTTGAAAGATCGTAAATTTCCTGGTTTATGCTGACAGCCTGAAATGATAGAAAAGAAAAATCTGTGAGTATTATATACGACAGATATATTTTTCCTGAATTTAATATCCCATAATTAAGGATGCATACAACACACAAGTGTGTATCAAACACTAACAAATAAGTCTTGTGTACATTGATCAATCGGAAGGGGTGCTAATTGGGATTGTTCACTAGCCAATATGTTAGCAAATATCGCCGTGGGTGCTTATTAGAGCGGGGTGCATATTACGTTGAATACAGTATTATGAAAACAAAGCCAGTAAAATGTTTCAACAACAATGACTTTGTTATGAAACGTTTGTTATTGTTTTCAAGGAACATGTGTTATTAGGTTGACACAATCATTTAGTGGTATACATGATACAGTCAACATTGATATATCTACAGTTGCAAAGTTATTAATATTTTTTCATAATAAATCTTTTCAAAGTAATGACTATATTATTGTAATATTATTTTATAATGAAGTATATCTTTTGAGACATGCAAAAAATTATTGAAATTTGAACCCACAATGTGAGTGAGTGTGTTTATTATTCTAAACCATGAACCATATTAATGGTAATATGTATACACTTGTAGCTTGCCACGTCAATTATACTCCATGTCCATAAGTGCTAATATCTCTACTACACAGAAACTGGGTTAAAGTTTCCCATATGGTGATATGCTGTAGGCTGGGCCCCACCCCTTGTCGACAGACAGACCCACTTTACGGAAATGGGTCCACGTATCACCGCATGTACCAATTCTTGTGCTGTAATCTTCATATGAATAGGGGGCATGGGTGGCCCAGTCGTCTAAGGCGCCGCGATTCGCTGTGCAGAGTTGCATCCCTTGGGCACGCCAGAAACCTATGATTGTGGGTTCGAATCCCGGTTTGCCCCGATTATGTTTCTAGGTTTGTCAGCACCATACCCGTGCTCGTGGGTTTCACCGAAGTGGTAAACGTCTGAGACCTGCATCACTTCAGGTTTTCCTCCCACATTAATCTGACACGCTGCGATATAACTGGAATACTGTTAAAAGCGGCATTAAACCAAACTCATTCACTCACTCATATGAATACCCCCTATTAGTTATATAGAGCAAAGACGTCTATATACGTCTTTGTGTGGAGCAATGTATCCGTGTGTGGATGTCGGCTGTACCATATAGTGTATGTACCAACAAGGTTGAACTTTTGCACTACAGTTGCACCTTGAACGATGATAACACATGATCTATAACTAGATATTCTGGAATTCCTCGTACATCTATTGTTATTGTGTTACTTTTCTGCAGAAGTGTGGTAGACTAGTGGTTGAAGTGTTTGCTTTCCGAAGCTCCAGGTTATCTGTATCACAGTGAAGAAGAGAGAACACATATTTTTTCATTGTGACTGTTGCCATAAATATGCCATACATTTTGTACAAAGGGCCTGTGGCCTGTACTGTACTGAATAAAGAATTCAAGACTCCCCACATGGGCACAATGAGTGCAGCCTATTTCTGTAAACCTCCTCCGTGGTCTAGTGGTAGAGCGTCCGCCCGGAGAGCGGAAGGTCCGTGGTTCGATCCCAAGCCGCGTCATACCAAAAGACGTTAAAAGATGGTACTTGTTGTTACCCTGTCTGGCGCTCGGCATTAAGGGGCTAAAACAAGTACTGGTCGGCTCAGAGTCAGTATACTGTGTCTGAGTGGGGTATTCATGTTAAACTGCGGCATGGTATCTCAGTGAGCTAGCGCTATAAATCGGCATCAGTCCGGACTAGTACAAGCAGCCACACACACATGCACGTCGCTATATAAGTGCAATAATCTTGGACGCGACGTTAAACCCCATTTCACCTCACCTCACCTCACCTATTTCTGTATCTACTCACTCACTCCGCTTTCTGTAGTCTACGTATATCTGTACTAATGGCATGTCAACTGCAGATGAAAATCTATTCTTATTACTGTTTCAGATTCAGAGCCAAGACTTTTAAAATGTCCAAAGGTAGGAACAATAACTTAGCTACCAATTTTGTCAAATTTGTTATTAAGATTTTATGCATGGGAACCAAAACTATTTTAGGCCATTTAGCTGAAATATTGCTAAGTGCAACAACAGTTAAACAACAAACAAACAAAACCAAAGTAAAATACATTTATTTTTTAAACATTGAAATAGTGCAGCCAATGGGAGGACATTGAGTGCTGTGGATCTCAAATTGAATTGTGAAAAAGGAACATTGACTCAATGAACATCCGGCCTAGAATTGGTCTTCAGCAACCTGTGCTTGCCGTATGGTTGTTGTAAGAGGCGACTAATGGGATCAGGTGGTCAGACTCACTGACTTGGTTGATTCATGTCATCGTATCCCAATTGCGTTGATCGATGCTCATGATATCAATCACTGGATTGTCTGGTCCAGACTCCATTATTTTCATATTGCTGAGTGTGGAGTTAACCAACAAACAAACATACACACAATATGCCCATAAATGGTATGTAATCACAGACTACATTCACACTGACGATCATCTTCCTGAGGCAAGGGAGTTACGGTAACTGATTACAAAAGTCAAGTTTCCACTCTTGCTGAACTTGGCTGGAATTAGGGAGTTATATTTTGGTTGGATTAACGAGTCTACGCATTGTCCAATCAAAATTATGGAACAAATCGACATTCAGTTCATAAACAGAATGTTCACTGCCGTGATTATTTCGGTCGATTTTAGGATTTGCGGAGCCTGTGTATCGTCAAATGGGCCTTGACTCATATTTTAAAAATGTTTTCATGTTTTTAATCAAGGTGCTCACATGATTTAATGCATTTCGTGGGGTAAGACCCGTTTTATTACAATATAGATCTTGATTATTGATCAGATTGTCTTGACTGGGCACCACCATTTTGTTTGAATCAAATGCAAGTGACAGAGGTTGAATCTGATTGGTATCTCAGTGGGATGGCACTGGAAAAACGGCATTAGTCTGGATTAAAACAAGCAGAGACACACATATGCATGCACATCAATATATAAGTGCAATACCGTTCATCTTGAACGTAACCCAATTTTACCTAACATGGTAAATCATAGCACCCCCAATAGCAAGAGTACTAATACACAATCAGGGTTTCATAAGGACTTAGGAAAGTGGGGGTCAAGGGGACCCCAATAATTACTTTTAAGGGTCCTTATTGGCAGTATGAGGGTCCTGTACAGTAATGAAATGTACTGTATATTTAGATAATTACTTTAGAGCCTGGAATGAATCAATGATAATGTGGACAGTGGTTATGATTGATGGAGGGGGCACGGGTGGCCCAGTCGTCTAAGGCGCCGCAATTCGCTGTGCAGAGTTGCGTCCCTTGGGCACGCCAGAAACCTATGATTGTGGGTTTGAATCCCGGTTCGCCCCGATTATGTTTCTAGGTTTGTCAGCACCATACCCGTGCTCGTGGGTTTCACCAAAGTGGTAAACATCTGAGACCTGCGTCACTTCGGGCTTTCCTCCCACATTAAGCTGACACGCCGTGATATAACTGGAATACTGTTGTGCGTCCCTCGGGAAGCTGTATATTTATGTCTCCCCCAGAATGGAGGGAGACATATTGTTTTTGGCAACGCAAGGAAATCTCATCCACCTCCACCAAGAATTGACCCATGTTCCATGGTCATCAAACCTGAAAAAGAACCTATTCAGCACAAGCCAATTAAAGTTACCCGTCACCAAATTCCACTTAAATTGGCATGGGCGGTGACTGTGCACAAAGTGCAGGGAATGACCACAGACAAGGCTGTTGTTTCATTAGACAGAATATTTAAAGCAGGGATGGCTTATGTTGCGCTAAGTAGAGTGACATCACTCAATGGCTTGTTCCTCATTAAGGACGATTATAAACCAAGTGGAATCTATGCAGACAGCAGGGTAGAAAATGCCATTTCAGAAATGCCGCTTGCTACAAGTTTGCCAAGATGGAATAACCTAGTACCACCAAACATTCCTGATTATGCAAATTCCCTGGTGCTTGTGGGCCACAACACTGAAGGATTTCTCCCTCACTTGAAAGATTTCACAGCAAATAGATTTCTGCCAGCTGCAGACATCATAGCCCTTCAAGAAACATGGCTTCTTCCAAATCAGTCATTTACTAACCCACTGCCTACCCACAATGTTCTGACATGTAGCAGGGGAAATCAGTACAACTCAGCCTCTAGTGTACCAGACTCATTGAAAACAAGAGGAAAGGGTGGAGTAGCTATGTTCATCCATCAGGATCTTTCCTACAAAGTCATTGACACTTCATGTGTAGGACTGGAATGCCTTGGCATCCAGTTGCAGTGTTCATCAATTTCTGTTTTCTCTGTGTACAGACCACCAACCCTTCCCATTCCCTACTTCAGACAAGAGTTGAACAGAATGTTGGACCTATCTCCGACTTACAGTACAGTTCTTCTGGGAGATTTCAACATTGACCTCAATACAAACAAAGCGCAACCTCTTCTGCAAGAACCCTTCACGCAGCTGATTGAAGTGTCCACTACCAGGAAAGAAACTGTTATTGACCATATTTATGTCAAGGATCTTTCACATCAGAGAGCTGGTGTGGTGCCTTGCTATTACAGTTTCCATGACATCACATATGTCATTGTGTAGAAGACCTGCAGAGTCAGATACACGAGCAATTACATCACAGAGACTTTCCTTTGTGCCATATAACATTGCTACATCATTTCTGATATGTTGGGGATATTAATATATTTGTGTCCAAACTCTATTAGTACTTTAAGTGGATTTTCTACAAATACTTCAGTAACAAGAAAACTGTGCTACTTAGATGACTACACTGTCAGGTGGGTAAATGATTGAGGGATTAGTGGTGTTGATTAGACGCTGAAGTGGTGCCCATTAGTTGTTTGAAATTTCTAGGAGTTCTATTTATGTCTCTGTTATTTAGTAATGGAGGGTGGGAATGAAGAGATGGGGTTTAACGTGAAGTAAACGAATGAATGGGGGTTAGGGGAGTGGGGGGAGAAATATGTTTTTACGAGTAAAAACACTTTCTAGTTTATTCTGCGTCTATTCTCTACATTTGTGCATTGCGTAAACCCCTGCACAATATTACAATGCCCTGAAGAACTACAGATATAACTTGGGGAAATACAGAATGTGTTAATATTATCATTAGCATGATTGTGAGTGTCAGTGACTGAGAAGAAGGGAGGTGTATAAGGATTCAAGGGTCAAGTGATACAGGCTGTATCTAATGATCTATATATCTATTTATGAGTCAGTAACAGTTATATCAACATACACGATCATGATATCACACTTGTTGTCTTATTTATTGTCCTGATAGCCAAGATAATCACCATTTTGTTTTGAGATTGACATTTTTATCTCAACCTTAAATGTTTACATATTGAAGGTTACAGAGTTCAAGGAGTAATCTAGGATCAGAATCTGAAAGGAGAGTCTCTAAATTTGGCGGTATATTTATTATTTTGGGTGCGCAATTCGTTGTAGATAGTAGGGATGGTTATTAACATTGGCAAGAAAATAACATTAAAAAATCGCTATTTGACTTCACCCGATATGTCGAGCATGCAAAAATGAAATTGTGATACGATGGAAAGAATGAACCTCAATTTACCGATATACCAATAATACCGCACACCCTTAGTGGATAGGTGTGGAAAAATTCAAAACTCGATTCAGACCTCCCACTACATGGATCTGGTGGTCAGACTTGGTGACTTGATGGATGTCATCATATCCCAGTTGCGTGGATCGATGCTTATGTTATCAATCACTGGGTTGTGTGATCCAGACTCGATTATTGTCCATAGCTGGAATATCGATTCCAGCAGCATTAAAAAAACAAAAAAACAGAAGACAAATCTACCTATGGGTTTGCAACCTTTAGAAAATATTGTTTTTTTTAAAGAATATAGCCCAGCAAAGAGAGTGTTACCAAGGTATTGCAATGCACATGTATCATTTTGAGAAGTAAATTCATAATCGAACAGTAGTGTCAATACAGATTCATTAACATGATTAAGTTGAACCCTGAATGTATAGACGATCAAGGTATTTGAACAAATTTTTACTGTATCTGTTCCCCATGGTTCAAGCAACCTATGTGGCTGTAGGAGGTGACCAAATGGATAGTGTGGTCAGGCTCGCTCACTTGGTTGATGGTAGTAGCGGGACGATACACTGATGCATTGGTGGATCGCGATTTGTTACTTCTCGATACAAGTATCGATCATAATCGCACACTGCGTAAAAAGTGTTGATTCTTACCTTAAATGTATTCTTTAATAAATGTTACACCAAACACTAATTATGAGTAATAAATAAATAATAAATGAGTAGTGGAAACATAAATATTTTCATCCATTGCGCTATACTTGACACTGCCAACTGTAAATCGTTAGTGTGCAAGCCATCCTGTCCATGAAAAAGATGACTTATGTACCACAGATACCAGCACATGCACATATTGTGGTACATATTTGATCGTTAGCAAGGTATTGTGATACATATCGGATCTCACAGTTGGTGTATTGCCCCAGCCCTACTTGATGGCCAGTCATCGTACCCCGACAGCATGGTTCGATGTTCACAATATCAAACACTAGAATGTCTAGTCCCTATTTGATTATTTACAGGCCACTGTCATATAGCTGGAATATTGCAGAGAGTGAATTTAAACAACAAACAAACATTTACGGTATTTGTAATTTGTTAAGGAATCAAGCATCTCCCGATGCTCCTTAAAGGTCAACAACCAAGGACCTAGGACTCCATAACTACCGTATATCGCTGTGTATAAGGCGACCCCACGTATAAGACGACCCCCCTTTACAGGCCTTCGAAATCAACCCAAAATCCTATACTCCGTGTATAAGGCGACCTGGAATGAAACACATCACAAGTGCGTGCACAAACCTTATATGCAATGAAAATATGTTTATCTTGCGTTGTTTTTTTCTACGATGACTGGTCGCGTGTGTAACTCCAGCACATGTCGCCATTTTGTGTTTACACGGTGCGACACCAAATTGGTAAGTGCCCTTGGCAAACAAATTGATGTTCAAATTCGGGATTTTTTAAAGTTCTTGTTTTCCCAAATTCTAAGGTATTTTAACAAGTAATTCCATACAATAATTGTATTACAAAGCATTAAGCCTCTTCATTGGTTCTGTTATTTGTGAAATACAAGTCACCTCTGTCAAGCCATCACATTAGTTACATACCCGTGAAGACCCGGGGTAGAATAGGTCTTCAGCAACCCATGCTTGCCGTAAAAGGCGACTATGCTTGTCATAAAAGGCGACTAACAGGATCGGGTGGTCAGGCTCTCTGACTTGGTTAATGCATGTCATTGATCCCAATTGTGAAGATCGATGCTCATGATGTCAATCACTGGATTGTCTGGTCCAGACTTGATTATTTACAGACCGCCGTCATATAGCTGGAATATTGCTAAGTGCAGCGTTAAACAATAAACTAACAAAACAAAACATTAGTTATATAACATCTTCCCAAGGAAAGGGAGTTAACTGACTATGAACTATGCAGCTATTATGGAGTTATATTTAGTCTGGACTAAGGAGTCGTGAAATGAAATCTACATCCGGTTCGTAAACTGCCATGCAGATTTCGGTCGATTGCAGGATTTGCAAAGCATGTGTACCGACAACTCGGCGTCAACATATATTTTCGATTTTTTTTCATGTTTTTAATCAAGGTGCTCACATGTTTTGATGCACTTCGTAAAGTAAGACCTATTTATTACAATAAAGATTGTATTTATCAATTGGTTAGTCTTGACTGGGCGTCACCATTTTGTTTAAACCAAATGCCAGTGATATGAGTGATATGCCTCGGGAAGATGGTTATGTAACTATATTAGCATGATTTGGGAAATTTTAGAATCCAATTTGGGATTTTTTACTAACATTTGCTGCAGACTTTGGACTGAACATGGGACTCTGAGCAGGTCTAGATAAATCCCTGACACCTGACTGTTTCAGACCCCCCTCTCACCCCACACTGTCAGCTGTGCTGTACAATATTCACCAGCAACAACCGTAAGGTGAGACTGGCTCCCAGGACACCGCTGACAAAGAAGCTGAAGAAGTTGTTGGATCGATATGTGCAACAGTCGATGTCCGCCTCTGCCTCCTCGTCGTTACACCCGACCCTCAGCAAGTGCCAGCTGAAGATGGTGAAGGGGTACCTCAACAGCAGGAATGTCCTGGTATGTAGCGTGTATCCCATGGGATCAGAGTTAATAGGTCCATGTGCATCTCAAACTAGGTCAATAGCGCTTAAGGGACATCTTCTCGGGGTTTTTTTTTCAGTTTGAGGGGCGGTCGGGTAGCCTAGTGGTTAAAGCGTCCGCTCGTCACTCCGAAGGGTTCGATTCCCGACATGGGTACAATGTGTGAAGTCCATTTCTGGTGTCCCCCGCTGTGATTTTGCTGGAATATTGCTAAAAGCGGCCTAAAAACATACTCACTCACAATGTGTATGCCCATTCAGGGGGATATTTAGTGCCTTTGAAAGACGGTGGTGTAAAGCTACACTCGCTTGCTCACTCACTCACTCACTCACTCACTCAAGCACTCACCCACCCAACTCACTCACTCGTTCACTGACTCATTCTCTCAAATATGCAACTACAAGTGTTTTTTTCAAGTTGGTGGAAAGAGTCAATTAAGTTATGCAAACTGCCTGGCATGTAAACCATACATCTTTCTGTTTCTGTGTACAAGCATGTCATGAAGTGCATTCTGTGAGTGTTCTGGGTATATAGGCCCATGAGGCCTTCAGGTGGTACAGTTTGTCAGAGCAATCTTGAGATTGATGAAAGCTGTGTAAAACCCTCCCTGCCGGTTCCCATGTGATGTCAGATGTTCAATCCGTTTGCTTCTATTGCAGACAGTGTCGTGTAACACGTGTGGTAAAACTACAAAGACAAAATGTCAGGGTCGCTCTGACCGTGTCAAACAGCTTTTGTCATGGCGAGAACCAATAGGTAAGTGGAGGATTGGATACAGTGTCTAAGGTGCTGCAATTTGATGTGCAGAGTTATGTCCCTTTGCCAGAATCCTATGGTGAAGAGTTAAAAATAGGTCTTCAGCAACCCATGCTTGCTGTAAAAGGCAACTATTCTTGTCGTAAGAGGCGACTAACGGGATCAGGTGGTCAGGCTCGCTGACTTTGTTGATGCATGTCATCGTATCCCAATTGCGTGGATCGATGCTCATGATGTCAATCACTAGATTGTCTGGTCCAGACTGGATTATTTACAGACTGCGGTGTGGTGATCAATAGCAAACAAAACAGAAACCTATATTTTTTACTTACCGTGCATTACTATGTCTGAGGATGCATTAAGGAGTAATGCCGGATAAGTTTTACAAATGTAAAAAGATTTTAGATTTCACTAAATTATTTACTCATCCTGCATCACTCCTTAATGCATCCTTAGACGTAGTAATGCAGGATAAGTATACAAATGTAAAAAAATATTTAGATTTTACTAAATTATTTACTTATCCTGCATTACTCCTTAATGCACCCTCAGACGTATTAGTGCAGGATAAGTATACAAATGTAAAAAATATTTAGATTTTACTAAGGTTGTGTATCCCTGACTCACCCTGATTATGTTTCTTAACTTGTCAGTACCATAAGTTTGAACGTCTCAGATCAGCATCACTTTGCCCTATTGTGATTTCCCACAACATGCTGACAGGCCATGATGTGAAAAGAATACAAAATAAGTGGCGTCAAACTACTCTCTTTTGAAATGGTCAGGATGCAAAGAAAGCACACTTTGAATTTGAATATTTGCTTTCAAGGGTTAGATGCCATAACCTTTTATGGTGACAGTACTGTGACCAACCAGAATTAACTTGATTTTTTGTCGTTGAAATGTGATATAATTTTGTAGAAATTGAAGAGAAAGAAGAATCTTTTACCAAGAAAAGAAAAAAGAAACCTAAGAAAGCATCAGTGTCGCCTCTCTCAGTGATCTCCCCTGATGAGTTTATTGGTGGCACTACCAACGGATCCAGTCGGCCAATCAGCATAGGGTCTGCCAAAACTAATTTGAAGAAGAAAAATGTTGGTGCACCACTTGGCACAAGGTAGTCTTTAATCCCAGCATTGCCACATTTGTGATTAGGCCAGTCATTTTCTTTTGTTTTACAGACAGCCTCCGTGGTCATATGGTAGAGTGTCCGCCCGGAGAGCGGAAGGTCCGGGGTTCGATCCCCGGCCGCGTCATACCAAAAGACGTTTAAAGATGGTACTTGTTGTTACCCTGTCTGGCACTCGGCATTAAGGGGCTAAAACAAGGACTGGTCGGCTCGGAGTCAGTATGCTGTGTCTGAGTGGGGTATTCATGTTAAAACTGCGGCATGGTATCTCAGTGAGCTAGCACTATAAATCAGCATCAGTCTGACTAGTACAAGCAGACACACACACGTGCATGCATGTCGCTATATAAGTGCAATAATCGTGGACGCGACATTAAACCCCATTTCACCTCAACGCCAAAATAAAGTTGAAAACATTCAAATTTCCAAATAATTATTATTTCCTCTTGCGATTCGTCATTATTCTTTGTCTTTTGAAACTTTCAGACAAATTTTCAACAGGTTTAAATTACAGTATTTAAAATCATTTATTTGTATCAACAGCGATAGTAAATTTTATTTTTTTTTTCACATTTTACTGATTTCTGGTCAGTGGAATAAAAAGAACCATTGCTTTTATTTTATATATTTTTTTCACGAGTCAGCGGATTCGTAAACCAAGTTGGCCTTAGAAATAATACGATTTTTTTCATTACTCTACCATGTAATGTGTTCTTTGTACATATGAATTAAGTCTTTTTTGTAAGCATTCTTGGGTATTTCTATGGCAACTTCAACAGGCGGCCTATTCTCAAAGCTGTCATAGCTATTAAGACAAATCTTGGCGACTTACGAAACAAAATTTGCTTTCTTGTCATTCGTTTGCAAAATGTCTGAAATAATTTGTAAACAAAGTTAGGATGATAGGAGTCCACTGCTTAACCTTGGAAAAGAACAATGTTCAACTCAAAACAACAACTTGTCTAAATGTTGCACAATGCTATATCATTCAACTAATATTGTTTACAATATTATTTCAAACCCTTGTGTGCGATAACTATATTATCCTGGGGCGAGTCAAAATCACAAGGTCAAGTAAAAGGCCATTGGATGCTATGCTGGTTTATTAAATATGGAATTTTTTCTAAAATTTGTCGGAAAGTTTCAAAAGACAAAGAATAAGGGATGAATCGCAAGAGGAAATAATAATTATTTGGAAATTTCATGGTGATGCTGATTTTTATTTAGCATAGAATAAGGTCATTTGTGCATGTCTTTTGAGCATCTAGAATAAAACAAATCTTGACGAAAGTTTGCAAGTTGAAAATCACTTGTTTCATCCTTGATACTCACAACAATGAAATGAAAATAGAACTTTGTAAAATATCCTGTATGTATGTTTCATTGTAATATGTTCAGGATTTCCTTGTGATATCCTTTAAGCTTAATCTATCTCCTGTTAACTGACACTATTTAGGAGCGATGGGGTAGCCTAGTGGTTAAAGCGTTTGCTTGTCACACCAAAGACCGGGGTTCAATTCCCCACATGGGTACAATGTGTGAAGCCAATTTGTGGTGTCCCCACTGTGATATTGTTGGAATATTGCTAAAAGCAGAGTAAAACCATACTCACTCACGCTGTAGGATCTCACATCAAGCAAGAGTGAGTGAGTGAGTGAGTGAGTGAGTGAGTGAGTATGGCTTTACACCGCTTTTAGCAATATTCCAGCAATATCACGGCAGGGGACACCAGAAATGGGCTTCATAACATTGTACCCATGTCGGGAATCGAACCCGGGTCTTCGGCGTGACGAGCGAACGCTTTAACCACTAGGCTACCCAACCGTCCCCCATCAAGCAAGAGGGAAACAGGACAAGAAATAACACTTTGAACAAACATCCTTTTGCTAGATGGGAGAAGGATATCCTGAGCATATTACAATGAAAACATCTGTTCATACAGGATGTCCAACCATTGCGACATGGTTCATGCGATGCTCCCTGAGAGACAAATTTATAATTTGGGAAGGAATGTCATGGGAATCAACCTACCTAGACTGCAAACTGACCTTATATATATTATGCATTTTTTACACAACACTGAAGAATAATCTTTTTCCTTTATCATTCGTAATAAATAATTCATTCATGGATTAAATGATTTTCAAACAGCACGCCATCCATCTATACATAATCGACAAGGTGCTCACTCCATTAGACGTTACATATATTTCATACGTTGTACTCAGAGTCAAAGGGAAACCACTCTCAGCTTCTAAATAAATGCCCTTGATAGAAAAGGTCACGGTGATAGCATGCAAACACACTGCTTGTGTTTCAACTAAAATTAACGAGAAAGTGAGGTCCGACCCTGTCTTAATTTTTGTCATAAACTTTACATAACTTAGTGCTAAGACAGCTTCAAGAATAGACATAGCCAAGATTTATTTCGCTACGACACTTTTATGACATTCTTAGCGCTAAGACAGCTTCCGGAACAAACTTAGCCATCAATCTTAGCACTGAGACAGCTTCAAGAATAGACATAGCCAAGAATTATTTCACTAAGACACTTTTATGTCATTCTTAGCGCTAAGACAGCTTCCGGAACAAACTTAGCCATCAATCTTAGCACTGAGACAGCTTCAAGAATAGACTTAGCCAAGATTGATTTCGCTACGACACCTTTATATCAGTCAATCAGACAGTTTCGTGAATAGACTTAACAGAGCTATGACCTGCGCTAAGACAGCTTCGTTAATTGGCTGCCAGGGCTTTTTTCTGGAAGGAGCCTCCGCATCGCAGAAGATCCTCACATACAGACATAAACATTTTAGAAAAGAAAATTTGTGTGTGCTTCGTCTGACAATTCAGTTTACTTCACCTCCCACCTTACCATTATTTACTCTTTCAACGATAAAAGTATGAATAGTAAACAAAACAAACTTACTTGCTCTACATTTTGTTAACAAGGTTAAATTAATAACATACAGTCACTGGGATCCAGTAAAATTAAGGTAATTTGAATAAAATCCCCTTTGAAAGTTGTTTTAAAATATTTTTAAAATGTTTTCCAGCACACCAATAACAACTCCAGACAGTGGAATAGAAGACGGATCCTTGTCGCAGATTACAAAATCCTCTGATTTGAAGAAAAAGGACTGCCGGCAGGCTCCTAGGACAAACAAATCCTCCCCTGTGTTAGCCTTGCTGGAGTCCATGGGGGTCAAGTCGGGGGGCGTCGCCAAGAAGAAGAAGAAAGGAAGAGACAAGCATCAACAGCTGGAGAAAATGCTCAAGGAACAGAAGTCAGCTAAACCCCCGACACAGCAGAAAAACAGTCTGGCAGATTTCCTCTCACAAATGACATACTGAAGATTTTTGTACTGATTTCCATGCTGCTTATGTTGACATACAAGTGTGACTGTAGAGGTTCAGTTCAGCATTAGATTCAAATTCAGAAAATTGTTTTCACTTGAAATAATGGAGTAACATTTATGAGAACAAATGGATCTCGAGTAATAATTGGGGTATGGGTGGCCCAGTCATCAGAGTACCGTCCCTTGGGCATGCCAGAAACCTTAGATCATGGGTTCGAATTTTGATTTGCTCCAATTATGTTTCTAGGTATGTCAGCACCATACCCATGCTCATGGGTTTCCCCAAAGTGGTAAGCTTCTAAGACCTGCATCACTTTGGGCTTTCCTCCCACATTAAGCTGACACGCCCTGATATATCTGGAATACTGTCAGAAGCTGTGGTAAACCCAACGCACTCACTCGCTCAAGTGGACCCGTGAAGATTCCGGGGTAGAAAAGGTCTTCAGCAACCCATGCTTGCCGTAAAAGGCGACTATGCTTGTCGTAAAAGGCGACTAACGGGATTGGGTAGTCAGGCTCGCTGACTTGGTTGATCCATGTCATCGATCCCAATTGCGTGGATCGATGCTCATGATATTAATCACTGGATTGTTTGGTCCAGACTCGATTATTTACAGACCACCGTCATATAGCTGGAATATTGCTGAGTCAGGCGTTAAACAACAAACTACAAACAAACTACACTCGCTCAAGTGAAATTTTTTAATACTGAGATATTCAGACACTTTGAGACGGATACACACTGCAATTTGAATTATGATAATGTAGATGCACATTTAACTGAAACCCACCATGCTAATTATGCAGTATTATTGTTAAGAGTATTTCATGTTATACTATCTCACATGCTACACACGGGTCTTGTTATTTGGTGTATTAAGTATTTGATTGTTACCACTGTCACTTATTCCGCTCTCTTCATTCTTCTGTTGTGTGGAAAATATTATATATACAGACCGGAAATTGCATGTCTTCATCTGTTGTTTACCAACAGTGAGAAACTGGACAATGGAAGCTGCGTTGGGATCTCCTGTGTGTGTGCTTGTGTGAGAGAGAGCTAACCCAATTACAACCCATGTTTACCATAAAAGGAGGCTGCTTGTCGTAAGAGGTGACTAATGGGATCGGGTGGTCAGGCTCGCTGACTTGGTGGATGTATGTCATCGTATCCCAATTGGTGGATCGATGCTCATGATATCAATCACTGGATTGTCTGGTCCAGACTTGAATATTGTTGAGTGCGGTGTTAAATAACAAACAAACAACAAGCGAGTTAGTGAGAGAGAAGGATTGGACCCTGATGAGGTACCTGCAGAATTATGGGTGTTTTGAAAGCCTTGTGGTTACTCTCATTGTATCCCAGTTGGTGAAAATAAGAGCTGCTAAAATTATTTACTCGTTCATTCAGATGTCTAAAAAGGGATTCAGCGGCATATCATTCATGGATGACATGATGTTCATGTCAGATTTGACCCATGAAAATCTGGGTAAGAATAATTCTTCAGCAACCCATGCTTGCCATAAAAGGCAAGTATGCTTGTCTAAGAGGCGACTAACGGGATCGGGTGGTCAGGCTAGCTGACTTGGTCTTGCATGTCACTGTATCTCAATTGCGTGGATCGATGCTCATGATATCAATCACTGGATTGTCTGGTCTAGACTCGAATATTGCTGAGTGCTGTGTTAAATAACAAACAAAACAACAATAATAATTCATAAATTGTTTGATTAACTTAACGACACTGTGTCCCGAAATAATGTTCCAACATTTGTGCATCTTTCGTGTCACCATTTGCTTTGATGTATTGTGACCTTGATTCACCCAAAAAGCACGCCTGATTACAGATAACTTATCTTTATCATATAATGGACAGGTTTCCCGGCAGAATAAAGCCAACAGATAAAAAGGATATCCGTTGGGTCATATGCGGAATCACCACTGCGCGGGAGTGTGGTTTATTTATAAACACTCCCTACTTGACCTTTAATATTTGTATCTCTATCCGCAAAGGCTCGCTAAACACAATGTTCATTCCTAATACAGGATATATACCATCCCCAAACACACTCGCGTGATAACCCCTATAAATTGTGATTTAAGCAAACAGGTGAGGTGAGGTGAAATGGGGTTTAACGTCGCGTCCAAGATTATTGCACTTATATAGCGACGTACATGTACGTGTGTGTGTTTGTGTGGTTGCTTGTACTAGTCCGGACTGATGCCGATTTATAGTGCTAGCTCACTGAGATACCATGCCGCAGTTTAACATGAATACCCCACTCAGACACAGTATACTGACTCCGAGCCGACCAGTCCTTGTTTTAGCCCCTTCATGTCGAGCGCCAGACAGGATAACAAAAAGTACCATCTTCTAACGTCTTTTGGTATGACGCGGCCGGGCATCGAACCCCGGACCTTCCGCTCTCCGGGCGGACGCTCTACCACTAGACCACGGAGGCGGTCTTTTTAGGCAAACAGACATGATACATGTATTTATTTAACATTGCAGTCACTTGGTCAGTTGCTCATAATATCAATCACTGATTTGTCTGGTCAGGATTACTTATAGTCTGCCAGCAGGTAATTGGAATTCCTCTGAGTCCAGTGTTAAGAGAGAAAAAACCACAGTGTTGACTCATCTTAAATGGTTATATTAGGGGGAAAATGACCTCTGTGCTCATGAAATCGATCCGCACACAGTGAATGCGTGTGTATGTGTGCCGTATCCTGTTCATACAAAGCTCGAGTGTCAAGCGCTGACTCACCAGAAAGTGACCCGAATCCAACTCGATTGCACAACATCTGGGTGTTTTGTGTTTAACCTAGCCTGCCACACAGACCCAGGAACAAATATATCCAATACAGCCCAAGTCTAGAATATTTGGCAAGTCCAGATTACTGCAGTATCAGTATCTGAAAATGAAGAGCCTAAGGGATACTGTTTAATTTTTTTCATAACTATAATAATTTAACAACTGTTTTTATCTGTAAAATACGTTTCAGAGACTAGATGTCAGTCTATGTTTAATCATGCCCCGGCCACACGTCCGAGTACATGCAGTTCTCAGTGCAGAATTCAGCCTATCCTGTGTAGTCATACTTCATAGAGGCAGTTGGGTAGTCTATAGGTCAAAGTGACAGCTTGTCAGGCCGGTGAGTCGAGGTCGATTCCCCACAAGGACACAGTGGTGAAGCCTATTTCTGGTGTGACTCCGGAATGATATGGCAGGGAATACACCCGGGTCGCGTAAAACTTGACTCACTCACTATTTAGGTGCTCATTCTTTTTAATATTACTGAAATATACTCATAAAGTGTACTGACTCACCATGTCAGGAACCATACTCCTCTATTACCCATAACATTTGAAGGGTTAAGTATAATAACTTTTCGACATTCCCACATTCAGCGATTCTCAAAGATGAATGGTTAGTAGAATGACCTCATACTTCTGCACTGAAGATAACAATACGACAGAACGTGAATTCACCCGGGTCTTTGGCGTGACGAGCGAACGCTTTAACCACAAGGCTACCCTACCGCCCCATGCCTGAAGCGAAAGAATGCACACTGCTCATGGTCAAGCAACGAACATGGCGCTTTTCGAAACGAACAGTTTCGATTGACGAGTTAAATGAGAAATTTACAGTGTATAACGAAACATTTCAAGAGAATAACAAACGGCAAGAAGCGATATTAACATTATTTTGCCTTGTCAATGTGCAACTAACGTAAAAAAAGAAGTCAACAGTTTGTGTACGTGCCAGACACTTACGATAAAGGAAGACAACTTGTTGGGAGGTAGCTCTTGTATGACAATAGTTCCGTCAAAGTGTTATGGTCACTGCAATGGAAATATATCTTTTCTCAGCTTCAGAAAACTCAGTCTTTCACACTGAAGTATATAATAAAACACACAAACCACTGTTTGATATTGTGAGCAACGATTCAAGCCATCAGGTTACGGTGACACAATCAGCCAAGTCATCGAGCCTGACAACCCGATCCAGTTAGTCGCCTCTTAAGACCAACATAGATCCCTGGGGACCTTTTCTAACCTAGAATCCCCATTGGGAACCCTTCTTAAAACGACGATGGATACTGACCAGCCAGGCAAAGACATGTATACACTTGAAACCTGGATTTGACCCCCCGCAATATACAAACATCATCAAAACGTTACTAGGCTGAAAACGGTCGCATAAACACTGCAAGCTTAGTATTCAAAACATCTGTGATACCCGTATCAAATACATCATAATCGAATAACCATTTCTTGTTCGTTTCATATTTAGCCACCATCAACCATGGGTGTATACTTTCTTTTGCCCGGCAGGGGGTGTGACGTTTAAAGTCTACACAAACTAACATTGACAGAACTGTGAAGAGAAATAAAATATAACGAGGTGGTACATTAACCATATCCATCAAAAGCAATACTTCTTGGAAACCCTGGAATATTTACTCTTTGCATTGGTTACAACCCATTCTTAATCCGGATTAAGAAAGACACGTGCACGACTGATGACCCGTGAAGATCCGGGAAGGAACAGGTCTTCAGCAACCCATGATTTTCGTAAAAGGCGACTATGCTTGTCGTAACAGCCTTGTCGGGATCGGGTGGTCAGACTCGCTGACGATGTTGTGTGGAACGATGCTCATGATATCAATCACTTGATTGTCTGGACAGGATTATTTACAGCCCGCTGTCATATAGCTGGAATATTGTTGAGTGCGGCGTCAAACAACAAACAGCACGGGCGATTTCGAGAACAAAATTCGCACGACGTCCAAGAAAGAGATTAAGGAAAATTCAGTTGGTCACCGTCCTGCGAATGAACCTTCTGGAAAGAATCCCTATTCAGAGATTATACTACGAAATGAAGGCCCTGTTAAAAAATAGGATGACATCAGTAGATGATTAAATAACCATCGCCACTCGTAATTATAACAATTAAATATGCAGCAAGTGATTAACTAACATAATGTCATATTTTGTTTTAAAATGACATCTTAAATGATAGAATGATATTGACTTATTCGAAGCTGTAAAAGTTTCAAGTCAACGTCCATGTATATTTCTCTACTCAGTTGTAAGCGTATCGTGTAATGGGCTACGACTTAAGATCGACTTACACCTAACGACGCGATCCATATATAAACACGGATCACTTCCTCCTAGTCCACAGTCGATAGATCTAGCCATACTCGATTTAAAACAAAAATAAAGACCGCCAATGCTTTTGAGTTCATTGTGGAATAGAATATATTTGAGGACAGATGTCACAATACAATACCTGATATTAAATCTAAAACATCACAACTTTCGCCAACTAAATTCTATATCCACTTGATCTACGACATGCGACATAAAACTCGACTCTTTCCATATATCAATTTATTCCTTAAAAAGACACGTACTTTAATACACACACAGTTACATCAATGAGTCAACAACACATACTACCCAAAAGACTTAAACTTCTCTTGAGTAGCATAAGTATTATATAGATTCTCTAGTTACATTTTCATCAGTAGGAAGCAACATTAGTACGAGTGAGTGAGTGAGTGAGTGAGGTTTTACGCCGCTTTAGCAATATTCCAGCAATATCACGGCGGGGGACACCAGAAATGGGCTTCATACATTGTACCCATGTCTGGAATCGAACCCGGGTCTTCGGCGTGACGAGCGAACGCTTTAACCACTAGGCTATCCGACCGACCGCCTTAATATAGAAATGGTATTTATCATCCAAAACTGGCTCCCACAGGAGATATCGCTTGGATTAAATCAAGCGATATCTACACTGTAGATATCGCTGCAATGAAATTACATCACAATGCTTTGAAGACCATTGTGACGTCACTGGTTACCATGACGTCACAATCAAATGACATCACTAATGGCTCTGCTACTGAAGCTGTTAGCAGTACTATTTACACTGAAGACACTGCTAATTACTGTCTACAAATTGAAAAAGTTGGAAGAATGATGTTGGATGATAAATAAAATCTTACCCTCGTGTCTTTTGATATCAAATATATCAACACTCGTTGATAAAAGTGGCAAAAATCCTCGGCAAGCCTCGGAATTTGTCCACTTTTATCAACTCGTGTTGATATATTTGATATCAAAAGACACTCGGGTGAGATTCTCTATGTATCATGTATTGATTTAATTCTAACATGTATGTGAAACTTTCATGGAGAGAGACTTTGTGAGATTCAGCAAACCGTGGTAAGATAAATATATTATTTTCAGACCACGACATAAACACTTATGAAATTGTATTTCTTCTCCAACATATCCCACGTGCCGGAAAGAAGATAGCAAAATACAATAGCGGCCATCCTTAAGACATCAGGACTGAGAGTTATGCCCCTTTGATTGTGTATTTATATTGAAAACTTTATTGTTTTGATTGTTGCAAATGGCACAATCAGGTTGTAAATATGCCATCCAGCATCACCAAGTTCAAGGATGTTGAAAGTCTCATTAACGGGAGCAAGGTTCGTAATTTTAGATGCCTTAGAATTGTTATAGCATTTCGCTTGACGTCAAGGGCCCCAGTTTTCGCTCATTTCCAACCCTATTAGGTTTTCAAAATGCATTCTCCCAATTAACACATCGTCGAATTATATTGGTTAATGAACACTATTTGATTAACATGACTGGTGTTTATTCTACGAGAAAGTTAATTTTCCTTTGAAGTTCGCCCATATCCAAATTTCGTGAGTATCCTTGTATTCAGTCGTAGTTTTTCCAGATAGGATCAAATTGTCTAAAAGCACCTTTTTATGTAGACACCTTACTTGTTAACTGCGCCCTCTACCATGTCACTTTGATCGTTACATGGGTATTATGTGTACCCCCTCTTTTTAGCAGGCCGAGATGGAGCAAGTAGGGCCATGTCTTGACTTTAAGACCCCATCGCGGCTCTCGGCTCCAGGGGCACATTTTCGCATTCCCGTTAGTGGCGTAGACTAACACTTAGATAGTATATGAGAAGGACGTAAGATTATAATGGTGAATAGTCTTGGAAACATAACCAATCCTAAGACAATGTAATATTGCCCAAGTGCTGAGATAGTAGGGCTGGGACGGTTAACTCGGGTACTCGGGTTGGCTGGGTACTGAGTAGGACACATGCAGGTACTCATAGGACTACACGGACTCGTGGTTAGTCACGTGATATATTGTTTAATAACAAAAATTATCTGAAACTCAATGGTTACACTATATGTCACTAATGTTCCCATTTCTTTCTGACAATGCACCCATTCTTTCTGACTTTTATATGCTTGAGGGTAAGGGGGTGTAGGATCGGGTAACGGGGTGGTGGGTACCCGGGTAGGGTCAGGTAATAGGGTGGTGGGTACCTGGGTAGGGTCGGGTAATAGGGTGGCGGGTACCCGGGTAGGGTCGGGTAATGTGGTGGGTAATGTGGTGGTGGTTGCCCGGGTAGGATGGGGTAATAGGGTGGTGGGTACCCGGGTAGGGTCAGGTAATAGGGTGGTGGGTACCCGGGTAGGGTCAGGTAATAGGGTGGTGGGTACCCGGGTAGGGTCGGGTAATAGGGTGGTGCGTACTCGGGCAGTAAAACTGGACTCATCCCAGCCCTATAAGGTAATTATGACAAACTGGCAAATAACAGAGAAACATGTATCAGTTGCAAGATGGCTGCCCCAGTAATTAAACATTACTCTTGCCATAACTAACTTTAAATACACAATGCCTTTTTTAAGAATGTGGTCAAATGTAACAAATGTTATATTTGGGATAACACTTTCTTAGTAAATACAATTTCTAGTACTTTTGAGTTGAGTCCCATCCCATTATGACCGACTTGTGTGTTTAAAGATAGTCATGTCATACTAAAGACTGGAAGACCTTAATGAAGACACTAACACGTGTGATGATAAGGTCTTAGTTGCTGCCCAGAATTTTAATTTATTATTTATTTTTTATTAAATTTTAAGTGAAACTGTTTGGTATTGAAGTAAATAAATTACAAATCATACCGGGGGCACGGGTGGCCCAATCGTCTAAGGCGCCGCGATTTGCTGTGCAGAGTTGCGTCCCTTGGGCACGCCAGAAACCTATGATTGTGGGTTCGAATCCCGGTTCGCCCCAATTATGTTTCTAGGTTTGTCAGCACCATACCCGTGCTCGTGGGTTTCACCGAAGTGGTAAACGTCTGAGACCTGCATCACTTCGGGCTTTCCTCCCACATTAAGCTGACACGCCGTGACATAACTGGAATAATGTTAAAAGCGGCGTTAAACCCAACTCACTCACTCACAAATCATACCATCAAGTCAGTTGTAAAATCTCTCTTCACATATCGTGGAAACGGACCACAAGTTGGTTTCAGAGTATGTTACACATAATAAAAGCAGCCAGATGGCGCATTGCACTTAATGGCTTTACATTATTCTTCTGCAAGTGGTAAAGTGATATGGCATCTAAATCGCATTGTGTATTCATGGTAAAGTGATCTTTATGAATACTAAGATGTAACTGCGAATAATCTTTTCACAATTGGGTGAAATATTATAATAATAGTTTCATTTTCATTTATGCTGCAATTACCGTATTCGACGTAATAAGTGCCCACGGCGATATTTGCTAATATACTTGCCAGTGAACAATCCCAATTAGCACCCTTTCCGATTGATCAATGTACACAAAACTTTGTGAATAATACACACTCGTTTGTTATATGCACCCTTAATTATGGGCAATTAAATTCTCGAAAATATATCTATCGTGTATAATACACACAGATTCTTCTTTTATATCATTTCAGGCTGTCAGCATAAACCACAAAATTTACCATCTTTCAACATCGTTTTTAATCTCACCAAAATTATATTCTAATAAGAGCCCCCTATTTCTAATTTTGAGAGTGCCCTGGGCGCTTATTACGTCAAATACGGTATATCAATTTCAAGATAAAAGGATCACATGTCGGGGAAGAGAATAACTCTGCTAATTTTAGCGTTTGTGTTTGTGTCTTAATGGAGGTTTTAGCTCGAAGTTGCAACCAGATGTGATTGTACTTTACAGATGAATCTGTTGGATTTGCCAGAATCTGTAATCAGTATGTCAAAAATAACATCACCAAACAAGATTGTGTTTTCTTTAAGTTTTGAAAGATTTACTGGTATGTAGTATGTGTCTCTTAAGAAACTTTGTTTGGATGATGTCATTGTACGACACACTCTGTTTTATTCAAAGCTTACAAGTTAGGTCTGGATTTTAACTGACATTGTGTTCCTCACCAGGGAACACAGGTTATTTAGTTTACGTTATCTTGTTTCAAGTAATCATGTTGTCTTGTGAAAAAAACAACCCATCCAACTTTGTCTTCTTTTCTTGTCGTGGAGGAAAATGAGTCACATGCAAACAAATTATCTTAAATAATTGTTTGCATGTAAATTGAAATACATTGTGTCATTGTAAAACTTGAGTTTATTAAAAATGTAAGTAAATTTTGGGAGCCATGCATTATCAAATGCTAAAACTGAGTTAGCGCTATATTGAAGTGTGCAATAGTGAGGGAACACTGTAGATGAACATTTACCTTGAGTTTTCATCTCTATGTGTAAAAAAGCAAAAGATCATAGAGGGCTGGTCAAAAAGTTCTAAGCCTGACGAACTTTCAATTATGGACTATAACAAAGTGAACTAGTCAATGTAGTACATTGTTTGTGTAGGTCAGTGCAAGTGTATTTGTTGTGTTGCGGCTTTTTGTATATATAGGGACAGCCAAATGAACACAAGAATAAGTACCGAGCAGCATCAAGTTTTTTAACTTTAGAGAAAAGTATTCCCCAAGAAATTCATGACCTCATGTCACATGTGTATGGGGAAAACAGCCCTAGCTATTACTGTTAAACGTTGGGCAGCTGTGTTTAAGGCTGGGAGAACAAGCCTTGATGATGACCCTAGGTCTGGACATCCCTCAACTTCCATCAATGAAGATTCAATCAAGAAGATAGAAAAACTTCTATTGTCAGTGAGACGTATTACCATTGTTGAACTTGAGGAAGACACAGGTCTAAGCCTTGGATCCATTGAAACTATTATTCAGGAACATTTTCAGATTTACAAGATATCTGATTGTTTAGCCCAAAGTCTCTAAATTTTTATCTTAAGGAAAAAAGAACTGACATTGCCACAGAAAATTTAGAGTGAATTGAGGAGGCTTTTGTCAATTCAAATTCAAAAAGAGATTAGTAACAGGTAAACATGGGTCTACCACTATGATCCCGAGTCAAAACGTCAATCCATGGAATGGCATTATTTCACTTCTCCAGCACTAAAGAAATTCAAGTCTTCAAGATCAGTGGAGAAAGTTATGGCCACTGTATTCTGGGATGCAAAGGGTGCGATCCTTATTGATTACTTAGAAAGTCAAAAGATGATTACCGATGGCTGTTTCATCGCCTAAGCATGCTAAGATATCCTATCAAAGAAAAGCGTTGAGGAATGCTGACTACTGGAGTTCTACTACTTTATGACAATGCCTCTTCTCACACCTCTCGATATGCAAAGGCTGCTGCTGCTGTGGGTTCAAAGAGCTTCCTCACCCTCCATATTCGCCTCCATACCTGGTATCAAGTGATTTCCACCTGTTTCCTAAACTGAAAGAACATCTTCGTGGAAGTGCTTTGACGACAACAATGACCTCAGAGCTGCCGTGAATGGGTCTTTCAGGGTGGCGTCAGAAAACTTCTTCCTGATTGGAATTGAAAAGCTTCACAATCGATATGAGAAGTGTATTGAAAATCACACTAGTCTACACTAGGCGACACCATTTTGTTTGAAACAAATGCAAGTGACATGAGAGATGGAATCTGATTGGTCAGTAGGAGGGACAGAGAAGAGACAAAACTTGTAATAGCCACTGGTGGCGCTACAATTGAGTCCAGAAATTCCAGTCTATTTCAGCAAGTTTGGAAACTGGACTTTTACAGCCAGTTAACTCTCTTGCCTCGGGAAGATGGTACATCTATGACTTCTTCAAATACTTCAATTAACCCACCACCAGAGTGGTGTTAACCTCACCCCCCAACAATATTCACGAATCAGTCATCAACACTTATGGGGATTTAAAGAAAACGCTTCTAATATTGAATCATGTTACATTCCTGAGATACTGATATTCCTTGGTGGCATTGTCGGATATCTGTTTAAAACATCCATCACTTTGACAAAAGGTTTAAAGTTGTCGCACAAAATGGTGGATTCTGTATCACTTCTTCTGATTGGTCAGTCATGTTGCTTGATTGTGAAAGCGAGGGCTTAATTCATTAATATTCTCAGTTTTGTATGAAAGTGCCCGATTGATTACAACTGGTGTAACAACATGTTATACAATACCAGTATTACCATGTTATGAGGTGAGGTGAAATTGGGTTTAACGTCGCGTCCAAGATTATTGCACTTATATAGCGACGTGCATGCACGTGTGTGTGTGTGTGTGGCTGCTTGTACTAGTCCGGACTGATGCCGATTTATAGTGCTAGCTCACTGAGATACCATGCCGCAGTTTAACATGAATACCCCACTCAGACACAGTATACTGACTCCGAGCCGACCAGTCCTTGTTTTAGCCCCTTAATGTCGAGCGCCAGACAGGGTAACAACAAGTACCATCTTTTAACGTGTTTTGGTATGACGCGGCCGGGGATCGAACCCCGGACCTTCCGCTCTCCGGGCGGAAGCTCTACCACTAGACCACGGAGGCGGCTACCATGTTATGAAACAATATTAGTATATTGTTATTATTACATATTTTCTTCGTCAGATGGATTGCACACAATAAGTTGATCCAGCACGTTCAAGTCACAGTGCGGCATCTCAATGTGCAGGAGACAGCTGCTGCTCTTCGTCCATTCTACTTTGTGGTGCATCCAGATCTGTTTGGAAAATATCCAAGAGAGCGGGTACGTATGAGAAAATGGTACTACAATGAAAGTACTTGATATACCAAATATAGAATTTTAAACATCTTGTTGGTCTGACTAATGGAAAGCATAAATATCTCCTTGTTATATTTACAGGTAATATAGAATTTTGATCTTATTAAAATCAGATATTTTACTGTGATATGAAACTTCTCTGCTTCCTTATCTGAGGACACATCCATAAAAGATTGTGTCAGATGAACCATGATCGATGTTTAAGTGACAATCTAAATGAAGAAGCCATGGGTTCTAGAGTCACTCAGTAGACAGCTTTATAGAATGATTTCTGTTCATTTTTTACCACCTCATTTCGGAAATTTTGATCTTAGCATAAGAAACCGCCACAGAACAAAAATATATCATTGATTGTAAAGTCCTGGTGCTCAGAAACTACAGGATGTATAAAATATCCACAAAAATGTAATAGCACAGTTTTTTTGGTTTGCATTCGGAACAATTATGTTCATTTATATACAGACATTAGATATGCTTTGCTCACTTGTACCGATAATTTACAAGCCTTGAAACTGATTGGCTGATGTTGCTGCTGATTGGCTGATTAGATAGTTGCTGCTGATTGGCTGATAAGATAGTTCACCGGTTGTGACCCCTATGGAGTCCTCAGCTCTTCACACTGGGAGGTATGGTATCAGAATAAAATATCTGATTTTAACAAGAATGTATGAAACTTTGTCTTTGTTGTTTACAGTCTGTGAATGAGGAGTCCCTGAAACGATTACACGAATATATCACCTGTCTGCAGAGGTCAGGGTCAGCTCATCCAACTGTGCTTCAGTTCTTCTTTCGCCCGCAGCAACTTCCAACAGAGAAACGTAAGTAGCAGTTGAAAAAGCAGCTGTCGGGTTGAGAAACACTTCTCACAATAGAGAAGCGCTATGGACTGTCAGGGTTTTACACAATGTGCAAATGTTGAGATTGGACGCAGAAAAAGAATATATGGGGAACGCACAACAATATCCATTGTACCTACAGGATCTAAAGTAATTATGTATACAGTACAGTATGCTACACCATTTCTTTACTTTACAGGACCCTTATATTGCCTGTAAGAACCCTTAGAATTAATTATTGGGGGTCCTCTGATGCATTATAGGTGTATGTGTGAGAGAGAGAGAGAGGGAGAGAGAGAGAGAGAGTGTGTGTGTGTGTGTGTGTGAGTGTGTGTGTGTGTGTGTGTGTGTGTGTGTGTGTGTGTGTGTGTGTGTGTACATGCGTGTGTGTGTGTGCATGCATGTGTGTGTGTGAGAGAGAGTGTGTGTGTACATGCGTGTGTGTGTGTGTGTGCATGCATGTGTGTGTGTGTGTGGTGTGCGTGCGTGTGAGTGTGAGTGTGTGTGTGTGTATGAGTGTGTGTCAGTGAGTGTGTGTGTGTGTGTGTGTGTTTGTATGTGACGAGTGCATCCATGCATCAAAGAGCAGCAACTCTGCATGCTGAATATGGCATTACTCAGAGAACAACACTTGCAAGTAGTTTTAAAGTGGCAAGTCATATCTTATGGCTTCTGCACAGAAAAGTATCCTGTTATTATGACTCACTAGTGCCCTCATGACATGGAGAAAATATCCCAACTTCATGCAGGATAATCTAGAAACAGCCAAGATTCCTAGCAGTATGTTCAACTTGAGTATCGAGGCATGGCTGGCCCAGTCGTCATTTTGCTGTGCAGAGTTGTGTCCCTTGGGCTGCAAGAAACCTTTAAATCCTAGTATATCATATCCACGCCCTTTTAGGTCATTATATATAGTTATACCAAGGAATTCTGTCCGTCTGTATGTCCTATCTGAGGAAATTTTTGTGTGTGAACATATAACTTGAAAACTTATACATGTACTTAGATTCTTTTCAAACTTTGTGAACACTTTCTATACCAATATAATAATAGGACCAAAGACGTATATATATCTATATACGTCGTTGATAGAACAGATGCAGTGTGAAGGTTGATTTCAATATTTGGATTATTTTTATTTTTTTTACCTTAATGTTTGTGCGACCAATAATTTAAAAACTACTGCATGGATTCTTTTTAAATTTAAAGAACAGTTTCCATACTTATAGAAGAAGCGCATTGCAAAGTTTGATTTTCTGAGAAAGTATGAATTTTTAACATGTTTAAAAAACAGTGAAGACACACTACTGACTTCAACTAAATCATCATTTGGATGCCATCCTACTATGTTTCAGCTGCTCTACAAAGTGTGAACATTTCGTTGGCATCCCGTGATGTACGAGACACGGTTAAGACAGTTCTCAGCTCTCTCCATCTCCCCCTCGACTATCTCAGCTCCGTGCCACTCAAAGCCTCCCCAGCCAGTGGTCAGCCTGACCGACCAATCGACTGGCATCCGTCCTACTATGCAGCCACAGGGAAACAAGATCCGAGGGCAAGGCCTTCAAGTACTATCGACATCTCTCTCAGGTTATATCATTGTTTTATTTTATTCACTTGAATACAAACTAAGATTTTAACACTGTAATAATTACAATTTTCTGTCATCAGTTGTATTTTTAAATGATATACATCATCAAGGACAATCTTTTCGACGGTTCTTTAAACAGTAAACAAATTACATATATACTACTCAAAAGAAGTTAAGGTACACCCGATTCTTTCACTTCTTTTGAGGAGTATGCATCCGTACACATGAACATGTATTCCATCACTGCAAATATACATTCATTCACTATATCTCAAGTGCTCACAATCTAGTAGACCTACACTAACCCCAGGATCCATATCGCGTGGTTTGCACAAATTCAAATTACCCGCCCTTGATTTCCATTAGCGCTTTTCTATCTAACGGACCAATCAGAATGCGTGTTACAAATCAGCGTTATTGTTAGGTCGGACGATGTCAACAACATGCCAGACTTTACGACTGATAGAGTTTGTGACAACGTCAACAGACCGACACGCACAAGAAAGCACTTAAAAAAGTCTTGATGTCTATTAAAACTGATGGTGGCAAGTCCTCCCTAACACACTTTCTTTTTCTTACTCTCGACGTTTGATAGGTCGGTCAAATGTTAATGAAAATTAATTTCGGGTAATTTGAAATCGTGAGAACCACGGGAATGGATCCTGGGGTTAGTATAGGCTTACCGAAATGCCAGCCCTGGAAATATAGGGGAAGATATTCATTGAACAATTTGAATTTAAATGCCCCAATCAGCAGTGAATTCTTCCACCAAGAGTGCAGTGTCACATGCTGCCCTACTATCTTATTGGACCTGTGAATGTCCGGGGCAGAACAGGTTTTCCGGAACCCATGCTTGCCGTAAAAGGCGACCTGGCTTGTCGTAAGAGGTGACTTACATGATCGGGATCGCTGATTTGGTTGATCATTGTATCCCAATTGTGTAGATCGATGTTCATGATGTCAATTACTGCATTGTCTGGTCCAGACTCGATTATTTACAGACCGCCGTCATATAGCTGGAATATGGCTGACTGTGGCGTTAAACAACAACCAACCAACCAACTAACCATCCAACTTACCAACCAACCAACAAACCAAACAAACAACCAACCAAACAACCAACCAAACAACGCTATTCCTGACTGAATCTTTTTATAGCTGATACTTGTGTTGGTAATGACCTTTAACACATGGCATCTTTAGACAACTGAAGTGTATCTGGTTATATGGTGGAATTATTTTTTCCTATACCAGTTAAAAAGCACATAAAAAACATTGAAACTTTACCACATATTGCTAAAATATATTAATCTAGTCAAAATGAGATGAACACCCCCCCCCACCCCCCTCTGAAATATCATGAATAAGAAAAGTCTTGGAGATTCTGAATCCTCGATATTTCAGATCATGGCTGTTGAAAAATATAGAGAAGTCGCACAGTTTCCTGGAGTCTGTTCAGTCGACAAAGGAGGACATTGACAGAATCTGCAGCGCTCTACAGGTCTCCATCGGGCTGTCCGACATTCGCTGGGAGAGTGTGTGGGGCTTTAGCCATTTCAGGGGATGCGTCAAAAGTTTCTACAGACTTTATACCGAACACCCAGAAAGAGTTGGGGGTATTCTCAAAGGTGAGTATATTAAAGAGATGCTGGCTATACAAATCAATGTGTAATAAAGCAACAAAACCCTTTCCATATCCAATTAGAAATCTCTGCACAAAGCAGTCGACTATATCATGAGCATGTGTTTATGAGTCACTATCAAACAGTGATGATACCAGGCTTTTGCAAAAAGGTGAGCGTATCCTGCCCCACCGGTGGCACCCATCACAAACACATGTAAAGGCAAGGCAATTGTTCACCTGAAAAGAAATTCATTAATTGCTTTTCTGATCTTTAAGAGGTATCTGAATGTAGTGCCATGTGTGGTATGTTTGTCAAAATGGTCTCACCAGGCTTGTAGCTGACTGGTATATCTTGTATTTTTTGTGCACACAGAAGTAAGTATTTTTACTCGTCACTGATTTTTTTCCTTTCGTTTTTTATAGTATGTAAATGTTGTGTTCTACAGGGCGTTCTCTGGTGTTCAGTAACAGTACGGGTGTATCTGTCCACGGAGACATCATTCTCAGCAGTGAAGACGTTCCTACCTACTGGATGACGGTTAGACTTGGTCAGAATGTCCCATAATGAATAAATGAAATCTTAAAAGTGCCCTTAGACCCAATCTCATTAAAACCAGATCTTAGTTCTCGCTACCGCTAAACCAAGTTCTGAGAACATCCCATTACGGGTCACGTCAGACCGACCTTGCGCGAACTTTGACCGACCAATGGAATGACCAATCAGAAGGCGGCTTTCTCGTGCTTTACGGCACAAATTTCAAATTGGCGACTACGCTTTGAAACATATTTTGACAAATTCTCGATCACAAATTTGAAACCTGAACAAAAACATTCTGGAATGGCTAATAGATGGTCTAGATTGTAAGGATTCAGTTGTTAAAACCCGTAACTATCGTTTGGAATACCCAATGTTAAAGTTTTGAGATTGCATGATTAGAAATCACATTCCGACTGTCACTTTCATAATCTGGTAAGCGACACACTGATTGGTCGGATGAAAGGTCATTCTGACATGACCCCTAATGGGATGTCTTCAGATCTTTGTTTAGCGATAGCGAGAACTAAGATCTGATTTTAATGAGATTGCCTTAGACCCTATGTCTTCAGAAAACTGTAAAGCAATCATTTGGCTATGTTAATACTCAATAGCATCACTATAGTCAAATATTGTACTTATACATTCATTTTATTATGAGTTCTAGCAAAAAGAAAATGACATCTTATTAATACGATATTGTAAAACAAACTCGTCTGAGACACAGTCTTTGTCACCTTTGTTGTATATATAACTACAGTAGGTAGCTCTACTGCTATATGAGCATTGTCGTATAGGGACCACAAGAGTGGTGTCCCTTAGACATTGTACCCACCATGCCATGCATCAATAAACATCGTCTTGAACCCGCCATCGATGGCAATGTACCAGATTACCGTATTCGACGTAATAAGTGCCCAGGGCACTCTAAAATTAGAATTAGGGGGCTCTTATTATAATATTATTTTGAGTTGAAAGATCGTAAATTTCATGGTTTATGCTGACAGCCTGAAATGTTTATATACGACAGATATATTTTTCCAGGATTTAATTGCCCATAATTAAGGGTGCATATGACGTACGAGTGCGTATGATACACAAATAAATAAGTCTTGTGTACATTAATCAATTGGAAGAGGTGCTAATTGAGATTGTTCACTAGCCAATATATTAGCAAATATCGCTGTTGGCGCTTATCAGAGCAGGGCGCTCATTACGTCGAATACGGTAATTTCTTTTACCTTTTCAAAATATCAACTCATCATCTTTGAAATCATGTCATCTAAAGAGTCATTGAAAAGACCCTCTTCTGTTCACCTAGCTGTTGATGTCGGTGAGGTCGTACGAGGCGGTGTTGGAGAGGTTGCCGCTGATGGAGGAGAAGCTGTCACAGCTCCTCAATAACATCCAGATCGTGCGCCGGAAACGGAAGCATCACCTCGTAATGGCAGAAGAATATGAGTTGTTGCTGAACAAGCTCCTCAACTCCCTCCGGCGATGTCAGGATGCTGCCAAGACGAAGCTGTTCAACAATGACCTCTCACATCTGCAGCTGGTGGTGGAGGGGTAGGTGGCAGAATCTTGGCTGAAACAATATCTGTAGTATTTCTGAATGGCTGTACAAAAGGCTGAAATTGTCTTACAGACGGTTCAGGGATTAATATAATATTATGAGCAATAATAAATTATCTGTTTTGATACTTCTTTTTAAGTTTTGAGCCTTGGTGAGGGACTTTCAACATTAATTCGCGAGGGACGATATATTTAATATATTATGAATAGTCTTTTTGTGAATGTAAATGTAGAAAAATGTGTTTTTTGGCAAATCACATTGAGAGATATAGGGCAACCCATTGGTATGACAACATTTCACAAGTTGTCTGTATAAGATGCCTTCATTACATGGGGGCACCATTAACCCATTGATCATCTTCTTGAGGCAAGGGAGTTAACTGTAATAGTCCAATATCCACCCTTGCCATTGTCCCTTCTATGTCCCTCCTATTGACCAGTCAGATTCCACCTCTAATATCACTTGCATTTGCTTCAAACAAAATGGCAGCACCCAATGAAGACGATCTGATCGATATACAATATCTATATTGTAATATAACATGTCTTACTTCGTGTAGTGCATCAAATCACGTAAGCACCTTGATTAAAAACAAGGAAAGATTTGGAAAATATCTGTGGACGTTAAGTTGACAGTACACATGCTTTGCAAATCCTGCAAATCAACCAAAATCTGCACTGCAGTGTACGAACCGGATGTCAATTTTGTTATGCGATTTTGATTGGACTATGCATAGACTTGTTAGTCCAGCCATAATATAACTCCATAATTCCAGCCTAGTTTGGCAAAGATACTCAGTGATCTATTGTGGCACACCCCTCTGTGTAAGCTTACTGTGAGGATAAACTGGTCATGGGTTGACATCCTCAGATTTGGCTCAATTATGATCCTCTGATGCTCCACTGGTCAATTCCAGGTCTCAGTTGAAATAAGCATTATTGAGTCTGGTCCTCTGGCTCTGTTCCCAACACGTAAGTCCCCAGTCCCAGTTTACATGAATTGACTGACCATGTCATGACTGTGTTGTAGAGAGTCTGGTCGGTTGTCTCTGTTACCAACATGTCCGTTCCTGGTCCTAATCCTGGCCCTGGTTGATATGAGAAATATTGACTGACCATGTCATGACTGTGTTGTAGAGAGTCTGGTCGGTTGTCTCTGTTACCAACATGTCCGTTCCTGGTCCTAATCCTGGCCCTGGTTGATATGAGAAATATTGACTGACCATGTCATGACTGTGTTGTAGAGAGTCTGGTCGGTTGTCTCTGTTACCAACATGTCAGTTCCTGGTCCTAATCCTGGCCCTGGTTGATATGAGTATTATTGACTGACCATGTCATATCTGTTGTAGAGAGTCTGGTCCCCTGGCTCTGTGCCCCACTGGTCAGTTCCTGGTTGATATGAGAAATATTGACTGACCATGTCATATCTGTTGTAGAGAGTCTGGTCGGTTGTCTCTGATACCAACATGTCAGTTCCTGGTCCTAATCCTGGTCCTGGTTGATATGAGAAATATTGACTGACCATGTCAAGTCTGTGTTGTAGAGAGTCTGGTCGGTTGTCTCTGTTCCAAACATGTTCGTTCCTGGTCCTAATCCTGGCCCTGGTTGATATGAGAAATATTGACTGACCATGTCATGACTGTGTTGTAGAGAGTCTGGTCGGTTGTCTCTGATACCAACATGTTCGTTCCTGGTCCTAATCCTGGCCCTGGTTGATATGAGAAATATTGACTGACCATGTCATGTCTGTGTTGTAGAGAGTCTGGTCGGTTGTCTCTGTTCCAAACATGTTCGTTCCTGGTCCTAATCCTGTCCCTGGTTGATATGAGAAATATTGACTGACCATGTCATGTCTGTGTTGTAGAGAGTCTGGTCGGTTGTCTCTGTTCCAAACATGTTCGTTCCTGGTCCTAATCCTGGCCCAGGTTGATATGAGAAATATTGACTGACCATGTCATATCTGTTGTAGAGAGTCTGGTCCCCTGGCTCTGTGCCCTACTGGTCAGTTCCTGGTCCCAGCATCCATCCCTGGCTCCATCCTGATTGACTACATCGCCAAACACAAGCAAGAGGCAGACAAGATCATCAGAGACATGGAAAGGTAAGATTTGACTGGGCTTTGAAACACCCAGACAGGCGCTGGCCGATTTAGCATAGGCTGCAATTGGAAGAAAGTTTGATTGTGAGCTTAAAATTGTTCTTGCCAAAATTGACATTAGAGATGCTTGTGATTATATTTTCACCCAAAACAATTGTTTACGTTTGTAGACATCCATAAATCCTACGCATGTGCATCTCTAGCTGGATATTAAACAAAAGCCCTAAACCAAATCCTGTTTAGGTTTGGTCACTCATGAGAAGAGAACTTGTATGGTAATTTATGATCACAAAATACATCCATGCATTTCCGGTGTGTATTGGCTGGTTATATTATTTTGGCACTGGATAATGGTAATTCATGTCTTTATATTATGTTGGTGCTTGATAATGGTAATTCATGTCATGTTATATTATTTTGGTGCTTGATAATGGTAATTCATGTCATGTTATATTATATTGGCACTAGATAATGGTAATTCATGTCAAGTTATATTATATTGGCACTAGATAATGGTAATTCATGTCATGTTATATTATGTTGGTGCTTGATAATGGTAATTCATGTCATGTTATATTATTTTGGTGCTTGATAATGGTTATTCATGTCATGTTATATTATATTGGCTCTGGATAATGGTTATTCATGTCAAGTTATATTATGTTGGCACTGGATAATGGTTATTCATGTCATGTTATATTACATTGGCACTGGATAATGGTAATTCATGTCATGTTATATTATTTTGGTGCTTGATAATGGTTATTCATGTCAAGTTATATTATGTTGGCTCTGGATAATGGTAATTCATGTCATGTTATATTATATTGGTGCTTGATAATGGTTATTCATGTCATGTTATATTATATTGGCACTAGATAATGGTAATTCATGTCAAGTTATATTATATTGGCACTAGATAATGGTAATTCATGTCAAGTTATAATATTTTGGCGCTGGATAATGGTAATTCATGTCAAGTTATTATATTTTGGCGCTGGAGAATGGTAATTCATGTCATGTTATATTATTTTGGTGCTTGATAATAGGTATTCATGTCATGTTATATTATATTGGCACTAGATAATGGTAATTCATGTCATGTTATATTATATTGGCACTAGATAATGGTAATTCATGTCATGTTATATTATATTGGCACTAGATAATGGTAATTCATGTCAAGTTATAATATTTTGGCGCTGGATAATGGTAATTCATGTCAAGTTATTATATTTTGGCGCTGGATAATGGTAATTCATTGTCATGGAACGCTTCTTGCTGTCTAACCAAAGTAAAGCTGTTCTACTTTCTGTTCACACAAGGTGAAAACTAAAACATAAATATGAGTTGTATAAATATCAGTTGTGTTGAGAACTGTTGACAAAAGAAGCCTAATACTGATACACATTTGTTATTTTGTCCAACCACATTCTCTGTGACATGGGTGTCATAGATTTATCAACTATTTGTAAATACAAACGTTAATGTTTGCTTGTTATTATTTTAAAGTTTAAATTTATTATATTAGATTTTAGTTTATGGTCGTACAGGATATTATATTTCTCCTTTTCTACATTTGAAACTGCTAAAGTAAATGTAATATCATTACAAGGTGAGCTACAGTGCTGTAGAACATTTTCTTTATTTTCCAGTTGTCTTCGACAGGAACAGGAAGTTGTAACATTCTGCCAGGCTGAACTAGAGTTATCTGCCCTTTCCAAGGATGAGTCTGTGACTCCCCAGCAGATGGTTGACTGTTGTCAGAAGCTGGTTGACGAGGCGTGGCTGCTGGGCGTGTCACTGAAGGGGCTGTGTCTGCGTGTGTCACACTTCTACTCCGTTATGCAAGATGGGGAAATCTGTATTCCTTGGGACTGGAAGAGCAGCTCACATGATTGATAATGACGGAGACCATACAGGGATTTTCTTCAACCTACAAAACTGGGGGTCCAAGGGACCCCTGATAATTAACTCCAAGGTCCTTACAGGAAATATTAGGCAGTCGGATAGCCTATTGGTTAAAGCGATCGCTCATCGGGCGAAGACCTGGGTTCGATTCCCGACAGTACAATGTGTGAAGCCCATTTCTGGTGTCCCCCACCGTGATATTGCTGGAATATTGCTAAAAGCAGGGTAAAACCATACTTACTCACTTACAGGAAATATGAAGATCCTGTAAAGTAATCAAGTGGTGAAGTGTTTTGTAGATTTTGATTATTTCTTTAATTACAGGAACTTTATATTTCTGGTCAAGAATTTGTCACGATGAATATTATTTTGTGTCCCTTGGGACGCAACATATTCTTCTTTCTGCGTGGATTCTATACAGTTGTTTGTACTGGGGTGAACATTTCTACATTGCGTAAAACCTTGGACCATATACAAATTTCGAAAACAGCATCTGCTCATATGTAATGCAACAGGACATCCTGGTGTATCAGTTCTGCTCATTAGCACAGCGGTGATCATTAATGATAAGTTACTACTGAGGCCTTTGCCACATTGTCTTAGAGCTGAGGAAACAACTGAGACCTCCATATGCTTGTATTGCTTCACTCGCACTTGTTAAATCACTTAGGCTAAAAAACAAAATAGTCTTGGTTTACAGGTACCGCCCACATCATCTTAAAGTCTGCTAGATAATTATCAATCTGATGTGGTCGTAGCTAATGCATTTTGTGAAATGAGTGGTATGGATACAGATCGAAGGATATCAGGAATCATATCATTGACTCATGATGTCAATCACTGGCTTGTCTGGTCACCATAAATGCCCAATGCGGTAAAGAATATGTAAGAAAACTGTTTTAGGATATGGGACTGGGTAAGCATTGGTCTTCAGCAACCCGTTCTTGTCTAGTCAGTCTCAGTTATTTACAGACTGCCGTCATATACCGTATTTCTACATTCTACATTTTGACTTGTCGTAAGAGGCGACTTACAGGATGCCTAGATCGATGCTCATGATATCAATCACTGGATTGTCTGGTCCAGCCTCGATTATTTACAGACCGCCACCATATAGCTGGAATATTGCTGAGTGCGGCGTTGAACAACAAGTAAACAAACAAACATTGAGTTTAATTGATGAATATTTCAGATGAGGATTGGTGCAGTGTGTGATTGTAAAGTGACTGCCTAACCAGCATTGAGGCATTTCCTCGTATCCCAATCACGTAGATCGATACTCACGATCTCAACCAGGATTGTCTGTTCAAGACTGGATTATTTACAGCGATTATACAGCTTGAATATTGCGTGTGGTGTCAAACAACAAATATTAACGACCAGATGTAGAGAGGGCCAAGTCAAATTCAATGTCAAACTAGAACCAAGAATTTAAAAGCAAAGGGTCCAACTTAATATTTTTCAATGTATATTGTATGTTTGTTAGGCTGCTAATAACAGGTTCACAAATGTTTAAAATGGGGGCGCTCCCATTGACTGTTAATATTCATGGGCGGATACAGCTTTTTTTAAAAGGGGGGGTGCACAATTAAGATCTATTTATTGTCTTTGGTGATAATTTATACAGAAATAAAGAAATTTTTTTAAATAAAAAGGGTGTGTGCACCCCCGCACCCCCCCTCTGTATCCGTCCATGATATGCTGTGACATTTTTCAAGAAAAGATTATGCAGTAATCCAAAAAAAATGCAAAGTATTACAATCTTAGAAATATAATCTACCCAAGTATATTTAATTGGAAATACATTTATATATATATCCCCTGTATATTGAACAGCTACAGCCAGTGTTGCTACACCCATGATGTTTACACACTATAAATGCAAAATGCAGTACAGATTATGTATGATAGGGCTGGGACGAGTCCAAGTTTACTGCTCTGGTACCTGACCCCCTATTACCCGACCCTACCTGGGTACCTGACCCCCTATTACCCGACCCTACCTGGGTACCTGACCCCCTATTACCCGACCCTACCTGGGTACCCACTTAAGATGTTTGATTCGGAATTGTTTTACCGCAGCCCTGGCAAAAACTATTTAGATACATGTACATGGATCAATCGATTAGATCATGCACACACTGAAGTTGACGAAAGCTTTATCTTTACTCAAAGATATACAAGTTATAAGGAATGTGTGCATCGTCAGAAAGAAATGCGAACATTAGCGACTTGTTGTGTAACCATTGAGCTATGGTGAGTTTTTGTCATTAAACAATATATATCACGTGACTCACCACGAGTCCGGGTAGTCCTGTGGGTACCCGGGTTCTACTCAGGACCCACCAGACCCGAGTACCCGAGTTACCCGTCCCAGCCCTAATGTATGGAAATTGTTTTAGAAAACAGGACTGGTTTAGCATTGGTCTTCAGCAAGCCATTCTTGTCTAGTCAGTCTCAGTTTTTTTCAGACCGCCGTCATATAACTGGAATATTGCTGAGTGCAGCATTAAACAACAAACAAACAAAAAACACATAAATTCTGGTTGTGATAGTGGTGTGCATTTATACAAGAATAGTAGTGTTAGAAACTGGTCCAATGTGAATGTATGTAGATATGATTAGTTAGTACAAATCTTAAAAGAGATGAAAGAAAATATGGAATGTAGAAATGAGACCAGACATAACTGTAGGACCAAATATGTGCCAAAACGAAGAAATTTCTTTGGCATATTTTTAACATTTAGTGCAAGTTATTTCGTAAAACAAGATAAATATAGTGTGGCCAAAGTGTGAAAGTAAATTGTATTATAAGTCAATGATTGCATGTGATCTGATTTCATCGTCCTTTATATAATACCGTATTCGAAATAATAAGCGCCCAGGGCTCTCGCAAAATTAGAAATAGCGGGCTCTCATTAGAATGGTATTTCAGTTGAAAAAAAACAGAGTTGAAAGATAAATGTCGTGGTTTATGCTGACAGCCTGAAATGTTTATATACGACAGATATATTTTTCCAGAATTTAATTGCCCATAATTAAGGGTGCATATAACACACGAGTGCGTATTATGCACGAATGAATAAGTCATTTGTACATTGATCAATCAGAAGGGGTACTAATTGGGTTTGTTCACTAGCCAATATATTAACAAATATCGCTGTGGGCGCTTATTAGAGCGGGGGCTTATTACGTCGAATACGGTAAGTGTTGTATATCTGGATTCTTTTATAATCAATACGATGGACACATTCACTGTGATAGCCTCCCTTTGAGACTGTTAAACATTTGATGTCTCTTTAGGCAAATGACTTTGTTTGATATGTGCCTCTGTTCACCAAGCAGTGAATGGGTACCCAGTAGGATGAATTCATAATGTGCTGTTAGCCATATGGCGCCTTACAGGCAGCTTTGGTTGTATGATCCCCAGGGAGCTGAGAAAGAAAATTGAGTTCACACTGATCCATTGACCGGGGTAAAAATGTAGCGCTTTTAGCACGCTTTAGGGCGTGGATTTGGCACATTATATGCATATTAATTATAGCCTGCCACCAAGTGAGGTAGGGGATATAGGAACAGAGTTTGTCCGTCCAATTCTCACTGTGGACAAATTTTCTCAAAAACTGTTCAAGTTAGAGGAAGAAAATTTTACACACTGATGTTACTGGTCACGATCTCAAATGAATTCGAAAATTGGTGCCGCGCATTCATTTTACAGAGTTATGGCCCTTGCTCCATCACCTTTCAACTTAGTGCATACTGTGTGCCACACAGTGTGTGAAATGGGGCCAGGTTTTCTCAGAGGCTACTGAAATTACTTGAATGAAGGTTTGCATGCTTATATAAGAGATACATGTACTTGTTATTATTAAGAATAGCCATCCGGTCAGTTCCACTTATGGGCAAGAGAGATTCTGTGCGACGCTACCGATGGTGGTGCTTGGGTCCAGGGTATTTATCATAGTGGACCAGACAATGGAGGATGGAATGTCTGTGTAAGTTATCATGATGGATGATGGGGGAATCTGTTATATCAGGAACACACAGGATTAAAACACATCTGTGATGTCATTCTATTGTTTGAGCGCTCCAATATTTTTAGGGAATGGAGAGTTGATTGTGTTCTCTGCCGCTGGTGCACGTGCTACGTCGCAAGCTGATCTTTACTCTGCATGTTTTATGGCTTTTTAGAATGTTTTGTCAAAGTGTAAAAATAGAGATGTTTTAAGAAGGGGAACAATCTCATTAAAATCAGATCTTAGTTCTCGCTATCGCTAAACAAAAGTCTGAGGACAACCCATTACGACATTATTCCGACCAATCAAAGCGTTGCTTACCAGATCATGAAAGTGTAAGTCAGAACGTGTTTTCTATTCATGCAACCTCGAAAATGTTAACAAGGGGTATTCCGAACAACAGTTTCGGCCCGTACGACTGATTCCGTCAAAATTATCGTCTATCTCTCGCTTCCGTGGGATAAACATTTGAACGGAGGAGGCGTTGCACAGTACATGGGAAGCACTGCCATGCAATCTCAACCATATATTAGACACTCCGGAATGTTAGTTGGTTCAGTTTTCAAAATTTTAATCGAGAACTGTGTCAACATATTTTTCAAGCGTAGTCTGAAGTGGAAGTTGCCAGGTCGAAACGAGTGCTGAAAAGCTTGAGAATGCTGCTTTCTTATAGGCTGATGTCGACTTCTTGTTAGTCCTTTCAGTGGTCGGTCAAAGTTTGCGAAAGGTCATTCTGACGTGACCCATAATAGGAAGTTTTTAGATCTTTGTTTAGCGGCAACAAGAACTTAGATCGGATTTTAATGAGATTGGAAGGGGAATATCCTCGTAGCTCTCCATTCCTTACAAATAATGGGATTATTTTCTCCTGTAGTGGCAGTGCACCTTCTACTTACTGTTATTTTGTTATTGAACTGGGCCCCTGTTCCACAAAGCTTTCGTAACACTAAGACAATCGTAACTAACATACTTTAACATAGGCTTACGACAATCGTAGTGCTACGATCGCTGCCCAGGACTTTGGAAGGTCAGCATTTTAAGGGTGGTTATTTTGTATCAGGGAGATGACTAGTGTTTTCAACTATGCGCCCATGGCATGCAGTTTGGCAATAAAACATTCAACTGGTAATTGGGGGTTGAAAAGTCCTTATTTCCTTAATTTTGAGGTACCGTATTCGACGTAATAAGCCCCCAGAGCGCTCTCAAAATTAGAAATAGGGGGCTCTTGTTAGAATGGTATTTTGGTAAAAAAAAAATTAGTTGAAAGATAAATTTCGTGGTTTATGCTGACAGCCTGAAATGTTTATATATGACAGATATATTTTTCCAGAATTTAATTGCCCATAATTAAAGGTGCATATATCACAGAAGTGTGTATTATACACAAATAAATAAGTCTTGTGTACATTGATCAATCGGAAGGGGTGCTAATTGGGATTGTTCACTAGCCAATATATTAGCAAATATCGCCGTGGGCGCTTATTAGAGCGTGGCGCTTATTACGTCGAATACGGTATATATGCTTCAATCCAATAATGTAAACTAAGTATTAAAATCTTTGAAGCTGATAGCTAATCTTGAAGTGGGAATTTTTACTAATATTTGCACCACATAAGGATTCTGGGTTAGAATTGGTCCCGGGGGACATGGGTGGCCCAGTCGTCTAAGGGGTCGCGATTCTCTGTGCAGAGTTGCATCCCTTGGGCACGCCAGAAACCTATGATTGTGGGTTCCAATCCCGGTTCGCCCCGATTATGTTTCTAGGTTTGTCAGCACCATACCCGTGCTCGTGGGTTTCACCGAAGTGGTAAACGTCTGAGACCTGCATCACTTCAGGCTTTCCTCCCACATTAAGCTGACACGCCGTGATATAACTGTAATACTGTTAAAAGCGGCGTTAAACCCAACTCACTCACTCACTAGAATTGGTCTCCAGTAACCTGTGCTTGTCATAGGCGGCGACTTGATGGATTGAGTAGCCGGGCTCGGTGACTGGGTTGATTGCATGTCAGCGTATCTCAAAAGGTGGATCATCGCTCAATATCATCCAGTGCATTGTTTGGTCATGACATATTTATTACATGTTGCTGTCACCATAGAGTTGGAATAACATTTAGTATAATAAACAAGTTGTTGTCCATAAATTGTGTCTACTTTGCCAAACAATGATGATGTGAAAAAATATGAATTTTTTGATAGGCATTACTTGACGTTGACGGATGACAAGGTAGACGACACAATTTATGGATAACAACTTCTTTAATACTGTAAAGGCGACGGTCATGAGGTATAAGGATCTATACCGAAATGTCGCCTTTACAGTATTAAAGAAGTTGTTATCCATAAATTGTGTCTAGTTTACCAAAAAATGATGATGTGAAAAAATATGAATTGTTTGATAGTCATTACTTAGAAGTTGACGACTTTAATACTGTAAAGGCGACGTTTCGGTATAGATCCGTATACCTCATGAACGTCGCCTTTACAGTATTAAAGAAGTTGTTATCCATAAATTGTATCTACTTTGTGAAAAAATATGTTACTGTGGTTCAAATGATTCAGAATGTGACATGATGTTGCAGACATGAAACACAAATCTCGTGAGCTACTGACCCTTGGAACGCCATTTGTTTTATTGAAATATAAGTTACATTTCAGTTAAAGCAGTTTAGGGCATTATGGAGACAAGCTGAGGGCTTAATATGTGCTGTTTGTTGACAAAATGTAGACAGCATAAAAACATCCACATGGACGAGATTCTCACAGAAGTCATCTTTCCGAGGCAAGAGAGTTAACTGACTTTAAAAGTCCAGTTTCCAACCTGGCCGAACTAGGCTGGAATTCCTGGGCTCACCATATAGCAAATATGACTTGAATATCCTATAAAATCCCTGGGAAATTATATAAAATCCCAAGGATATAATATAATTTCCCAGGGACATTACAACGTCCCTGTTTATGAGATTTAACCCGACTGGAAAGTAAAACCTCAGAATAGGTTTTAATGCCTATAGAAAGAAGTCTCTTACTTAATAGCGATCCCAATGAATAGGTTTATAAAGTCAGTTAACTCCCTTGCCTCGGGAAGATGCACAGAAGCATAATTGGCAATGTTTTTGATTGTTATGAAATTGGGCATGATTTGGTATCAATTTAAAAGAAACATGTCTGTGATCTGTTTGAAGAATGTTGGTTAATCACTCAAGGTTACATTTGAAGATGATCTCACAGGATATGACATCAGGGTCAGTTGTGTCCCTTGGGCACGCCAGAAACCTATGATTGTGGGTTCCAATCCCGGTTCGCCCTGATTATGTTTCTAGGTTTGTCAGCACCATACCCGTGCTCGTGGGTTTCACCGAAGTGGTAAGCGTCTAAGACCTGCATTACTTCGGGCTTTCCTCCCACATTAAGCTGACACACCGTGATATAACTGGAATAATGTTAAAAGTGGCGTTAAACCCAACTCACTCACTCACGGGCCATCAGCAGGATGCTATACTACTCCAAAGAAGAAACGTCGATGTGTCATTTGACTACTTAATCTGTGATGCCAAATATTGGTGTTCTTTAACTTCTTTGAGTAGTATATGTATGTCGAAGACAGGTGTTTCTTGTTGTTGGGTGTGTTGCTGGTGCTGAATGATTTAATAAATACTGTTTAATGTTGTGTGTGTGTCTTGTGAATCACGTCATGGGCAACCTACAGGCGTTCTGAGATTAACAGGACTCCGACTTAAGTCTAGACTAACATTTAGTCTCTGAAGTCTTACATTACACAATATCCTTCTATGCCCTATGCTTATTTCAGACTGGTCCTCACCCCAAAATGACATGACTGTGGAACAGAGCTAGCTTGAGCTGGCTAGACTTGCTTTTGTATGCGTTTCTAGATTTTATTTATATATACTACTCAAAAGAAGTTAAGGATCACCCTATTCTTTCATATTGGTTATGTTAATCTGTCATGGCATGAGACATTAACGGGTCACATCTTTTGCAAATCCTGCAGTCGACTGAAATCTGCACGTTGAAATCCATGTTTACGAACCGGATGTCGATTTTGATTGGACTGTGCATAGACTCGTTAGTCCAGCCAAAATATAATTCCATAATTGCAGCCTAGTTCGGCAAGGGAGGAAACAGGACTTTCAATACTGGATAGCAATACCGGATTTCCTGCTACATTACATGATCATGTGACAAAGGACAAGCTTCAGGACAAAATGACCACTGTCAAACTCATAGTCAAGTGGTCTTGACATATAATTAAACCAATAATTAAACTATCATGGTGACCTCTTCCCAATTACCAGCTGATTACCGACAGTCAATATTGTGCACAAGGTGTGATGTTTCTTGTCTAGTAACGTGTCCTGCTTCACTTGACTGACAATGAGAATTGCAGATCTCGTGAACGGCAATATGGCCTGATGGAGAATCTGGGATATTAAGCCACCATCAGAGGATGCTGGAAGACATGGTTCTGAGCCTGGATGCACCTTCCCTCCATTATCACAAGATATACATAATCAACAAGGTGACTTGGGCACAGTTCCAGGTAAACTGTATATGCCTTAAATTATACAAAACAGATCACCATTACCCTGAAATAGTAAAAAGTGTTATTTGTTCCACATTAAAGCTGAATAAATATATCCAGTAAATAGTTTAAATATGAGATTTCTGGTGATGACCTCAATTTTTTTTAATTTCTGGTATGATTTTATGATTAAAAGTGCATAATTAAACTCTCCTGTAAATTCCTCCAAATATCTGTTTTTTTGGTCTCTTCCACTTTAATGAAAGGTAAACAGGCAACTGTTGCTTGACTAACCATCCTTGACTAATCCTGGTATAGACTGTCCGACAATTGGGAGGTTACCCAAGCAGGCATACCATGCTCCAAAACCCACAAACAACTACTAAACAACCACATCATGTTTTGTATGAATTTATTCCATATCCACGATATCATGATACATGTTAACATTAAATAACTAAAATTGCACATGGTGTATAGTAGGTGTATGCATGTTTAAGCAGCACTATCAAAAGTATGTAATGTTATTAGGATATTCTTGCCGTCTTCTGCTCAAGCATGACCTTGGAAAAACTAGTATTTGGCAAGACAGAAGAATATTCTATTTATAATATCACACACTCAAATTAAATGACATTTAACAGATAACGTAATGATTTATAACAGTGTATGTCCAAGGACAGGATAACATACTACAGCTAGTTTGAAGTGTTCAATGTTTCTCTTAATCTGAAATACAACACTACAGAACTGTACAAATTCTGGTCCATGTCTTATGAAACCTCATCTAACCTTTGACCTACAGCCCAGCTGATTCTAAGGTTACAATGGTCACTCGTTTCTAACAGTGTCCAACACAAAACACTCTTGTTTTAATATCACCATCATACAGAAATATGTAAATACACTTGAATACACATATCTTGATTGACGTCACATAGTTTGATGTTCTTTGCTATATCACAAATACTGACCATCGACTGACACAGACAGGAGAGCAGGACTGTAACCATTCACAGAGCATCAAATTTTTTTTGTTTCCACAAAAAATAAATAAAAATAAAATCATTATATTCGAAGAACATACACTTGCATGGCATGGTATGAAAATGAAACTTATTTCATGATGGTATGTACAAGAGTCTGCAGGCATTGGCACTTCTATTGACGACAGTTTCTAAAATGTTTGGGTTGAGGCTACATTTATTCTTCTAATGCTAAACAAAAAAAATAGTCATGGTTCTCAGGCACTGCCCGCATCATCATAAAGTTCACAGCACGTTTCGTTTTTCTTTCCATTATGAAAACACACACACAAAAAATCCTTATATATTCCATCTTCAAAGGTGGTCAAATACTGTATTTCAGTATTTTACTCATCAAGGAATACTTTTATGTAGGAAGGCCCCTTCACAGGTTGATTTTACAATACTGTTTATGTGGTTACACAACTGTTATTTAGTTACATACTAGTTTGAACCACCCCAAGAAAGAAAAAAGACAACCGCCCGCCTTCACTATATTTTCAAAAGCCATTGCCGGAGAACCAATTCTTTTAAGCCTAAGGTGTCAAGATTTTGTGTACTGTACAATGACCCACTAAAGAGATGTGTATCGTATTGCAGCAAGTGTATCGTTACAGCCCAAGACAGTAATGGAAAGACGAAGATGCCCGAGAGGCGTGAATGAGTAGAGAGACTAGACAGAGAGAAGTAAATCTAAGACAGATAGAATACATGGTGTACTATATTGATTATTTGTATTTTAATACATAAATACATGATAATAATTACAGTATATATAGTTACACTTACAACGTTTACGTTTTTCATTGTACTCAAATTATGCAAATGAAAATATTGAGGTAATAATCATATTATGTCTTAGAATTTACTTTAAATCAATATTCCATTGACAAGAATGACTACAATGTTTTGTCAGTTAAGAATGTTTTGTTCTGTAGTGATCTTATTATTTGGCACAAGCATTTACATTACAACCAATCCTATGTTAGTTAAGTATGTATTTGTGTTAAGAGCTACATGATTTAATCCAATAGTTAATATCCAGCATTTCATCAATGTTACGTTCACAGTTGCAGAACAAGCCAGCATGCCGCATCTTGGTTCATCCCTAACCACACAATCACAATACACAGCTGTCTCTGTAGGGATCAGTCTCACAATGTCCACGCTGACCGACATTTCCACAGATCAATTGTCTCTTCCTGATGTCCCCAAGGGAGATAACTGTCTCTCACTCTCACATACACCGACACATCCTGGCAAGTTGAATGTCTGCTATCACAGTTAGGAGTTTTTGTTCGGGATTTTTACTGGGGGAAGGGCATCCGAGTGCCACGTGCGGATATTGGCAAGAGCTCGGTTGACTTTGTTGCACCAGACGATTCTCTCTTCCTTTGTGTCTGCCGACATCATGTGTCTGTGAGAAGGAAACAACAGTTAGTATTTCATGAACAGAAACAGAAAGATTGCTATGAAGCAGATTCCAGATAGTGAGCAAATGTTTAACGCCACAGTAATATTACAGTTTGTAAATCAAGATGAAACATGCATTGTTTGTTTATGGTTTTACTACGCACTCAGCAATTTTCTAGTGCTTGTAAATAATCTGGTCATAGTCTGGACCAGATGATCCAGTGTTTGATATTGTGAACAATAGTGAGTGAGACCAAAAAATGGGCTTCACACATTGTACCCATGTCGGGATTTGAACCCGGGTCTAGCTATTGGGGTGCAATGACACCAGCAACAGTCCCCAAGCCCGACCACAAGTCCACTTGGTCACCCCTAACAACCAGCAAAAGTTGCTGGGGACATGTTCTGACCTGGAATCCCCATGGGTGGGCGGAGGAGGAGAGAAAAAAAGAGGGAGACCAGGCAATGACAGAAATGGAACGAGTCAACCTGACCAGACAAACCAGTGACTGAAAGCATGAGCAATGATGTCCTTGGGGCACTATGACCTGCATTCAGCCACGAGCCTGCCCAGCTGATACCCATGTCAGCATGAGGCCCTGACGTCCATACTGACCCAGCATCCCATGTGTACCAGGACTTGTCAACCCCCATGGTTAATTTCAACATCTATGTCCTTAGAACCACAGATCAATACTTTGAATGTTAATTACAGAGGTAGGCTCATTTATCATCAATTGCCGATCAGAATGTCAGAACAGTCCACATTCCAACAACTCTGAAAGTGTCATCCAATCTTAACACAGAGGCATTGTATCAGAGTAAAAGATAGGATTCGAATGAGATTGTCTCAAAAAGACATTACTTGGTACTGAAACTTACCCAAACCAGGTTTATAATCCCCAAGAAAGTACACAAACACATACTATAGGGCACTATTATTATAGTACGAGGCTGGTTTGTATGAGGATCACTATGGACACCTTGTCTAATATAAGGTCGACTGTAAGGCTAACAGTGTATCCCAACTTACCTGATGGTCGTCATGGTGTTGTACGTCCGACTGACGAGGGTATCTCTCTCTCCATGCCGCGGCTGGCGAACTGTCATCAATTCAAACGTGTTGGGTCGGGCGCAGATATCCCTTGGAATCAGGCCAACTTTTTCTGTGATGCATCGCTTCAAGTCAATCATGCCCATTGGGTCCTATAACAAAACATTTATTGTATTTATACGACTGTTATTATCCAAGTGTCTGCTGAGAAATTCTTGACCCAATGCCTTCACAAATCCAATAAAAGGTGAGGTGAAATTGGGTTAAGCATCTCGTTCAAGGTAATTTCACTTTAAAGCAACAAGCATGCACACGTGTGTGTGGTAACTTATAATAGTCTGGTCAAAAGCTGGTTTCATTGTGCCACTGAGATACCATGCAGCAGTTTAACATGGATAATACCCCACTCAGACACAGTATCCTGCCTCACAGGCAACCAGTCCTTGTTTTATCTCCTTACTGCCATGCGCCAGGCAGGGCAACAACAGGAACCATCCTTTGGTGTACACATTTATAACCAGAGACACAGAACTGCTTGACCACACCCACCTTGCGGTTCTCATCATCAGGGTACTTCCAGTAGCACAGTTTGTTACGAGCAAGAGCCACCCACCGCCGATGCCACGCTCCAAGGCCGCTCACGTCTTCAAACATCGTCTTTAAAAAATAATCAACAAGGTATGAAAAAATAGACGGGTAAATAAAACCATTTCTTACTCCCGTGAATCAGGAGCTTAGAGGTAGGTAGATAATACTGACATTAAAAATAACTCTCACTGGCCTGCTCCACTTCATCAAAACACACAGCCAGAGTGAGTTCGTGAGTGAGTGTTTGTGTGTGAGTGAGCAAATGAGAAGGTTTAATGCTGCTTTGAACAGTATTCCAGTTATATCACGGTGTGTCAGCTTGATGTGGGAGGAAAGCCCTAAGGGATGCAGGTCTCAGATGTTTACCACTGTGGTGAAACCAAAGTTCATGTTGTACATTATGATACCATCATAACCCAGTATAAATAAACACATGCACTCAGCAATATTCCAGCTACATGACAGTCTGTCAGTAATCAAATCTGGATCAGACCAACCAATGACTGACATCATGAGCACCTATTGACACAATATTGGGATAAGATGACATGCAACGAATAGTCACCTCTTACAACAAGGTGGTTTGCTGGGGACCAGTATAATTCCCAGGAATCCCTATGTCACATGTAATCATGACCCACATGCCTGACTTCCAGTCAGCCATTAGCCTCAAGGGCGGATCAAGCATTTTTGAAAGGAAGGGGTCCAAAACATCAAAATCCTCTCTCAGTAGGGGGTGCGGGAAGAATTGTCTACAACATACTGACTTACCAGGAAGCCTCTCTCTTCCACATTAGCCTCCATGAGACACTTGAGTCGGAGGTAGATGCTGCCGTGCAGGGGGGACAGGTAGGGGAGCTGGAACACACATAGCAACATCAGTACCCGTCCAGCAAATAGAATCTGGCATTAAGCCTACAGCAGACATCTTAGTGAATGCTTCACAATCATATACAGTGTTTGTTTGTTGTTTAACGCTGCACTCAGCAATATTCCAGCTATATGACAGCGGTCTGTAAATAATCGAGTCTGGACCAGACAAGCCAGTAATTAATAGCACGAGCATCGATCCACGCAATTGGGTTCGATGACATGCATCAACCAAGTCAGCGAGCCTGACCACCCGATCCCGTTAGTCACCTCTTACGACAAGCATAGTCTCCATCGCGCAAGCATGGGTTGCTGAAGACATATTCTACCCCGGATCTTCATGAGTCTCATATAGTGAACCTGGGTGATTTTTGTTCGTTTGTTGTTATAATGCCACATTCAAAATTCCAGCCTGAAAATAATCGACCACAGTCCAGTGATCGATAAAGTGAGCTAACAAACACGAAGTTAAAAGTATAATTGAGTTAGTATCCTTGCCCCTATGTGTAACACAATCTTATTATCCATGTTGATGGTGTACCCACCCTCTCCAGGTTGAAGCAGGTCTTGTCCAGTGACTTCATGGTGATGGGCACGGTTGTGATATGGCTGAAGCTGGTGGTTCTCACGGCCGTCGGGCCACCGGGGCTTTGTACTGTAAACACAAACAGTCCGTCAAAAGGGGCCACTGACACTTACCAGGAAGGAAAAGTTCGGATCTGGAGGGGGCTCAGTGGTTGAGGGTGTGAGCAACAATTCATGGCATATCAGTAGGTGCCTCACCCGGGCAGTGTGGGTTCGAATCCTGGATGGGACTCAACCCAAAAAAGTACGAGAATCTGTACTTTACTAAGAAAGTGTTATCCCAAATATAACATTTAACCACTTTCTAAATGGCATTGTGTGTTCATAATTTTAGGTTTTATGGTTTAAATGGAGTATGGCGGCATGGTGGTGAGCTTAATGACTGAAAGACAAAATGATGCAGATTTTAGATAGTGAGTGAGTGAGTTTGGTTTTCCGCTGCTTTTAGCAATATTCCACCAATATCACGGCAGGGGACACCAGAAATGGGCTTCACACATTGTACTGATGTCAGGAATCGAACCTGGGTCTTCGGTGTGACGAGCGAACGCTTTAACCACTGGGCTACCCAACCGCCCCCAGATTTTAGATAACTGCGGCAAGGTCCAAAGGCAGGAGTTTGGTGCCAACCCACACCAAGGGTTTCAACTATTAAATAACAGATAACACTCCCAAGTCACCCGCTACATCAGCTTGTTACATCTTTACTCTATCACCAGAGTAGCAACATGAAAAACCACTCCCGGGGGATTAGATATATTTGTCGTTCACTCACTCATCGGTATACACTAAGTATCTGTAGAGAAGCAGCAGTGTCTTTGATAGAGAGAAACTTGCTCAGCTAGATCTATAACCAATGTGTCGCTGAGACACCTTGGCTTAATACCAGACTTACATGTTATTCCATGTTTTGACTTCTTGGGTGTTTTCTGCTTCTTCTTATCTTTGGTAAGTATTTCCTTGGAAACAGACTGAAATGTGAGAAACATAATCCTTTATTTTCTGGTAATGTAGCTTTGCATCTGTAATACGAACATTAGTCGAATTGTACCATGTTGTACCAGTACTTTCATGATAGTGCCTGGTTTCTTTGTTCTCAAGTCTTTGACAGACATTTACAAGATGGAAGAATGTAAAGACATGAAACGTTTATGGATAATAACTTTTTACATTTTTGTACCAATCATTCAGGGCTGATTCTTGCCCTTTCATCCAGCCCTGCATTTCGTTACAAATAAAAATGAAGTCCACAAAACATTCATGTGTTAAGGTTACAAATCCACAATAACCAGTGTTACTAGATTCTTATAGAAACTGTCATGATGACCACTGACATCTTACAACATGATCTAATGTTTGTAAAGTGAGTATCTACCTAATTACCTCAGGAGCTGTCAATTTATCTAGCTCCTGAAGTAGTCAGCCATACTCACCATGCCATAGATCTCCAGGTCGAGCCTGAAGTCACCGGTGATGCCGTTGATCTTGATGAGGTTGGGGAAGTCGAGGCTGCCTCGCATCATGGGCTCGTGAGTAGAGAGCATCTGAGTGCAGATCACTTGTGTGTCCTTGCGGATCAGGATGATGAAGTAGTATGTTGTGTTATCTACACGACACAAGAAGATCACACTGGTTACATCAAGACCCTTGCAGAATAATATACATAATGACTCTAAATATTGAAACCATCATTGAATCTTCAGCAAAGTACCTCAGTACACATGATGGCAAGCTAAGACAGTTCAGCACCAAGTATACAACTTGATACAAACTTTCAAAACTAAGCTTTTGATTTGTAACGTGTGACAAGTTTAACATGTTTAGAGAACAAGGTGCTAGTCGTCATGTTCACCGACTTAACGAGTCAATGATGATACTTGTTTATATCATGTGTATATGTAGCAGTCTGCAATATAACTATCAATTATCATTGGTATCTCAAGTATTGGACTTTTGACCAGATAAACAAGTGGCTGAAAGTATGAGCAATGATCCATGATGTGTGATTTATTTATGTATACACACAAGCAGCCATTTAACAACCGCATGACTCACTCAAGCATATTTTGAGGTCAATATCAATTCCAATCTCATTAAAATCAGATCTTAGTTCTCGCTACTGCTGAACAAAGCTTTGAACTTCAGCTCGACCTTTTGCGAATTTTGACCGACCAATGGAATAACTGACAAGAAGTCGACATTAGCCAATTAGAAGGCAGCTTTCTTGTGCTCTACGGCACTAGTTTCAAACTGGTGACTACGCTTTGAAAAATATTTTGACAAATTCTTGATTAAAAATTTGAAAACAGAACAAACATTCTGGAATGGCTAATAGATGGCCTAGACTGTGTGGATTCAGTCATAAAGCCTGTAACTGTCGTTCAGAATACCCTGTGTTAAATATTTTGAAGTTGCAGGATCAGAAATAAAATACCGACTGTCACTTTCATGTTCTGGTAAGCGCACTAAGATTGCTCGGATGAAAGGATGTTCTGACTTGAATTGTAATGGGATGTCCTCAGATCTTTTTTCAGCAGTAGTGAGAACTAAGATCGGATTTCAATGAGATTGATATCAATTCCAACGACTAATAAAGACAAAGCACATATCTATCAAATACATTAAACAGGCTGAAGTGAATACACAACCATATCCAGAACTCAACAGAAACATAGCATCAACAATTTCACATGTCAACACTGTCATTTATAAATACATTTGTGTGATCAAATCATGAATGTATCTGTATCAACCAATTGAGGCCATACCTTGTGATGTTCCAATCTTCGTCACAAACTCTTTCTTGAGAGGAAGACGGATGTCATTTAGGGTGAGAGAACCCTTAGGGCCTGGGCCAGTTTTGTCAAGGTTGCCTGTGTTCTTCAGTCTCTGAATTTCCAACATGTATGACTGGCGTTTCTGACCTGCAACCAAACATCATTCAGTTAAGCAATAGATGCTGATCATGTGGATCACAGTGAGTGAGTGAGTATGGTTTTATGCCGCTTTTAGCAATATTCCAGCAATATCATGGCGGGGGACACCAGAAATGGGCTTCACACATTGTACCCATGTCGGGAATCGAACCCGGGTTTTGAGCGTGATGAGCGAACGCTTTAACGACTAGGCTACCCGACCGCCCCTCATGTGGATCGCATTCACGATAACAGGAAAAGCACCAACCACTGTTGGGTAGTGTAACAGCTTATTTAGGAACAGGGGATCATCATGTTCATTTTCAAATTAGTAATTCAAACAAAATAAAAACAATTTCTTAGAGGAAAATAACGCCTTCAGTTACAACATATTTCGATAATATAAAACAGAACACATTTGTAATTGAAAAAGTGGCTTTGTTAACCATGTCTGGTCATGGATGAGATCGCCATGTTATTTGACAAGATGAGCTGAATACACTGAATTTACGTACAAGCCACAAGCAGTACTCGGTTACACTCCACTTGTTCTGGTGAGCCGGCGAAGTAGGAGTCTTTGCTGCAGCACTGGTTGAGGGCGTTGCTGGTCTGCATGATGACGCTCTGCTCTTGCTGAACCAGCTCTTGCAGCTCCTGAATACAAGAGAGACAAATGCTGGCTCAAACACATTATCCTGACGTGGAAAACTAAGTGAAATAGTCTTGAATGTTGGGTCAGCCAGCCTGTTCTGGCAGTAAGTAAAACAAAATGTTCCTGACATATTGTCGGAAAATGCCAACCAACCTTCACAAACAGGGAGTGAGTGAGTTGGGTTTAACGCCGCTTTTAACAGTATTCCAGTCATATCGTGGCGTGTCAGCTTAATGTTGGAGGAAAGCCCGAAGTGATGCAGGTCTCAGAGGTTTACCACTTTGGTGAAACCCACGAGCATGGGTATGGTGCTGACAAACCTAGAAATATAATCGGGGCGAACCAGGATTCGAACCCACAATCATAGGTTTCTGGTGTGCCTAAGGGACGCAAATCTGCACAGTGAATCGTGGCGCCTTAGAAGACTGGGCCACCCGTGCCCCCAGGTTCATAGGAACGTAACTCTAATGTATGTATGTTCCGGACATATTGTCGGATAATGCCAACCAACCTTCACAAACAGGGAATCATGCTGCTAGAAAATACATTCATTGCATACATCTGGGGTTGGTATGATATACGGGACAAGAAACATCACCTACTGGGTTTAACATGACGCACAAATGCAGAGAATGGACGAAAATATCAAATATAATCTGTCCCGAGGGATGCACAATAATGTTCCTTGTACCTACACCTCATCAAGAGAAGTCATGGGTGTCTGTTATTTCATCCATCAATCATGACCACAGTCCACATGATCATTTATTCATTCCCGACTCATAAGTATTTATCTGAACGTACAGTACACTACATTTCATTAATCTACAGGGCCTTCATATTTCCTGCAAGGACCTTAAAATTAATTATTGGGATCCCCTGATCCCCCACTCTTGTAAGTCGAGGTAAAACCGTGCACCCACCTGTATCCGCTCCTGCACGGACTTCCTCTGTTCCTGAGGCGGGGGTTGACGAGGCATGGCCACATCCTCCTCGTGCACATCACTGTCCACGTACTTGCTGTGACGAGATATTATCATCTTGGCTGGCGGGGGAGCTTGAAGGTGCCTGGAGATAAACAACAAGTTGCTGGAAACTGTGGGAGGCTGACCCTAAGCTTGACTCAAGGCGGGGGACCGCCTCCGTGGTCTAGTGGTAGAGCGTCCGCCCAGAGAGCGGAAGGTCCGGGGTTCGATCCCCGGCCGCGTCATACCAAAAGACGTTAAAAGATGGTACTTGTTGTTACCCTGTCTGTCGCTCGGCATTTAGGGGCTAAAACAAGGACTGGTCGGCTCGGAGTCAGTATACTGTGTCTGAGTGGGGTATTCATGTTAAACTGCGGCATGGTATCTCAGTGAGCTAGCACTATAAATCGGCATCAGTCCGGACTAGTACAAGCAGCCACACAAACACACACACGTACATGCACGTCGCTATATAAGTGCAATAATCTTGGACGCGACGTTAAACCCCATTTCACCTCACCACCTCAAGGCGGGGGCTAGGGGTATCATGGGTATGACAGGGCATGCACCAGGGATAGGAATTGTTATTTTCACCAGTCCGCATTGTTCACTTTGGTGAAAACCAAGGGCATGGGTATGATGCTGACAAACCTAGAAACAATCAGGTTAAACTGGGATTCAAACCCACAATCATAGGTTAATGGCATGACCAAGGGAAGCAACTCTGCAGATCAAATTGAGGCGCCTTGACTGGGCCACCTGTGCCCCCAGAAAAGGAAGTGAGCTCACCTGCTGGACCTGTAGGCACTGACACTGTATATAAGACTTCTATCGGTTTCATTCCGGGTCTGGTGGTGATGCCGACGCTGAAACACAATGTTGTGACTTATTCAACAGACCACTGATGTTGTGACCCATGGCCATTGGGAAGGGGAAGGGTAAGGGGGAAAATATTTCAAATATTTTCCAGGGCATAATTGATGTAATGTTTAAAAGTCCACAAGTTAATGAATATCTGACACCATATTCATTAATACTTCCTTTAATGATGGCTTCCCAAATATATCCGGCTTAAACATGTTTGAAAAGGCAAATAAATGAGAGTTTAATATATGAACCATATCTCTCCTCAGTCATCCCATCTTTGTTTCTTTGTTGTCTAACATGTCTAATTCTGCACAAAGCAATATTCCAGCTATGAGAGGAGGTCTGGACCAGACAATCCAGTGATGGACATGATGAACACTGATCTACGCAATTGGGAAACGACATGCATCAACCAAGTCAGCAAGTCTGACCACCCGATCTCATGCATCCCATCTGCTCTAGTAAGCATGTAAACCACCATTCTCAGATGGGTGCCTTTTCTAGGACTGATAGTCATGCTAATTGTACCGCAAAGACCCCTCCAAAAATTGTCAATGATATTATGTGATAGAGAAGAATAGTCATTCAAAGTTGAAAATTCACGAAAATATATGCCATCATCTTATCGAAAGCTAAATCACACCTGATTGAGTGCACTTACCGGTGCAGGAACAGGCGCCCCGCTGTCGTCCGAGTCCATTGCCTCGTCCAGGAGATCATCAATGTCATCCCTGTTGCTGTCTACGCTGCTGGCAAGACTGCTGGAGCTGTCCTGGGCCATCTGTCGCAGGTTGGAGGTGCTGCGGTAGGGGTTCCTGGGGGCTGTGTGATGGGGCTCCTCGAAACTGTCCACGCTCGTCTCGCTGGTGAAGCTCCGTCTGTGATCCTCCGGCCCCGTGGGCAGGACGCTCTCTCTGCGCACAGAATCGGGAACAAATGCACTGAGACTAACATCATCCTCTTCATACACTGGAGGCCGTGGCCTACTCTGATGAACAGGTTTCCGTCTCATCACAACCTCCTCCATCTCAGACTCCGACACATCTTCTGTTTCCGGTTCCGAGTCGGATTCTGGCGCTGTAATGTCTGTCTGGGATTCAGTGTCGTCATCAAATGAAGTTCTCACAGCCTCGCTCTCGTCTGTGCTGTCAAAGCTGTCATCAAACTGGACCTTACGGCTATTGATGGAAGCCTGTCTGTGTACGGCATGACTTGCAGCAGGTTGCTGTGACGGCCTCGGAGCGGGAGCATTGCCCTTATGGGAGATGATTCTGTAGATGCTAGTGCCTTTCCCTTGTTGGCCCGAACTTGGAGGGACTGGGGGTTTTGATGCAGCAGGGCCGTGATTAGATGGTGGCTTGGGTGGGGGTGCTGCCCCTGATGGAGGAGGGGGTGGGGGAGGGGGGATAAACCCAGCAGGGGGCTGTCCGGTTGAAGACTGCTTCTCTTCGGCAACATGCTGGTTGTAAGATTGTTGATTATTGCCTCCCTTGAAGTTGAAGGAAGCCATGTTTTGGCCTTCATCTGAAAGGTCAAATCCCATGGCAGCTAGCTTGTTGTCAAACTCTGTGCAGTTGAGAGAAAAGCGATGTTAGAAAGCTGGCAGTGCAAGAACTACACGAAAGTGATAACGTGACACTTTGTATAGTTATGGATCAGTTGACCTTAGCAGTTATATTAAACTCATACAATAAAATAATTAGCATATCAAATAAAAAATAAATTCACTGTTTGCTACCCTTTTTCATGAACTGAACACAAAGTGTTTTCAAAAAGATGTAAATACTTCTTAATGTGTAGATCTATACCAATCCCTTGTTGCACAATACTTAGTTTTTAAATCACCAAGTCAATAAAATAAGGGGGTCCCGGGCTTTTAACTCACAGTACTTGAATCTAGGGCCCCCAGAAATTTAACCTCTTAAGACCAGTGCTATGACAAGGAACCCTTGACTTTCCCGTTTAATTTCCTGATAAATAGTCCTGATAAATATTATTTCACCCAGACACCACGCTAATGTTATAAGCAAACCTTATGAAAAAGAAATCTGGTCTACAAACATCAATAGTCAGTCAAAACACGAAGTCCATTGAGTGTAAGGCTAACTCACATGATCATAGGTGCACAGGTGAGGAAAGCAAAGCTTTAAAAGTCAGATGTACCATGTGTTAGAATTAAGATTATCTGCAAGCACACAGCACCATATTTAATACAAGTACCGAAGTGGCCATCTTTAAGAAAGAAGAGCAGATTCCTGCATTTTGATTATGGACAAATACAAGTGGACTGTGGTTTTGTTTAAGTTTCAACCTAACACATCATTTGGAAGGGGTTTCTTTTCAAATTGAGCCAAGAACAAAACTATTAGCAAGTGTCATACCATGTCAATATTAAATGTTGTGGACTAAGAAGAACCCTTCTGTACCCAGGATTAGAAGATGTGGTTCTAATTTCAGCCAACTTAAAATAAAGGAAGGTATGTAGGTGTGCTCCTCATGTAGACAATGGTACTGCAGGTAAGTACCAGTAAACCCACACCCATTGTCACTGGTCGGCACCTCACAATACAGTCTGTGGGAAATCAAACATCACTTCTTACATGTCTTAAGGCTGCATCCCTATGAATTTTAATGTGTGCCTATGACTAATATCTAAAAACAATACCAGGGACCACTTGCACAAAAAGCAATCTTAGCACCAAGATGATTGTAACTCCCACATTGTAAAATAGGCTGACGATAGTCTTAGCGCTAAGATCGATTTGTGCAAGTGTGTGCCCTGAATGGGATGTTGCTTAAAGCCAATTCAACAATATGTCGCAAACATTCCTCAGCCAAGTAAAGTGTAGCAGCTCAAGTGTAGCAGCTCAAGTGTGAAGACTCACCAGCCCTGGCTTTGGCCCGGATAGCTTCTTTCTTTTCTTGTTTTGCCACTGTGGGAGTGGTGCCATTAGCAGAGGCCTGGGAAGCCTATGGATTTGAATATGATTTACACATAACGTGCATAAATACAGTGAAACATGGGGCCATAAATGGCTGTTCTGTAACAACTGTTATCAATATATTTTCCCCTCTCTGGATTATAAATACGGATATCCACAAAAATTAACTAAAAAAGGTGGAAAAAGAGATCAATATTACTTAAAAACAAATTATGTTTAGACATGCTGGACCTACACAATCTGAGAATTGATGGTATATGCATAAAGAGAAAAATAAGACTTATGAACTGCTACATTTACTGCTACTCCGACAGAAATTGGCACGGGTCCTATAGTCCTTGCCAAATTGGCAATAGTTTTGGTATCATAAGGACCAGTAGATACTTGCTATTCTTAGGGCAACTTTCCCTGAGGCAAGAGCGTTAACTGACTTTACAAGTCCAGTTTCCACCCTTGCCGAACTAGGCTGGAAGTCCCTTGCTCGATTGTAGCGCCACCAGTGGCTATTACGGGTTATGTCCATTCTATGCCTCTCCCATATGGACCAATCAGATTCCACCTCTCGTATCACATGCATTTGCTTCAAACAAAATGGTGGCGCCCAGTCAAGACAATCTGATAGACTATCAAGATCTATTGTGATAAAACGGTTCTTACTTCACGAAGTACATCAAATCACGTGAGCACCTTGATTAAAAACATGAAAAGATTTGGAAAATATCTGTTGACAACGAGTTGGCGATGCACATGCTTTGGAAAACCTGCAATCGACTGAACTCGGCATGACAGTTTACGAACCGGATTCCGATTTTAGTGCGCGATTTTGATTGGACTATGCATAGACTCGTTAGTCCAGCCAAATTGTAACTACATAATCCCAGCCTAGTACGGCAAGGGTGGAAACTGGACATTTATAGTCAGTTAATTCTCTTGCCTCGGGAAGATGCTCTTAGGGTTTTGCTAAATGTTATCATCATAAGGATGAGTGAAGTAAAAATGTTAGTTTCTATCGCTGCTACTCACTGGCTGATCGGATGAGTTGTCCTCCTTCAGGATGCCATTCTTCCACCTATTCTGTATCGTCTGCAGCTCCGCCATCCGCTCCCCCCTCAGCTTCTCCATGATGTCCTGGCTCTTGCTGCTGTTGTGGGTCTGTTCCATGAGGCGCTGGTGCACGCTCTTCATGGTCCCGCTAGCGCTGTTTGGCGACAAGGGACAAGATTTCAATGTCTTTGCAGGGGACGTGGCCATTATTTGCTGGGCACGCTCAGTGATGGCGTCCATAACAACCTTGCTGGGCGTCACGCCTTTCTTGGTTGCCGACCCTGGGGGAGGAGGTCTGGCTGGGGACTTCTGAGGAGATACTGGCTGCTCACCAGGGTTCACCTTCTTTATGTAGCTCACCTGGTTCGATGATGACATGTGTTCCCATGCCGACATACGTGCATTGACGGAATAAGCTGTTGGCTCCTCCTCAACTGGCGGAGGTTTGGTCTGTTCCTGCCATTTCGCCATCCTCTCTGATACAGATCGGGTGGTCGGATCATCAGACCCTGCAGATACCATGCTCACGGGTCTCTCCGTCCTTGGTGTCGGTTGGGAGCTCTTCACAGCTGCCATTGATGGAGTACTGATAGGTCGAGCTGGTGCATTCTGGGACTTAGCTGGGGTGCACATCTGTCGAGGGGTATGCAAGACCTTGCTGACTGTGGCATCTGGTGCATTTGGGGGTTTAGCTGGGGTACACATTTGTCGAGGTGTGTGTAAGACTTTGGTGACCGTTGGCGTGGCAGCTGGGGTCTCATTTACTTTCTTCTCCCAGTTTGCCATCCTGGCTGAGACAGGTGTCTGTGTTGGGTCTACAGATTTGCTGGCTTTTGGCGTTTCACAAGTGGTTTTCTTGGCCCACGAGTTGAATCTCTCAGAAACAGGCTTGCTAGTTGGTTCGTCATCAGTCTTTTCCCCATCAGATTCATTCAGTCCCCGGACATTCACCGGAATCTGTGCAGTGAGACGTCTGTCGTCGGGTTTTGGCGGGACTCGCACTTGTGGGGTGAGGGGAGAGGACATTTTCTGTTCAACTCTTCTTGATGGGGACTGTGTGGATATGCTACTGTTAGACAGGTTACCAAATGTCAGCTTGGACTTCACTGGGGAGGGAGCAGCACGGTGAGGTTTCACGGGGGATACCTTGGCCATCTCGGGCTGAACAGATGTGGGGGGCTGGGGTGCACGGTACTTCTTGGGTGAGTTCTGTACCCCAGTGGGGGGACATTGTGGGGCATTGGACTTGCTTCTATCTTCTGATGGAGCTCTTGGGGGCTGCCATCTTGGTTTCGGCTCTTCTTCTTTCCTGCAAATGAACAGGACATCTCTACATCAGTGAATAGGTAAAAGCTATTTTAAACGAGAGAGAATCCGGGTATTTGAAACACCTTGAACAAACAGGTGAACAATGCCTCACACCCAAGTGAAGAGCCCACCACATACACACAGATATGTTTCCCTCACTGTTTTATGTGTCCTTGGAGTCACAGCTTAAGAATTCTTCATATTTTATCCAACTGGCAAACTTGCGTGAGCGTGCATCAATAACTTAATTTCAACAGCATCATTCACCTTATGAAGCAGCGAGAATAACCCTGACAAATTCTTAGAAATAATAAGCATGACAAGGAGTTTGTTTGGTGTATAACGCCACACTCAATATTCCAGCTATATGATGGTGGTCTGTAAATAATTGAGTCTGGACCAAACAATCCAGTGACTGACATCATGAGCATCGATCCACGCAATTGGGATATGATGACATGCATCATCAACCAAGTCAGCGAGTCTGACCACCAGATCTTGATAGTCGCCTCTTTTGACAAGCATAGTCGCCTTTTACAACAAGCATGGGTTGCTGAAGATCTATTCTACCCCGGATCTTCACAGGTCTGATAAAGCAGCTGTTATGCATAAAAAAACATGTCTTCATGTTCCACCAACTTCTAAGTTAATGCCAATCAAACACTAATTTGGACATTTGCAAAATTCTCAGGAGATTGTTTTTGTACGTACTGTATCTTGGGTTGACTCAGATCCTCCTCCCAGCTGTTGATGTTCTGTGCGAGTGCAGCCAGTCGGCCGCGGCGTGACGGCGGCGCTTGCTGGCTGGGGGTGTTCTCATCATCCAGGCAGTTGCTTAAGCTTTTCCTCGGAACAGGTACTGGACTGGCTGTACAATTAAATAGTATCAGGGGTGAGAATTGTTTATATGAGGGAAGTCTTTCTTGCAACAGCAGTGAAACAAACAAAACAAAATTAATACAAAACTTGATAGATAGATATATATCACATTGTATTTGATAACATGTTATTCAATAGTTAACAGGCCTCTTATTACCAGTTGGAACTAATGGTAAGATACACGAACCAGCAAGTACATCAACAATTTATTTGCAGAAATCTTTTGGGATGAAGACCCTCTCCTTCAATAGGTGTGAGTGTGACGTACCAGCATCAGGGTTGTCGGACCAATCATCTCTCTGCTGAGATAGTTGCTGCAGTCGTGAACGCACGCCAGTGATAGCTGGGGTGTCCTCTTTCACTTCTCTCTCAGTCTCACGTACACACTGACGCTTTGGGGATTCTGACAAAAACACAAAGACAATTTATGTTTCAGAATAATGCATTCAAGGGTTAGAGGTTACTTTCCCACAACGTTCAGCTTAGGCACTGTCCAAAGTTAAACATGAAAATCCATGTCATAACCATACTGTAACACATTAAAGATTCAGCTGGTCGCTAAATTCAAATATAGAAGACCTCAATGACACTCCCCTTAATTTTGAACATGTTGAATACTGTAAGTGTAACAGTATCAACTGACTCACAGTATCTAACTAACAGATGAACCACAGCTATTTCTGCATGGGGTAGCAATGCCTGTGTTTTCATGGTCACAACCTTCAAAATTCATGCTCACCTGAGATCAGTAAACTGTGGTGAGGAAAAGTACAAATCCATTGATGGTAGTCCTCATTGACTAGTAGCATTTGTTTGTGGTTCAATGCCACACTCAGAAATATTCCATCTATATGACGGCAGTCTGAAAATAATCGGGTCTGGCCCCGACAATCCTGTTACAATTCATGATCATCGATCGACGCAATTGGGATCGATGAAATGCATCAACCAAGTCAGCGTGTCTGACCACCCGATCCCGTTAGTCGCCTCTTACGACAAGCACAGTTGCCTTTTACTGCAAGCATGAATTGCTGAAGACCTATTCTACCATGGATCTCACAGGTTGGTAGCGTTTGAGGGCTTAAGTCTGAACCAGTTCTCAATGCTTCAATTTTGCTACAAATTGGAACTGAATGAAGCTGACAGAAAATGTAAACATAGTAAACATTTTTGTCTTTTTCAAGAAGGACTACGACAAACACTGGGGACCTTAAAACTAATTAAAAAAATTGTAAGGATGTGGTCGCCTACCATCATTCTGCTGTGGATCTTCTATGATGTTGTCTGTGGTGTCTTCTCCGAGAGGTGTACGACGCTTCCTGGGGGTGGGATCAGGAGTCTTGCCTAGCTTCTGGTTCAGCATTTCTCGCCGTTGCCGGGTCCTCTCAATCAGTTTCTGTCAAAAATAAGATTAACTTATGACTTCTAACGGATAATTGAGTGTTCAATGTTGACTATTTCAAAAGCCTGTAACCATGGCAACAGTGATTTCTAAATGAAGAAGCTGTAAGGTCCCATCTCCTATATCATGCACTAGGGCTACAACGAATACACTATGAGACGAATATAGGGTAGCGAATACGAATATTAATTCACGAATACATTAACAAGTCAGCAGTTTAAGCATTATTTGTTATATTCAGTCAAACATTAACAACATTAATAATTTGACATGGTTTGTTAATTATTAATATATTATATATACATTTATATACTGCACTTATCCAGGTACTGGTATCTGCTCAAATGCGACAATGACCAGTGACTACAACATGTACAATACTGTCAAATTGTATATTATAAGAGTGTTGTCTTTGAAGAAATCTATGCATATAATATGTTCCTATGGATATTTTTAGGTACAGGGTAATTAAATGTACATGTTTGCATATTCATAAGCATGATAAGTATTTGATTGTAGAGGCCACGAATAAGAAATTCAATTCATGAATGGATACGGTTCGATTCACCGAATATGTGAGTGTATCGAAAAGCCCTATCATGTACATTTGTCATTGCAGTTATTTTTGCCACGACAGAACACTACTTGTGATATGAAAATGGTGTGATAATGTCCAAAAGTCTTTATCAACCATGTCAAGTCTATATTTTACAGGTTAACTTTGAAATTTTATGATCAACATGACAAAGATGTTGATGTATCTCAACAGCATGAACAAACTGGACACTGATTTTGTATTAACATGATTATGACAATCAGAAATTCTGACCAAGAAAAACAACTAGGACATCACTGTTACAGGCCATGTCTAGCACTCAGCGTTATACTGTGACAGTCCGAGATGATTTCTGCGATTACGGAAAGATTTGCAGAAAATGTAACCTACCACAGAATTGCAGAAAAATTACGGAATTTTCCTGTTTTGTTTATCAATCAATACACCAATTTTATTATTTACAAACTTTTCTATAAAATGCTGCACTTGATTGATGATGCCCAGACATTTAACGGGTGATTAGAACATACAACTTACAAAATATGAACTCCACAATAAAACAAAAATTTAAATAAATAATTCTGACTTTTAAATGATCTTGAAGTATTATGACTACATGAACGTGATGAACTATGTTTACATCTGACCATACATAAATATCACTGACATAATGCATATGAGTTGGTATTAATTTTTTAGAGGGAAATGGTTGTTGAATATTGATATTTTTACTGCCGAATTCGTCTAGGACTGCAGTGACAGGCCTCTGTCCATCATGGACCATGCTAATGTATCCAGTGTATCATATTTCACATTTTATTATGCTTCATACCCCAGATAATCAAGGATCATGTATTACTTTCTATCAAGCAAAATTTAAAACATGTTTAATCTAAAGGTTGCTCAATTTACAATTAGATGACAATTATCAACTTGATAAACATGATAAATGTCATAAAAATGTTTTGTAAACAATAACTGAAATATATTATAATAGTGAGACTGCACAGTTTGATCATGATTATTATCTTAACTTGCTGACCTTGCGATAATCTGTCTATTAGTATATACATGATATATAATATATATAATGTGTGTGTGTGTGTGTGTATATATATATATATATATAATGTGTGTGTGTATACATATACACATATATATATAAATAAATAAAACTTTTGACAGTTGTATCATGGTTAAACTTAGTAACTGCCTTAATTGAAAGTTGAGTTACAACAATGTATGTGATCTGATCGCTGCTTAATGTTGTGGTGTTTGAATTATCTTTTTTTTGTGCAGAGCTGACTGAGTTTGTCAATACATATGTATTGAGTTTGGGCGGAAAGATTACCATTCAATTCTGCACCTATTTCATTATAAGGTAATACTAAACAGGGGCACTTCCCTGTATATTTTTGGATGGGGGAAACAAATGTTAGTGAGGTAAATATTTGAATTTTGACAATAGCATACATAGAAACCTCTGCCTTCAGCATGTATCCCTGTTCAAAAGGTTATAAATGTATGCATTGCTGCTCAATCCTTTTAATAATATATACTTTTGAGGGGGGATACGGGCGGAAGTCTTACCAACCTTTTAATATTTACACAGTCAGCAATTTACTCACTGGTCAACACATGTTCATGTGTACTGGAATACAACCTTTTCCATGTTTATTGGATTTGTTTGAAACATACATAATGATCAATTCTGAGGCCATAATTTACTAATACCAGATAGCGGTGAATACCGATTCTTTCCAGGGTATTGTTACACAGCCACATGTCTGTTAGGCCAAGAACAGTGAAAAAATTAGGGACTAGTTATCACATCAAATGTAGTCATATTACAGCAATAATTTAGTTTGTTTGTTGCTTACGCCGCACTCAGCGATATTCCAGCTATATGACGGTGGTCTGTAAACAATAGAGTCTGGATCAGACAATCCAATGATTGACATTATGAGCATCAATCAAGTTAGCAAGCCTGACAACCCGATCTCGTTAGTCGCCTCTTACAACAAGCATGGTTTGCTGAAGACCTATTCTGCCCCAAATCTTCGCAGGTCCATAAATAATTTAGGCTACTGGTCCTAAAACATGCTAAATGACCCGCAGTCTAATTAGATAAGACCAGCTGTGTCTAACCCTGTACCACAGTATCCAACATGTTCAAATTAAAAAGATATTTTCAAACCTGCATATATTAGTATTCGACTGGTATGCCCTCTACAAAAAAACACTTCCCATTTACCACCACAGTATTTACAAAACACACGATTAACTAGCATTCGAGTCTGTCATAGTGTCAGTTTTAACCAAACATGTCAAACCTTGAATTTCATGAATTAACGAAAGGAACACACACGAAGACAATTTATGAATATTATCTACAACAAATGCATGGACTGGCACAATACAAAGATTAGTGATTGTGATAGAAATCTAACATGGACGGACTATTGTGTATGTGTTATTGTATCTCCTGTTACCTGATACTTACCATCAAGTCCCCATCCCTCCTGTCATCTCCATCAATCACTGTTACTTTGATGTCTATTTCAACATTAGTATCAAAACTAGTCTGACAATCCATTTCCTCCATGATTCATTGATATTTTAATCAATGCTATGCAAACAAGTTCAGCCTTTTTCAACGGGTTGTCTACATTCAAATAAATCTACATGCCCCGGGGCTTATCTCTTCTGATTGCTTGACAGGTGTGTAAGAGATTTTCCAGCCTTGAGATTCAAACAATCAGCAAAAACGAAAAATCACAGTGTTCCAAACGACAGAGGTTTATGAGCGTTTTCAATTTTCCCGATCGTCGCGAATCAAATCTAAAGTTCTTAGTTTTCAAACTGAATCTTTCAAGGACAACGGTAAAATATGTCAAGGAATACTCAGACCCCAATAATGATAAGACCACAGTCTACAAATGTGCCCAGCAACACAAAGAGCCGACCGGGCTGCAAGCAAGTAAAAATTCTCAAAAGGTGGCCATGGTATTTCGTCGTATGCCCCAGTCGCAAAAATGATCGTCACCACTTGAAGTTGAAAGGCTCATTTTGTCTGGAGCTTACATGTATGTGCGTAATTGCACGAGCTTAGAAGTCATATACATGCACGTGAAAAACTTACCTCGGTGTAAGGATCCATTGTCTTTTGTTTGTAAACATCGGCGTCCCGAGCAGTTTCGAACAAGAAGCTCGGACTTTCAGCTTCCCAGCTTGATTTTGAAATTGGCGGTTAAAGTCACGTTCTATCTCGTGCAGTCTCGCGATGAGTCAAACCGGAACCGTATGCAATCCGGAACAAGTTGCGAAAGTTTCAAATCTCATTGGACATGCCAAGTCATCCTAACCAAGGATTAACCAATCAAAACCGAGAAAACTTTAAAAGTTCATAATAACACATATAATAACAAATCCACGTGACTTATAATAGTATCACTTCCGTAACCCCAGGCTTTTAATAGATACTGAGGTATTTGACAAAGTAGGGAAGTACATGTACATAGAAGTAAATTTAATAACCGATTTAAAAGCACGGCTATCAGTCGCAGCTAAGGAATCGCGTAAATTAGCTCAATATGTGCCATATAAAATAAATTTGTTGTTTACAGTAGGTTGATAGGAGAATTTTATATTCTCTTTCGTTTAAAAATCAAAGTAACCTGACACCACGAAGAATAAAACGTGATATGAAAAAAGGATAAGAAACCAAAATGACACATATATTTAGAATATCTATTACGCAGTCGCACGAGTTTGCGACATACGGTACAGTAAGCATGCAGATAGTCAGTAAATTAGGAAATTATACATTGATACATTAAAATTGGGGTTGGAATGCGAAAGACAATATGACGCATCAGTGGGAAAGTTAATTTTACTAACACTAAAAAATCTATTTAAAGTCCGTTTTGTTCCTACATCCGCCTTTGTGACAAAACGACATTGGCCTCGGACAAACTCTTCCGATGCAGAGACTGCGTGATTGTGAATGTTGTCAAGTGTGACGTCATGGAAATTGACACCATAGTTCGATTGATACGTGAAACATTAATGTTGTCGTACACTCGGTAAAATTGTAAAGAATGTTTTTAAAATATTTCTACCCTTTGGAGGTTGAGATTATTTAAATTATCCCTGTCATAAATAACATTCCTTTAAATAATAACAGGCTGTTGAAAATTTTGGCGAATGAAATAAAAGAAACATTGACATCTGCTTGCGCTGTTAAGTGTTCGCATACAGATGACTCCGATCATGTACGTACAAAAACACCCTGTTTTATACTTTTCTAATTGAATCGCCTGTATACAAACTCATTTATTTTCCAATATTAGAAAAGAAGTCAAGTATGTTTTCTATTATATATACTAGTATTGTATGACAATGAACACATGTGCCCGGAAGCACACCGGTGCTCTAATTATACTACTTCAGGGCTCAGGTGTTGATTATTGCATAAAGTTACCCTCAGGGCCATGGATATCGGGATAATTATATTCGGGGAGTCTCACACTCCGGCACAGGAAGGACTTAGCATGACGCCACTGTCGTGTAAACAAGTTTATTTGCACATCACGTGACAGGACTTGATTTGTAAACAAAACAAGAGAAGTTTATGCTATTGATGCTTTACAGACTGTTTCATGAATACTATAAATATATCCTACTAAACAGTCGGATTGGATTTGACCCAAAATTACAAATGTTATCAAAACGTCACTGGATGAAAACAGTCGCCGCGGAACACAGCAAACCTACCGCCGCAGTAGTAACCTGCCGGGCAGAAGGAAGTATACGCCCATTTGATGGTGGCTGAAAATAAAACGAACAAGAACTGTTTTTTTCGATGGGGATGTATTTGACACAGGTATTATAGTTGTGCTTTGGACCTTGAGTTTGCAGTGTTTCCGCGACTATCTTCAGCCTATAGTAATTGTAAATTCAATTTCAAGTTAATACTTTCTTTTGTCCGGCAGTTCGAGCCATGATAAAAAGAATGATTCGGTTGGATTCCAAGACTTTACTCATCAAGGCAGTCGTAATGTCAGACTCCACAACATCCTACAGCACGAAACATTTTTTCACAGTCATATATTTATCACACTCGTTGATATTAAATAATACATTGGGAAGTAGAACAATTAGAGAATAACCGATAACGAATCTATGATATTGATCAGTTGCTATGCATCCTGTAATCGAAACGAAAAACCAACGCGAGCCTGTTTCTCTAACATATTTCACATAAAGAGCCAAAAGTATGTTTTGTGTAGGTATAGGTTTAGTTCTTCAGGTTCAGTACATACTTACACGACCCGTGAAGATCCGGGGTAGAATACGTCTTCAGCAACCCATGCTTGACGTAAAAGGCGACTATATGCTTGTTTTCAGAGACGACTAACGGGATCGGGTGGTCAGGCTCGCTGACTTGGTTGATGCATGTCATCGTATCCCAGTTGCGTGATGTCAATAACTGGATTGTCTGGTCCAGACTTGAATATTTACAGACCGCCGTCATATAGCTTGAATATTGCTGAGTGCGGCATTAAACAAACAAACAAACAAACAAACAAACAAACATAATACATTGAGAATTAGAACAATTAGAGAATAACCGACTGGCTACGGGGAATCACGGGTTATATGTCCAGATTTAACGAATCGGCTTTCTATGATATTGATCAGTTGCTATGCATCCTGTAATCGAAACGAAAAACCAACGCGAGTCTGTTTCTCTAAAATATTACACATAAAGAGCCAAAGATATGTTTTGTGTAGGTATAGGTTTACCTCTTCAGGTTCAGTACATACTTACACGACCCGACCCGTGAAGATCCAGGGTAGAATCAATCTCATTAAAATCAGATGATCTTAGTTCTCGCTATCGCTTTGTTTAGCTTAGATCTGATTTTAATGAGATTGGGGTAGAATACGCCTTCAGTAACTTATGCATGCCGTAAAAGGCGACTATGCTTGTTTTAAGAGGCGACTAACGGGATCGGGTGGTCAGGCTCGCTGACTTGGTTGATGCATGCCATCGTATACCAATTGCGTGATGTCAATCACTGGATTGTCTGGTCCAGACTTGAACATTTACAGACCGCCGTCATATAGCTTGAATACTGCTGTAAATAATCGAGTCTGGACCAGACAATCCAGTGATTGATAGCACAAGCATCGATCCACGCAATTGGGTTCGATGACATGCATCAACCAAGTCAGCGAGCCTGACCACCCGATCCCGTTAGTCGCCTCTTACGACAAGCATAGTCGCCTTTTACGGCAAGCATGGGTTGCTGAAGACCAATTCTACCCCGGATGTTCAAGGGTTTCGTTCGTTTTATCAGTTATTACTTCTTATGTGATCATCATAATTATGGTTTTATTACGGAAACATGACTCAGCGTAAAGGATACAAAATTATCCCTAGATGGGTTCTTATTACCACAGATAGCGTCAGATAATATTAATTAAAGCACAAAATGCGCCACACACGTTTTCTCACAGAAGGGTTTGGTTGACGGACAAGGGCAGCTTTGAATGCCAGTGGTCTTATAATGGAACGCTGTCCTTGCATACAACATATATATATATATATATATATATATATATATATATATATATATATATATATATGTATGTATGTATGTATGTATGTATGTATGTATGTATATATATATATATATATATATATATATATATATATATATATATATATATATATATACATATCATGGCTGCGATGTGACACTGTCATAACGTTCTTGTTTTGACGTAGGTTCAACAAAACAGTTGTAATCGGGCGATTGCGCATTCTAGTATCGGTGCCAGTTGACCCCGTTACCCACATACCGTGTCCGGAAAATGTGTCAGTGTACAGGGTATGCAGTGACGCGTCACACTGCTTCCGTCTACAACTTTAAGTCTTCCTTGTTCGTAAACTTTGCCATTGAACACAGACATGCAGGAACGCACACGTCACTACAAGGGGAAAATCCTATATTCACACAAATACGATTCAATAGGACTTTCATTTTTCAAAATCATTATTACAGACAGGTCCAGCTGACTCAAGTCACGCGTTATCATATGACCACGCGCTGTACTGGACCCTCTATCAGTATCCATGGTAGTTATATCGAACAGAACATCGCCAAGATGGGCCGAGAGCTGACGGTGTGCGTTGTCGTCCTGGGGGTACTCTGCTGTCTGTCTGGGGGTGCGGCCTCGGGGGCTCGGGGGCCGGGATATCGGTCCATCAACGGAGGGTCTAACTGTGCAGGTAATATAGACTACTCCATCACATTCCTACAGTTAACTTTTCATTTATTTCGAGGAAATACATGCAGTGAAACCTATTTATTCCGAACGGTGTATAAATAGAGAATACTACACTCATCCTCGTTAAATACCATTTTTTCGAAACGAGTGGACTTTCTATGGTATTGTCAGCTTAATGTGGGAGGAAAGCCGGAAGTGATGCAGGTCTTAGACGTTTACCACTTCAAAAAACCGAAATAAGAGTGTTAGGAAGAGTTTTAAATCGTTTTCACCAATATTATTCATACTTTGCACCCACACGCGGAATCGACCCATGACATGCGAACGTTTAAACCACTATCCTACACCAGTAGCTCCTTTAGAAAGGACTGGATGTCTTTCGTCAAACTATAAAAAGAAATTGAGGATTTGACTTTTTTCAAGAAAAGACAAACGTTCTATTTATTATTCTGAAAACGAAAGTGCCATTTAGACTGAAAGTAAGTTCTGTCAAAAAGTGTATATTCAGAAAAAAAGTGTTTTTCCATAACTAAATGAACTGTGAAGATCCGGGATAGAAATGATCTTCAGCAACCCATGCTTGCCGTAAAAGGCGACTAACAGGATCGGGTGGTCAGGGTCGCTGACTTGGATGATGCATGTCATCGTATCGCAGTTGCGTGAATCGATGCTCATGATGTCAATCACTGGATTGTCTGGTCCAGACTCGATTATTTACAGACCGCCGTCATACAGCTGGAATATTGCTGAGTGCGGCGTTAAACAACAAACAAACCAAACAATCAAATCCATAACTAAATACAGAAATAATAACTATATTGTGCTCCTCACAAAAATAATACACGTGCATATACAGATAGAACAAGTGTCATGTATTTTCAATCTTACTGATTAAGAGGGCAAGCGGGGCAGAGTACATACAAAATACAGAATCCGAGATACACAATAATCACAAACCTTGGCTTGTGTTGGTTTCATGACAACAGATAAACAGTGATAACTTATTTAAGCACGTGTGATAATTGATAACCCAATAACCCAATAACCTTTGTGAGAAAATGGACACATTACGCCCATCCATGTTAATGTGGACCATGTATTGCTCAAAATTGATGGGGTGATTATGATGCCTTGGTTGTATCTCACCACAAGAACATATGTAAATTCACACTCTGAAGCCAAGTGGTTTTCCTCTGAACAATAGCCAGGTTCGTCCCGATTATGTTTCTAGGTTTGTCAGCACCATACCCGTGCTCGTTGGCTTCACCGAAGTGGTAAACGTCTGAGACCTGTATCACTTCGGGCTTTCCTCCCACAATAAGCTGACACGCGGTGATATAACTAGAATACTGTTAAAAGCGGCGTTAAACCCAACTCACTCACTCACCAAGTAAGGAATAAAATATACCCATAAACGTTCGCTCAGGTATTCTGCAAGTCATCCAGTATAGATCAATCAATAATAATGAATGAATTGGTGGTTTGATGAATGGATCGGGGTTGGTATGTAGTCTGATTTATTGATTCAAGACAAAGACCGACACTCTAAACCTATGTGTTTCACAAAAGTGGTAGATGTCTGAGACCTGCATCACTTGGGGCTTATCTCCCAAAGTAAGCTGAAACACCGTGCACCGGCAATGTTAGCATCATCCTATTGTTTTTATTATCACAACTGGGGCAAGGGTGACCCAGTCAGCTAAGGCGCCGCAATTCGCTGTGCAGAGTTGCGTCCCTTGGGGACGAGAGAAACCAATGGTCGTGGACTCGAATTCGAGTCTCTTTTATTTTTAGGTATGTCAGCCCCATACCCGTTCTCGCGGTTTTTCCACAGTGATGAACGTCTGAAACCTGCATCACTTCGGGCTTTCTTGCCACATTAAGCTGACACATCGTGATATAACTGGAATAGTGTTCAAAGCGGCGTTAAACCCAACTCACTCACTCTGAACACTAGATTGAACACATGAATGTCACTGAAGATATAACACTTTTAGAACACTTTTAGAACACGTTTAAAGTGTTCCAGGGTGCCGTTGTACAAAACAACATTAGCGCTACAAGAGTCGTAAGTCTATTTTAAAGTATGGCTGTTACGATCACCTTAACGTTAGCTTTGTACAACGGTACCCAGGACAATATGCAGAACACTACCGTCTCGGAAAACTGCTTCGAATAAATATTGGAAACGCTTCAACATGCTAATGATCCACAGTAAATAACCTCTATTTCCTCTTTTATCACTGAACATGTCTCTTGAAGTTAATAGAACTGTAACATAAGAACATCTTTCTAAATGCATGAAAACAATATCTGTGATATTTACAGTTTGTAAAAGTTGTATCACATTGTTGTTCATACATGGTATCCTTGTGCATTTAAAAGCATATTTACAAAATGTTACATAAACAATCTGTTATCCCTAACATAACATTTCATTCTAAATGTGATAATCTCTAGCATAACGTTTCAATCTAAATGTGACAATTACATTCAAAAGATATTGAAGCATATTCTTTTGGGGTTATTCTTTAACGAATGAACTAACATGTAAATAATTAAGCAAACATAGCAGGATACCATGTTTGTGTGTTATTCTCTGCCTTCCTGGGGCAGTTGAGCTATATCTCATTGACGAGAGTGCTTATCTCTCTAATCGGCCAGTTTAAGGCATCACATTTGCCATTCTCAAAGCGAGGCCATGAAAACGCGGGAAAATGAAGGAAATAGAAAGTTAACAAATATTGCAATGAAAAATGGTAGTATTAAATAATTTGACAGAAAATAGATTATCAGCCTACTTATTATAATATATCTTTTAATCCAGTTAAGAATAAAAAAAGTGAGAGGTCTGTACTCCGCGGGTGTTTCTTCTGGGTAAATCTCCCCAAGAAGGATGGTTTTATAGCACCGCCATGACTATAGCATGCTTAAAAAAACCTCCATGACAAATATGTAATAAATGGTTGTTGTTGTTGTTGTTGTTTGTTGTTTAACGCCGCACTCAGAAATATTCCAGCTATATGACGGCGGTCTGTAAATAATCGAATCTGGACCAGACAATCCAGTGACTGACATCACGAGCATCGATCCATGCAACTGGGATTGATGACATGCATCCACCAGCCTGATCACCCGATCCCATTTGTCGCCTCTTACGACAACATAGTCGCCTTTTACGGCAAGCATGGGTTGCTGAAGACCTATTCTAACACGGATCTTCACGGGTCTAATAAACTGTATCTCTCACCAAGAAGATGCCATGTAGCTTGACTCCATCAAAACACGCCCGTGTTCTACACCAGATCACGGGCCTTCAGCAATAGAACACGTGCTATCCTCAACAGAACAGTCGTTTTCGCGTATGGACGCGTCCAGTTTTCAATATGAGAGCACACAAGTTTAGAGTGCAGGTCTTTTTCTTGAGTCAATAAATCAGACTATACATACCAACCCGGATTCATTCATTCGTCTACCCATTCATTCATCCGAATCGATCATTTATTCACCCACCCAGACGTTCATTAAATTAAAAAGACCCGTGAAGATCCGGGGTAAAATAGGTCTTCAGCAACCCATGCTTGCCGTAAAAGGCGACTATGCTTGTCGTAAAAGGCGACTAACGGGATCGGGTGGTCAGGATCGCTGACTTGGTTGATGCATGTCATCGATCCCAATTGCGTGGATCGATGCACATGATTATAATCACTGGATTGTCTGGTCCAGACTCAATTATTTACAGACCGCCGTCATATAGCTGGAATATTGCTGTGTGCGGCGTAAAACAACAAACGAACCAACTATTAAATTAAATTAGATTTGATTTGGATTTGAAGACTGGCAGAAGATGTGAATGGTCGTTTATGAGTATATTTAAGTGCTTGCTTGATTGAGTGTGGTTTATGCTGATTTGAACAGTATTCCAGTTATATCACGGCGTGTCAGCTAGATGTGGGAGGATAGTCGTCGTCATGCAGGTCTCAGAGGTTTACCACTTTGGTGAAACCCACGAGCACGGGTATGGTACTGACATGTATGGGTATGGTAATCGGGGCGAACCGGGATTCGAACCCACGATCATAGGTTTCTGGTGTGACCAAGGGAGGCAACTCTGCACAGAGCGTTGCGGCGCCTTAGACGCCTCCTCAAATCCCAACTGTTCACCAGCTCCTCGCACTGAGCGTGGACACCGCGGGGAATCCTCGATAAAATGATAAAATATCAGGTTCCTGTGGAATTGCAGTATCCAATCATTGCCTTTCAAGCGCGGATACAGAATTTTGGAAAAGGTGGTGTTAGTGCACTTCAAGAACAAACATGCTTGTAAGCCAAAAACAGGGTGTGGGGTGCTAATTGTCTCATGCTCCCTACCATTACCAGATGTTAGTTAAAATATAACGTCGCATCGACATAATTTCATCCATATAGCGACGTGTGTGTATTCCTTTGATTGTACTTGTCCAGACTAAGGTCAGTTTTATAGTGCCAACACAGTTTAACCTACTCAGACACAGCTTTACTGAACCCGAGCCTTGTTTAATCTTAATTCTGAGAGCCAGGCAGAGTAACAAAAAGTACCAATCTTAACGTATTTTGGTATGACGCGGCCGGGGATAGAACCTGCGACCTTCCGCTCTCCGAACAGACGCTCCATCCACTCGACTACAGTCACGGCTGATGAAAAACCGAATTGTATTCACACATTGTTGGGATTCGAACTCGAATCTTGACATGAGGAGCCCACGCTTAACATACTAGGCTACCCAACAATACCCTTATATCCTACGTATCAGTGATCATATCCTGATTGTGTAAGATTGAAATAGCTAATGAAATAAGGCTATGCAAAGGAAAAAACCCCTTTAGAATCAGAGTTAATTTCGGCAAATGTTATGTACTAACGTATCGGAGACACGAGCCCCTTTAAATCTCGAGTTGTCTCCCCCTCCAGCATGCACGGTCGTGATTTCCTTGGTGGAGCAGCTCTCGGAGATCTACAACGAGACGACAGTGCAGGCTCTGGACCGACTCTGCTCCTTCCTACCGACCAAGTTCCAGAATGCTTGCAAAGCCTTCGCCGATTTTGTTGGACCTGTTCTTCCTGAATTGTACGTAACCTGAGCTCTGCGCATGTGCGGTGGAGTATAGACATGCGCAGACCCTCAATACGAATTGAGCGAGTGAGTGAGTGAGTGAGTTGGGTTTAACGCCGCTTTTAACAGTATTCCAGTTATATCGCGGCGTGTCAGATTAATGTGGGAGGAAAGCCCGCGATACGAATTGACATTTTCTGCCCCAGAATCTCTTACATGTGTATATATTATAGTATTGGTCTTGTATACCACATGTTCAACTGTATATAAAACACTGCCCTTGGGTAATGCATGTACATCTCTACAATCCTCAAGGTTGGAAGATGTTGATCAGGTTGGTCACACTTGGATGATTGCTTGTCTTCATGCACCGATGACGTTATCGTTTTTACCGCTTGTAGTCACTGGTAGGCATGGACCAACTCGATTATACAATCACCATATAAGTAAAAGATGACACTAGAAAAAACCCACAAATTTTAGAACTTTAGACCCCTCTGAGCCATTACGAATATGTAAAAAGTGACTTTCCCTTTTTTCACTGTGACTTGGGATGTAAAGATACATTGTTTGAGTGTGTTAGCCACGGCGTGGTAAAGAGGCTGTTGTCTATTGCAGCATCTCTAAGGAGGAGAACCCTGACACCATCTGCCACGCCCTCCCCTTCTGCCACACGGACCCCGGCCATCAACGCTGCCAGGCCTACCCCTCACCATCGGTAACAACACTAGGGTTCAGTGTTTACAAGAACCTTTTGTTTATATGAAAATGAAAAAAACCCACCACTTCCAGTGTTAAATAGAATTCCAAAACTGGAAAACCCCGCTAATCTGGACTTTATGGTTCATCATCAATGCTACAAGTGCGATACGATGAAGCGTCGTTAGTCAGAACCCTGTTAGTCCGGAACCCTAGCTTTACGTACGGTTACTGTTAGGGAGTGAGTGACTGATTATTGCTCAATTATGCAGCTATTCGCGGTGAGTTACTATTAGGAACATATATATATACACTGCAAGTGTTTCCGTGGCATTTGATAGGCTAACCTAGCAATGCCCACTAACGGACTGAAAAAAGAATGGGAGGAGCTTGTGTAGCATTATTGATCATTATTTATATAATCCACCCAAACTACTGCTGTTTCACATTAAATGGTATTTACCTATATTTTTCAGACAGGATTTGAGTTCGGTGTGCGCAAGCGCCGAGAAGTCATGAAACAGCATGGAGTAAGTTAACCTAAAAACAATTTCAGTGACTTCAATTTTTATATCATAAAAAACATATTTTGTGATAATGGATTCATTGTGAGGCCCTCTATATGCGGCGAGGTCCGGCCTATGGAGGTTTCAATGGGCAGTAATGTATTATCTGAACCCTCAAACAGCTTACCGAAACTCAAATAATACGTTTGCAGCTCTCCGTTGAAAAAGCCGACATCTGCAACCTCCCAGGAATCAAGGAAATCTGCGACTACATCGATAAGTATGAACCTATATTTCCTCCTATAATCAAAGGGGCGGTGGGGTAGCCTAGTTGTTAAAGCGTTCGCTCGTCACGCCGGAGAACCGGGTTCGATTCCCCTTTGGTACAATGTGTGAAGCCCATTTTCCGGTGTCCCCCGCCGTGACATTGCTGAAATATTGCTTAAAGGGGCACTGATCTAACGCAATTCCCCGGGACTGGTTGTTGCCTTTGTTATTGTTTTTTCCCAGTGAGTACCCGGATGTATAGCAGAAATCTAGACTAGTTCGCGACCTCTGCTGCGCCATTCGTAAGCGCATTAGTCTCTTGTATGGGTAGTAATAAGGGCGTATGGTCACATTGATCAACAAAATGAAATACAGTTTTCGAGATAATAAGGAAATGTAGGTATCTTTGTGGGTAGCATCGGTAATGGTGACGAAGTTTTGATAAGACACATTTAGCGATTTTCGTTTACACTATTTTGACTTGCAACACAAAGTAAATATTTCACCTGAGCATTTCTTTTATATAGTGTGTATATCTTTTTACTGTCAAAATATGTAACATTTTCAAATTTATTAAACGCCTAAATATTCAGTTATTTTACAAAGTGACTGTATTATTATGATAACGAATTCCAAACATTTTGATGTTTAATGTCATCACCAAGAGACTGAAAATGTTACGTTGAAAAGTACATTTCTATGTTGTTTGGCTTCTAATCCTACATAATAATCAGTTGTGATGTTTGTAGGCCCTTTTAATCGTCTTAATCAATCTGGACAGATTTTTTAGTCAAAATGACTGAAATATTTACACATTTTATAAATTGCCTGAGAGAATCACGTTTTACAAATTGACGGTAATATATACACGCTTACAAAGGAAAAGGTCTGTGAAAACAACGTCTATCGCGCATTGAAGAATTTCCCAACCAAGACGTAGAGAAACAAGGACGAATCGGTTCAATGCTACAGCAAATGAAGGAAAACAAAATGCAAATACCATAATTACAACCTACCAAATTTATGTGTATAAATTTTAGGCAGCTTCCTTGTTCGAGCAATGTATCCATGAATATCCACACAAAGGAACAATATCCCACTCGTCTGCAGCTGTACAAAGAAACTTATTCGATGTCATGTGTCTCTGTAACAATCACATATTTTTAAAAATATATATCGTTTGGGGATATTTTAACCCGTGTCCGTTTCTCAACTGATCACGTAGATTGTTTCAGGTGTTTCTCATAGGTGTCAAGTCTCAAGGGTCAGCTGAGAAAGCCCACGTGACAACTATTTTCATAACGTCCACAGTTCCTAAAAATTCCATTGAGTGATAGATAACAATGATCAATCAATCAACGTATTATCAGTTAACCCTTTGAACAAAGTATGTTGTTTTTACATCGGCACTTCACGCCATGATATGAGTGTATTCCCTTTGTTTTAGTAAACCTAGACATGTAAACACTCACTTTTGACATATCCACTGTGCAAAATAACAGTGATTAATCAATCAACGTATTTTCTGTTAATCCTTTGATGACTAGGAACGATCCGTTGATTTACAAAAAAAAGTAAATCAACTGATCATTAACCTCTTGCTGGTCTGCCACGTGCATATTACATAACACACATTTCACCTCACTTCAAACCTGGATTTAGATTGAATAATTACCCCAGACACAATAAATGCCAAATGGGAACCTTTGTCAGGTAATCTAAGTGGTGCTACCACTAATTGTACCTGTAATAAATTCATTAACTGAGCATCAAGTGAATGACGACAAATACACAAGTGTAGGGGTTATACGAGAAAACTAGGATGACAACAAGGGAGTAGATATCGTATTATCGACGCAATCCGAAATCCGAAAATGCTTTCACTGCATGGATACTTTTTTAGTATTAAACTATAACCATCTGGGGTATTTCCAAATGACGACATCCGATGAGCTCCGCCGTTCTTTTTGTCTGTTTGTTTAGGTTGAAGAAATTAATTAACATGCGCCCTTTATCGAAATCTTTATAGATCCCGGTTAACCAATCATTGTTTATGCAAAAATGCGTAAAACAAATATTGCCTCCAGCCTCCAAGTTTATTTAGCTGTCCTTGCAGACGGTAGCCCAGTCTCTGGTCACGCTCAGTTGCGTTGCGTATCATCCGGGTACTCACGGGGAAAAAACAATAACAAAGGCAACAACCAGTCCGGGGAATTCCGTTAGATCAGTGCCCCTTTAAAGCGGCGTAAAACCATATTCACTCATTCAGTCTTATAATCACATGGGTGATACCCATACATTCTTCTGCGGTTGCGTATTTTAGAAGCCGGACCAAAAAATTATTTGTTAAAAAATATTTGTATTTTTATGCATATAATGTATCGTCCGTCGATTTGCTCTTCAGGACAAATTTGTCTACAATGAAAGTGTCCGTATTAACGAGTTGATATATGTACAAGAATATGGACCACATGCAATAACGGATATGAATATAATATGTGGTTTCCACGGACGCACGCACTGACGCACGAAAACCCATTTTTATTTTACATGTTTTTTTTATACCGTAAAAAAACATCAATGAATATTTTGCAGCATCTTCGACAAACACGATCCAGGTGTTGATGTCGACACTGATGGCTTCAGTACAATAGAGGTGGGTTTTCACATTGTATCTGTAACAATTTCGTACAGACAAGAAACAAACTGATATTCGTTGGTGATGTATTGGGTAGTGGTATCATACTTGTGTTTTGGAGTAAGTTTGCAGTCGGCGGCTGTTTTCAGCTTTGTAACGCTGTATATTTTAGTCAAATCCTGTTTTGAATGGTTTCCCTTTCTTTTGCCCGACAGTTACCGTATTTCCTCTATCAGACGCCCGGGCTTCTATATATTTCGGACAAGCCTTTGACCCGGCGTCAATTAGAGACCCGGCTTCTATTAATACCCCCATTTCACTATGACCACGAATTTAGGTCCCAAAAAGGGATAATTAATTGTATCAATTGATCGACCCGGCGTATATTAGAGACCCGGCTTCTATTTTTTGCACCGAACAATTGACCCGGCTTCTATTAGAGGAAATACGGTAAGTATGGTGGCCGATTAGGGCCATCGCCATACAATTGACCCGGCTTCTATTAGAGGCCGGCGTCTATTAGGACCCGGCGTCTATTAGATCCCGGCCTCTATTAGAATCCTGAGTCTAATAGAGGAAATACGGTAAGTATGGTGGCCGATTAGGGCCATCGCCATACCGCACTGAGATATCCACGCGAAATCGCACCCAAGCGACGGTACGATACGATGTTGCGAAATCGCGACATGATATTGCGATACAGCCCAAAACGAAATAGCGATAACACGCAATGACAGAGCGGTAGAGCGACACGACATGGCGATAACACGCAATGACAGAGCGGTAGAGCGACACGCCATGGCGATAACACGCAATGACAGAGCGGTAGAGCGACACGACATGGCGATAACACGCAATGACAGAGCGGTAGAGCGACACGACATGGCGATAACACGCAATGACAGAGCGGTAGAGCGACACGACATGGCGATAACACGCAATGACAGAGCGGTAGAGCGACACGACATGGCGATAACACGATACGACAGCCGCCATAGTTTAGTAAAATGTATATTCAGTTTTCACACTAAATGTCCATACGGTTGGTTACAGACGCTGCGAGGCACGTCGTGGAGAGGACGTGATTGTGACGACAGTAACGGCGACAGACATCCAGGCGCCAGGTAAGTCTCCGATAGTTGGTTGGTTGGTTTGTTGTTTAACGCCGCACTCAGCAATATTCCAGCTTTATGACGGCGGTCTGTAAATATTCGAGTCTGGACCAGACAATCCAGTGATTGGGATCGATGACATGTATCAACCAAGTCAGCGAGCCTGACCATCCGATCCCGTTAGTCACCTTTTACGGCAAGTATGGGTTGCTGAAGACCTATTCTACCCCGGCGTCTTCACGGGGAAAGTCTCCGATAGACAAGAACAGAACACACCTCTATTTATATTCAGGCCGTACACAACGGCATATGAAGATAAAATTACATTTTCAATCAGGCGACAGGGCAAATAAATACTACATACATGACATAAATGTGTAACTAATAAATGGTCATACGTTAAATACAGGACTTATAAATTATCATAATATTATTGCAAAACATGCTCAGTTTTCTTAAAACACAATCATTTCATTTTGCAATAATGAACAAAAACACAGCTTATGTCTTAAGGTCTTGTGTAATATTTACTATGTACATACATTGTCCTATGAGGTCTAAAGTTCGGACATTCTAAAATAGAATTATTGCCAAAAAAGAATTATTGCCAAAACTACACTTGTTGGAGGTTGTGATGCAGGCCTCATACATTTACCGCTTTGGCTAAACTTACGAGTACGGGTATGGTACTGACAAACCTAGAAATGTAATCGAACAGGGACTCGAACCCACGATCATAGGTTTCTGGCGTGCCCAAGGGACGCAACTCTGTACAGCAACACAACATGATCTGTCAAGATACTTCTACTGCCGGGGAACCCGTGAAGATCCGGGGTAGAATAGGTCTTCAGCAACCCATGCTTGCCGTAAAAGGCGACTATGCTTGTCGTAAGAGGCGACTAACGGGATCGGGTGGTCAGGCTCCCTGACTTGGTTGAAGTTTGTCATCGATCCCAACTGCTCGGATCGATGCTCATGATATCAATCACTGGATAGTCTGGGCCCGACTCGATAATTTACAGACCGCCGTCATATAGCTGGAATATTTCTGAGTGGGGCGTTAAACAACAAACAAACAACAACAGCGTGGGGCGATGCTCATGCTTTCAGTCACTGGTTTGTCTGACCCAAAGTTGATTTTTTTAAAGATCGCCATGATACACCCGGACTATTGGTGACTGACAAACAAGCAAACAATTATAGACTACATTTTTATTCTGCAGACCAGTCATGAACGACGTCGCCTTTGATTCTAACTGCAACGGAATTTACGTAAGTACAATATATAATCCATGTGTCTATGATCCCTAAGCTATCATATTAGATGCATATCTTTCACTTTGACAATTTCTGGATGAACACTATGTTTTAGAGAAAGCATTTTATTACCCTATTACTGTATATTCATGCTAGTATAACTGACTTTGGTCATAAGCCGATTGACATGCATGTCATCTTATCCCAATTGCGTGGATCGATGCCCATGATGTCAATCACTCGATTATTTAAGACCGCCGTCATATAGCTGAACTATTCGGCGTTAAACAACAAATAACCAAACAAACAAACAAACATCTGATTGACTCCTATTTCAGGGATCCGACCCCACGAGTGGCAAGACCTACGAAGAGGTGTTGTGTGGGGGAACGGAACAGCGGGGCGTGGCAGTACTGGGGGACTCCATTAGCGCTCACTTTCACCTCCCGGAGGAGTGGATGGACGCACGGAAACTGTCCTTTGTATGTACACGTGATCATCTTCGCGAGTCGGGAATAGTGCCGTTATACAACGGCTGCCTGTAAATTATGTAACAGAGAAATGACTCGAATCTGTTAATTCCGAAGTAGCATCAAACGAGGTGCTTACTTCGGAGCTCGTTGATTCTACTTCCGGACTGAACAGATTCGAGTGATTTCTCCGACTACACTATGTTATGATTGATATACAATTTCTCTCTTATTTTGCATAATGACCTATAGCTCCGTCCGTTTTACGTGTTAAAAACGATGTTCAGAATGGCAAGTGAATTTCTGGCATCAACTGCATGAGCATTAGCGTGAACACATCATAATGGTTTAATAAGTGAGTGAGTGAGTGAGTGAGTGAGTGAGTGAATAAGACTTTACGACACTTTTGGCAATACTCCCGCAACTTCACCGCGGGGTACTCCACAAATATGCTTCACACAGTGTAAACATGTGGGGAATCAACATAGAATCTTGAAATTTCAAGAAAAAACAAACCAAACCAAATGTCCCTAAAAGGCTTCCGTAGTAAACAGTGTTATGTTGATATCCCCAGGATGTGTTCAAGCACTTACCCTTCATCTTGGAGAACGAGATTGACTGGCCCCAGATGTCCTCGGCCACAGGTAAGACATACAATACTGGGTCCCGTTCCACAAAGCCATCGTAGAGTTACCGCAGTCGTAAGTCTATGTTAAAGTAAAGTAAAGAAACAAGCTCAATCTCCAATGTCTAATATGGCGTTATCATTGTGTGGGTGAGTTAAAATTTAATGTGGCATCGGCATTTTTTCAGCCATATAGCGAGGACAAGTTGACATATTTGGGCATAACACTATTATCTACAACTGTTTAAAACACGGGCTATGAGTCACCAGCAACCAGAGCTAGGCAACCTCGCTTCAAGCACGATACCCCATCAGGATTTACGTCATCACTTTAGACACTGGTGGTTGTGCACACTACCAGCCAATATTAAAAAAATACTACTCAGCAATGATTTGGGTTTAAAATAATGGTTTATTAGATTGTATTTCAGTGAAAAAAATGTATACAGAATATCAAATTTGGGAATGTTAGCATCATCCTATTGTTTTTGTCTTAGTTTTTATTATTACATCTGGGACAAGAGTGACCCAGTCAGCTAAGGCGCCGTAATTCACTGTGCAGAGTTGCGTCCCTTGGGGGACGAGAGACACCTATTATCGTGGGTTCGAATCCCACCTCGTCTCTTTTATTTATAGGTATGTCCGCACCATACCTGGTCTCGCGGTTTTACGACAGTAATAAACTTCTGAAACCTGCATCACTTCGGGCTTTCCTCCCACATTAAGCTGACACACCGTGATATAATTGAAATACTGTTCGAAGCGGCGTTAAACCCAACTCACTCATTATCATATTAACCATCTGTATCTCACTGTTGTATCGTTATTCAAGGTCATGGTAACAACAGTTGGCCGGAAGTAATCCAAGGACCAATCGACTCGCTGTATCTGAGACTTGCAGCCAGGAACCGATGTAACCATAGAGATTACCAAAATATCGCCGTCAATGGTAGGTCCTGACTTTAATTATGCACGACTTTTAGTATAAAATCCAGTTCCAACAGGTTGCGGATTTTACGAACCCTTCTTCAAGTTGAATAATTAAGGGACACAACTCGTAGTAGCTTCTGTGTTCTGAACTTTAGTAGAGGAATTTGCCAAATGACACCGCGTGTATGAAACGGAAAACTGCGATTGGGGATGAATGAAAACTGACGTTTAAGCTTTTGTTGTTGAAAACAAATCACCAAATGATTAGTTACCTGCTTATTTACGTTAACATGGCCATTAGAGATCTCGCTATGCCGCCAACCATTAACAAAGAACACCCATTCAAGACATCAGATTTGGAAACAAACACAGGAATCTTATTTGTAGTTGTCTATTAGGAAGGAATATAAAAAAGATCAGCCTAAGACATGTCGAAAGAGCGAATTCATTTGCATTTAATCCGCATTAGCGTTATAATGAGGTTTTAATGAAATCCAGCTGTATGAGACACATACAACAAAAAAAGAGAGACAAATACAAAGTTGTACACGTAGCAACTATCCTACTGAGCAAAAGAAAGTATACATCGACTTGGACAGCTTATAAAAAGAAAACGAGAAAGTATACACATTTAATTCGAAATATATTTTGAAGTTCAATCACTTATGGTACAACAAGCCAAAAGACAATTTCATGGCTCTTGGGAACTGGGGTACCCACATCTGGGGTCATAACTGTCACTTTTCACAAACAAAAAACAAATGACCAAAGTCTGATAACAACGCTTCTGAACGCTTCCATGGCACCTTGGTAATGGCATCAGTATCTTGAGTGGCCTCCCCGGGCGTCCAGACAGACACGACACCCCATGGATACCCCGTCAATTCACCCGCATCCGACCATCAGGATGGAAGAAGTTGAACCTGCTCTCGTCGCTGAACAGCACCCTTGGCCAATCACGTCGCATAGTTCGATACCACCGACGTCTATTTGGCTGACGTTGACGGGTCAAGGCTATTGTGCTACGGGGCCTCTCGGCCCGATTTCTTGCAGCACGTAATCGTCTTGACAGTGTGTTCTCGCTGATGCGGCGTCCCAGTACCGCCAACGCCGACGACGTCACCAGTAGGGAGCGGTTACGCAGATGGAACGTGTGCAGATGGCGATCCTCCTGTTGGGTGGCCACGCGCGATCTACCACTTCCCATCTTCTCGCGGCAAGGGTGCTAACTTGCTTCACACAAAATGGCGACGCCCAGTCAAGACGATCTGATCGATAATCACAATCTGTATTGTAATAAAACGGGTGTTACTTCGCGAAATGCATCAAAGAACGTGAGCACATGGATTAAAAACATGAAACAATTTTGAGAATATCTGTTGTCGCAGATTTGGCGGTACACATGCTTTGCAAATCCTGCAATCGGCCGAACCGGATGTCGATCTTGTTACGCGATTTTGATTGGACTATCCATAGACGCGATAGTCTAGCCAAAATATAACTCCATAATTCAAGTCTAGTTCGGCCAGGGTGAAAACAGTCAGTTAACTCATTTGCCTTGGTAAGATGACTACTTCGTGACCTGTCCCTTGTATACCCAGCTGGTGGTGTCGCACAAATAGCCTAGCAATGGTCAGGCCGCTGCGCCCAAGCGCTCTAGCAACATGCGGTCTGTTCTGCCAATAACGTTGCATTTCTTCTCACGTGCTTTTTTGAGCTGTAATGTATTGGGATCCAACCGCTTGGTTTCTTTACCTCTATATGCATCTCGTGCTATCATAAAAAAACGTGTTTTATACATCATTTCTGACCGTCAGAAGATTTTAGGCGATCGTTTTCAACTTGAATTCGGGTTCCTTTAGCCAAAGTATTAAAACCTATCTTACAATGTATACTAGACCAGATAATCCAGTGATCGATATTGTGAGGAACGACCCACGCTGTTGGGGTACAATAACACCCAACCAACAGAGTCACCGAGTCTGACCAGAGGGTGTTGCCATGAAAAAACTTTTTAAAATATGTTGCACCAGCTGCATACGTCTAATCTTTTGATATGTTGTAGAATAAACATTACGGATCCGAAAATAATTTTCGTTTCTTTGGCAAATTGGTCTAGGTTGGGTCATTTTTAGTGGTAGATTGACTGGACTAGTTTGGCAGTTATTAAGATCAATATCTTTTAACATAAAAAACTACCATCCATGTGGTCGCCCCTTACGATTTCTGGAGGCCTATTCTAACTTGGGATCATTACGGGAAATGACACGGAATTTCACACATATATGGCTGATTGAGTGTGTGCGTGCGTGCGTGCGTGCGTGCGTGCATGCGTGCGTGCGAGATTTACATTAAAGCTTCACCAGGGCTACCTGTAAATAATCCTCTTTGGCCTCCTCCTACAGCAACCATGGGGTACTGGGGATCAATTCTTCCGCGGAATCCGCACTCCTGATCTTGCTTAACAAATGGGGTATGCTACAATGGCGAACCACCAGTCATACAAGACATGCAGGTTACATTTAAATTTGTATTACAATTGTATGAGGAATATCTATGTTTTTTCTGACAATCATTTTCTTGTATCAAAATTTCTTCAGATTTCTGTTTTCATATTTAACCTTGGCATTGGCATTTAAGATTGATATATAATGGAAACATGAAGGCTCTCTAGAAATGTTTTTTTTCATTGGTGTAGTGTTTAACTAGAAATCGTTTTAACGATTGAAGGAATATAATTTGTTATGAAATATCCTGTCTTGTCATATATGACCACATCTTCCCGAGGCAAGTGAGTCAACTGACTATAAAAGTCCATTTTCCACCCTTGTCGAACTAGGCTGGTATTATGGAGTTACATTTTGGCTGGACTAACGAGTCTATGCATAGTCCAATCAAAATCGCGCACCGAAATCGAAATCCGGTTCGTAAAGTGTCATGCATAGTTCGGTCGACTTCAGGATTTGAAAAGCCTGTGCACCGCTAACTCGTTGTCAACAGATATTTTCTATATCTTTTCATGTTTTTAATCAAGGTGCTCACGTGATTTGATGCACTTCGCGATATAAGACTCGTTTGATCACAATATAGATCTTGATTATCGATCAGATCGTCTTGACTGGGCGCCACCGTTTTGTTTGAAGCAAATGCTAGTGATACGAGAGGTTGAATCTGATTGGTCCATAGGAGAGGCATAGAAAGGACATTACTCGTAATAGCCACTGGTGGCGCTACGATCGAGCCAAGGAATTCCAGTCTTGTTCGGCAAGGGTGGAAACTGGACTTTTAAAGTCAGTTAGCTCTCTTGCCTCGGGAAGATGATATGACCATGTCACTTGTAAATAGTCGGTTGACCATATTGTGTATCATGTATCATTAAAAAATAGGACCTATCAATGCCAGAAACAGAAGTACAACAATACTTCAATTCCAGCTTTTGATATTGAAATTCACCTTATTATAACCTTGACAAATTTGCTTTTGTTTCAAATTAGAAGTGTTGTTTGACTGAACAAACATTCAGATTGATTCAATTTTTTTCACAGTTTTCACTCTTTTCAGAGGGTGTTGCAATTGCCATGGAAACACTTTTTAAAATATGTTGCACCAGCTGCATACGTCTAATCTTTTGATATGGTGTAGAATACACATTACGGATCCGAAAATAATTGCTTTCGTTTCTTTTGCAATTTGGTCTAGGTTGGGTCATTTTTAGTGGTAGATTGACTGAACTAGTTGGGCAGTTATCAAGATCGACATCTTTTAACATAATAAATAAGTCTGTAAAAAAACTACTCATGGTGTTTACTTTAATCATTGTTTACTTTAAAATGATGTTATTTCCTGAGTGTCTTGTCTGTTCCCTAAGTCCAGCAATGTAAATGTCCTTCACAATGTACAAACGGAAGGGGCGATAACCCTTGGACTTGTCATGCCCCCACATCAAATCTTTCATTTATTTGTTTTTCTTTATTTTACCTGGCAAACATATACTTTATTAAGTAGTTTGTGCTTTAATTTTGATAATATCTGATATATGATTCTTTACATGCTTGTATTGTTTTCATCTTTTGAATTTTCCCCTTATGGACGGGCGATAAATGCCTTTGAGTGACCACTGGCTACCACAAAAAACTATTTCTCTTTTCACTTCATTTTCAGGAGCCAGATCTGGTAAGATGATCGACATTGAAAAAAGGTAACAGTTTTAAAGATGTGTCATGTATTTCCAGGTGCCGACTCTGAGGGCATGCTCAGTATTCAGAAAAGGTGAATGTAAACACCACATGACATACTACTAACTTCTACTACAACTACCTACCACCACCACCACTACTACTACTACTACTACTACTACTACTACTACTACTACAACTACTACTACAACTACTACCACCACCACTACTACTACTGCTACTACTACTACTGCTACTACTACTACTACTACTACTACTACCACTACTACTACTACTACTACTGCTACTACTACTACTACTACTGCTACTACTACTGTTACTACTACTACTGCTACTACTACTACTACTACCACTACCACTACTACTACTACTACTACTACTGCTGCTACTTCTACTACTACTACTACTACCACCACCACTACTACTACTACTACTACTGTTACTACTACTACTGCTACTACTACTACTACTACCACTACTACTACTACTACTACTACTACTGCTACTACTACTACTACTACTGCTGCTACTACTAACTACAACTGCTAAATATATGTTGTTCAATACTGACTGAATATATTACATATATTCGTATGAAAAATATATAATACATAATAATAGTATTTTATCGACGTTTAAGAGGACTGAATTTGACTGAATTGTTCATAAACGAACAAATGTATTTCTGCATTTAAAAAATGTACGTTGTGTAAGATGTATTGGAGAAATGTAGGTTTCAGCCACAAAATCGGATAATTCATTGTTTTGTCAAACCTTGGAGCAACTTTCCTTCCCTTCTTCCCTACCCCATACAGCACACAAAGTGTGTGTTTACCTGGCATTACAGGGGGCACGGATGGCCCAGTCGTCTAAGGCGCCGCGATTCGCTGTGCAGAGTTGCGTCCTCTGGGCACGCCAGAAACCTATGATTGTGGGTTCGAATCCCGGTTCGCCCCAATTATGTTTCTAGGTTTGTCAGCTCCATACCCATGCTCGTGGGTTTCACCGAAGTGGTAAACGTCTTAGACCTGCATCACTTCGGGCTTTCCTCCCACATTAAGCTGACACATCGTGATATAACTGGAATAATGTTAAAAGCGGCGTAAAACCATATTCACTCACTCACTCACCTGGCATTACAATAATGTACGTCGTATATTTGCAGCCTGTCACGGAATCCTGTGAAGGACCAGCCTCTACTGACTCTGTACGCCCTTGTGGGAAACGATGTGTGCAACGGGTACGTCTCAATGACTTTTTAGATACGTATATATTAATAAATTTGCAATAGGTGTTGTGTGTAAGGTTTAAGCTGAAATTTCTAGCTGGGAATTATATACCTCACAAACTGACGATTTTAGTCTCAGGGTGCGCTGATTGTCCTCGTCAATGGTTCTGTCATGGTGCAATGATCAAAGCTTGGAATTTTCTCTACGAGGTTACGGAAAAGGGCACGTATGGGATCGTTGCAATGTCAGCCTTTAAGCAACACGCACAATTTAAGATCTATTAGCGGCCTTGTATTGTCCGACGAAAAGATGATGATGATGGTGATGATGATAATGATGATGATGATGGTGTCATGATAATAATGATGATGATGATGACGATGCCTCAATGACTTTTTAGATAGGTACATATTAATAAATTTGCAATAGGTGTCAGTAACGTAAGTGATGGGTATGTACCGATGACGAATACAATTCTTTTTCTCTGTTTTCAATCCAGTCACGAGGACACATTCGCCGACATGACAACACCGGCGGAGATGCGTAACCACACCATGACGACGCTTGCATACCTCGTGAGTCTGTTATTAACAAATGGATGAACCAGTAGTTTTGACATCCTTCATTACCTCGAGTATCATGCCTCCATTTTATTATACTAAAAACATTGTACCCATCTGTTACAATGGCTTCGCACTGAGTCTGGCTCGAATGACTCGAAGCTAAAAATAGCCGTCCAATCAAATAGCGTGCGATAGAAAGTATGTGGGAAGTTGCTGATAAGAGGGACCCGACGGTGACGTCACTTCCAACCAAGTTACAGTGACAAATGGGGTATCTATCATAACAGAAGCGAAGCGAGAATACAATGGATGCAAGACGAAGGTTTAAGCTGAAGTTTCTAGCTGGGGATTATATACCTCACAAATTGACGATTTTAGTCGCAGGGTTCGAACCCCAGACTCGCATAGATTATGATTTGGTTTGTCAGTACCATACCTGATCTCGCGTGGTTCCTCAAAGCTGTAAACGTCTAAGATTTTGGTTGTTTAGATAATTAAATATATATTATAATATTATTTTTTTCATATATTGTTGGGGCGGTGGATTATCCTCTTGGTTGTAACGTTCACTTGTCACGCCCAATGCCCGAGTTTGATTTCAAACGTTGGTAGAATGTTTGGAGTCATTTCTTCATGGAGACCGCCATATTAGTACTGGCATATCTCATACCACTATTCACTCACATAGAACATACACAGTGAGTTAGCTTTCAACGCCAGTTTGAACAGTATTCCAGTTACATAAAGGCGTGTCAGCTTAATGTAGGATGAAAGCCCGAAGTGATGCAGGTCTCGGACGTTTGTCACTTTGGCGAAATCCACGAGCACGGGTATGGTGCCGACAAACTTAGAAACATAATAGGCGCGAACCGGGATTCACACCCACGATCATAGGTTTCTGGTGTGCCCAAAGGGACGCAACTCTGTACTGCACATTTGGGCGTCGCCTGGACCACCCGTGCCCCCAGATCATATACACTCTTACTTTAAATATTTTATTATAAACTGTTCATCTTTAACCGCAGGACAAAGTTTTACCAATGCACAGCCACGTGCTCCTGATCGGCCTGGCTGACGCCCGCATCCTCTACAACAGCCTCCACGACCGCATACACCCTCTGGGACGTTATCGCAACGACTTCACCTACTCCATGTTGTACGACTTCCTCAACTGCCTTGACGTGAGTGCACTTTGTGAGATTGTTTAGTCAACAGACACGTTCATCATGATGAATAACGTTAAAAGCCTCGTCTGGCGCTTAACGACGTGTGTCACTTCCCCTACAGTAGCTGATGCAACCGACCTCGTTTGTGTATCTCATCTACTGTAGAACTCCTACATAGAGTGAACATGATGATCCTAGGCGCTGCTTGTCCTCGTCAATGGTTCTGTCATGGTGCAATGCTCAAAGCTTGGAATTTTCCCCACCGGGTTTCAGAAAAGGGCATGTTTGGGGTGGTCGCAATGTCAGCCTTTAAGCAACACGCACAATTTAAGATCTATTAACGGCCTTGTGATGTCCGACGAGCAGATGATGATGATGACGATGATGGTGATGATGATAATGATGATGATGGTGTCATGATAATAATAATGATGATGATGATGATAGTGTCATTATGATGATGATGACGATGATGGTGATGATGATAATGATGATGATGGTGTCATGATAATAATAATGATGATGATGATGATGATGGTGTCATTATGATGACGATGACGATGACGACGACGACGATGTTGATAATTTATGAATCCTTCCTATGCAATATTTCCTGCTTTTACTGGGCGGAGGGATGCCTAGTATCGCGTCGTGCCGACGGTCCAGATTTGATTCCCCACTTGGGTACAATGTGTAAAGTCCATTCTGGTGTTCCCCGCTGTGATATTGCTGGAAAAGCTCACTCTCACCTGTTTTGACTCAGAAGAGATTCAATTGGTAACGATTCAATATCACTGTTCAAAGTTCGCGTTATTAAACGGTTAAACTATCTTTGTTAGGACTTTGAGTCATACGTATTTCATGGGTGACATTACAAAGCGGTTCCCGTGCAGGATTAGGTCCTCCGCCTTGTTATAGCTGCAATATTGCTAAAAGCAGCGTAAAACACAATTCATTCACACACCTCTATGCATGGCTGAAAGTAGGTTGCGAAATTGTTTACCGACGCTGATGTGTGACTATCAAAGATCAACAGATCAAATTTAATGGTAAGAAATAGAAAACCTGTTTTTTTTCCGAATTGTTTCGCATGTCAATAACATTGAATTTCTGCGACTTATAAGGAATCAAATTGATCCTTTGCAATATGATCGTTAATGGCCATATTTTAAATAAAATTCCTCATGGTAGAATTATATACCCATGACTGAGAGCGACGTCCATTTACCGGAAGTAATTCAATGGCATCGCTAATGATATGTATGTGGGAACGAATTGATATATGTTATCAGAATATGACACAAGGCATTATTTGCTCCATGCGCCCGGGGGATCTTGCCTGGCTATATGTGATTTATTCGTCTGTTGTAATGCTTTTAGCGCAGAAGCAAAATACCCATTAACCAAAACGTGTATTAATAATTCACATTATAAACAACATAAATCACCATAAACTAAATCCGGAACGTCACGTCTTTGGGGAGGCACGTGCAGCACAGTGGTCCACTCGTTATGCAGAGTTGCGTCCCTTAGTCGTGTGAGGATCTACTTACCGTAGGTTTGAGTCCCAGATCAGCCCCGAGCATGACACAGACTGTCATCACAATACACTTGACTTACGCATAGTCTCTAAAAATATAGAATGTTGACCGAAACAAACAACTCCATGGAAATTGAAAGGGAGCCCCAGTGAGAACCTGTGGACAATCTAGACTTGCTTCACTTAGGGTATAGAATTACATTAAGGGCTGGAGGAAGGGGACATACTATGGTTTAGTGACTGTGAGATAAACTACACAATACCCGTGCTCACAGGTTTTGCTGTGGACTATGTTCTGTTATGACCTTATGTATATTTGTTTGTGTTGTAGTTAACTTGTTAACAAACAAACAAAGAAACAAACAAACAAACACTTTTATTGCAAATTGTGTGAGTTGAGGGTAGCGCAGGACATGCTTACCCTTTTCGCGCACACCTTGTGTCATCACTGATTTTCGGGTATCCATTCATATAATTTTCACCACTATTTGCCTTTAACACCCATACATTTGTAACTAAACGCCATACACTAGGCGAATGTCCACAGCGCTACATAAAAGAGGGCAAAACTCCACTGATACAAGGCCATAGATACAAGACAAATAAATGTGGCAGATTTTATAAAAGAGGCTGAACAGGAATGTCTTGAGACGGGACAGGAAAATTGTTATAGTTTCTGCTTCTTTCACATGTGATGGGAGATGGTTCCACAGAGCTGGAGCACTGAAGGCAAATGACCTCTGCCCAGATCTTGTCAGTTTTGTCTCAGGTATACCAAGGAGATGTCTGTCAGCAGAACGGAGGGATCTAGATGGTTGATATACCTGGATAAGGTCGGATAAGTAGGATGGTGCTGACTTGTTCATATATACTGTCAATCTCATTAAAATCGGATCTTAGTTCTTGCTGCCGCTAAGCAAAGATCTGAGGACACCCCATTACGGGTCACGTCAGACCGACCTTTTGCGAACTCTGTCCGACCAATGGAATTACTGGCAAGAAGTCGACATTAGCCAATCAGAAGGCAGCTTTCTCGTGCTTTACGGCACTAATTTCAAATTGGCGACTACGCTTCGAAACATATTTTGACAAATTCTCGCTTAAAAATTGAAACCTGACCAAAAGAACATTCTCGAATGGCTAACATATGGCCTAGATTGCATGGATTCAGTCGTTAAGCCCGTAACTATCGTTCGGAATACCCCGTTTTAAAGTTTTCGAGGATGCATGATGAGAAATCACATTCCGACTGTGACTTTCATGATCCGGTCGGATGAAAGGTCGTTCTGACGTGACCCTTAATAGGATGTCCTCAGATCTTTGTTTACCGGTAGCGAGAATTAAGATCTGATTTTATTGAGATTGAATATACTGTAAAAGTGGAATTGTAATCTTATTTTGATTTGATACTATATTGCAGGTATCGCCATGTCGGGGCTGGCTACAGACGAATGAGACTATCAGGAATATGACTGCCGTGGTGCGTAATCTGCTTGTAGTGAACTTAGTTTATATTCATCTACTTCAAAATACTAAAATTATACAACTTAATATATCCTATGAACTTGCTCTGAATTTTGGATTAAAAATGTGATTAGAAATTATTTTAGTTATTTACGTTTATTGATACAATCAACAGTATAGCACGGCTATTTATATTGTTGCCATGTCGTCAATGCCGTGACACCGGCAGATTCTATAACCGCACTACTGTATACAAACATTTACTGTAAACCACTATACTGCGTATAGTAAATAGCAATATCGAAAAGGGGCATATACTGTTATCTGTATGCGTCATACCGAAGACGTTAAAAGATGGTATATGTTACCCTGCCTGGCGCACGCTATTAAGGCGAAAAGACAGACATACAGACGTGCATGCACATTGCTATATAAGTACATAACTATTGTCACCTCACCTATAGGCTTGTGAGTCTTCTCGTTTAGCGTGCCGCCGAGCTGAGCAACGTCCTGAAGGACATCGCCACCACCGAGAAGTCCGCCTTCTCCTCATTCAACGTCACGTACATGGACTGCCCCTTTGAGCAAGGTAGGTGTGGTGGGGTGGGGTCAGGTGGGGTGGGGTTAGGAATGTGTGCGGTGTGTGGTGTGCGGTGTGCGGTGTGCAGTGTGCGGTGTGTGCTTTGTGCTGTGTGGTGGGGGTATTGTATTTTTGTAGGCACTGAAAATCCAGTTTTTTCAAAATGTACACAGTTGGATATTAAATTTCACTTTTAACATTTATAATGTACGAGGGGCGTTCAATAAGTTTTGCAACTTCCATATAAGACCAAGTCGCAGAATATCTTTTGCACTTTAACTTTTCAATATAATCTTCATTCACCTCAATACACTTATTCCATTTGTCTTTTACGCTTTTAATACCACTTTTATAGAATTACGCAGATTGGCCCTCTAACCACGCCTCTGTGGCAGCCTTTATGTCCCCCTCATCCTGGAAGCGTCTTCCACGTGCGGGGAGATTTCATTTGCCGGAACAGGAAATAGTCACTGGGGGCTAAGTCTGGGCTGTAGGGTGGGTGATTTAACTGTTCGAATCCACATTCACATATGGCAGCCACATGCGATCATGGATTTCTTTTGCTTTGCATCCCTCCATGATAAGGAACTTTATTACAGCGCGTTGTTCATGTTTGAGAGAATCCATGATTGTGACCACCCTTAGGTGAATGAAGCCATCACGTCTAACTTATTGTTGTGTCTGGAACTTGTTATGACACGTGTCAATCTGATGTTATGACTAGTGTCACACCTGCCACAAGTTGACATTGTTTGTGTGAACACAAATGCCCAAGTTGCAAAACTTATTGAACGCCCTTCGTAATTTAAAATTTTATTTTATTTTACTTTATAAACTATAAATAACTTAAATATCTTTAACTGTACCGTATATGTGCACAGAAGAATGGTATTTACTTGCTGTCGAGTATTAACCCCTGGGAGACGCTCCTATGCTTTAGGGGGGCACGGGTGGCCCAGTCGTCTAAGGTCCCACCATTCGCTGTGCAGAGTTGCGTCCCTTAGGCACGCCAGAAACCTATGATTGTGGGTTCGAATCCCGGTTCGCCCCAATTATGTTTCTAGGTTTGTCAGCACCATACCCGTGCTCGTGGGTTTCACCGAAGTGGTAAACGTCTGAGACCTGCATCACTTCGGGCTTTCCTCCCACATTAAGCTGACACGCCGCGATATAACTGGAATACTGTTAAAATCGGCGTTAAACCCAACTCACTCACTCACTCCTATGCTTTAGCCTCCCGAAACATAACAACAGATGCTTAACTTGTTTTGAACAATTTTGACAAGCTGATAACTGACAGCTGCATGAGTGTTTGTTCAGTAGAAGTACTAAACCACACTGCTAACCTGCTGCTGAATTAATCTAAATCTTGTCTATCATATCAATTCACATTCTTAGTCTGACTGCACACATATACACTGCCGGGCAAAAGTAAATATACCCCAAGGCTGATGGTGGCTAAAATTGAAAGAAACAAGAAATGGTTATTCGACGGTGATGCATTTGATACGGGAATCACAGCTGTGTTTTGGACCTTCATTTTATCGTTTTTCGGCGACCATTTTCAGCCCAGTACCGTTTTGATAACGTTTGTAAATTAATGGTCAAATCCAATTTTTAAGTGTGTACTTCCTTTTGCCCGACAGTTTACATGGAACAAATTTGTTGTGACCTTGACATTCCTTACATTTTGAGTCAAACGAATATGCCATTCAACATGTATGAAAGAAATTCATATAATCCCATGAACTCTTTGAATAATACATAGTAGTTGACTCTAGCAATCGTTGAGCGGTATAAACCACCTTTCTTTTCTAGCTTGCTGAATGACATAGGGTCACATTTATTGCCTTAATACCATACAGTGCATCTCTTATACTAAAACCTCTTTTCTTAATGATTGATTTTCAGCCCTTTATTCTAAAATATTTCCATGGTTAAAATAAAAAAAAGAAGACATTTTTAAAAATGAAGATAATGTCTTAGAAGAATAAAAGATAAAATTGATATATGGGAAGTGCAATAAAAAAATAATTTTATCTCTATTAAAGATTTTGCAATCGCATAGATACATTAAGTTCATGTACTGTGACCTCCCTGTCTTTTAGGTGCCTTTTCTTGTACAGAGCTCCAGATAAGCTTTTGGTGTTGTGGGTATTTTACCCATGCATTTTAAAATCATTTGGTATCAGTAATTCTATCTGGGTATTCAAATTTCTATTACCCACTAGTTTTTACACACGTGGGTATTTAAGTTAAATATTTAAAAACACTATTCATCTCGTCCCTGCAAACTGGTGTCGTGTGGGTTCGAGAGCTTTATAGGTCTAAAAAATACCACGATACTTCCACAAGAAAGTGTGATGGCAAATGATCAAGATGTAACTGTCATCGTGGAGTTTGGCAAGGTTGACGGAATGTCCGTTTATAATTTTAAAATAAATTGCTGATTTGCTAATCGAATACGCAGGGTTACTTCGCAATATTTTGATGATACGCACACATTTTATTTTTGTAGCGAATCTGTAATGTTCGTTGCGTATTTGATACGCTTGGATTTTATTTTACTGCGTATTTCTGCATTTATGATGCGTATTTAACGCAGATGCGCAGCTTATCTGGAGCCCTGCTTGTATCTCTAATAAACTAAACTTCGGGGCAAAAGAAAGTATACTCCCATATTTCATGGAGGCTAAAATGAAACAAACATTTTTTAATTTTTTTTTATTCGATATGGATGTATTTGATAAGGGGATCATAGCTGTAATTTGGACCTCAAAGTTTCGGTGTCTCGGCTGTTTTCATTCTCGTAACGTTTTTATAACGTTTGAATGTTGGTAAAATCTTGGTGTATGCTTTCTTTTGCCCCGGTTTACCGCAACTGCATGTTGACTCCGCATACGGATCCATGGTAACGGTACTTTTTCGCGAAACGCCACGCACATTAATATCGCATGTTGAGTGTCGTCTTGCAAGCATACTAATTTACCACGATAGGAATTTCACTGGAACAAGAAAGATTTCGGATTCTTGACATTTGACAGCTAAATCTAATTGTAAGTGCACCAATGCTTTCTCTTATGTTCGATGCATGTCATCGTATGCCATTGTGTGGATCGATGCTCATGATGTCAATCACTGGATTGTCTGGTCCAGACTCGATGATTTTCAGACCGCCGTCAAATTGCTGAAATATTGCTGAGTTCGGCGTTAAACAACAAATAATATAGGAATTTCACTGGAACAAGAAAGATTTCGGATTCTTGACATTTGACAGCTAAATCTAATTGTTAGGACACCAATGCTTTCTCTTTCAATCATAAAAAAATAAAGTGTTAAAACGAAATTTGCAGAGAGTCCATTTACTATTCAGTTAAAAAGTAAGGCTTATTGATCTGGCTTAGTTTCGACATTGTACTATGTTAATGGTACTGACATACAACTGATGTTACAAAGTGGCTGGACCCGTGAAGATCCGGAGTTAAAATAGGTCTTCAGCAGCCCATGCTTGCCGTAAAGGCGATTATGCTTGTCGTAAAAAGCGTCTAACGTGATCGGGTGGTCAGGTTCGCTGACATGTTTGATGCATGTCATCGTATCCCGATTGTGTGGATCGATGCTCATTATGTCAATCACTGGATTGTCTAGTCGATTATTTTCAGAGCGCCGTCAAATAGCTGGAATAGTGCTGAGTGTGTCGTAAAACAAACAAACAAACAAACAAACAAACAAACAAACAAACAAACAAAGTGGCTGGGCACGCCAGAAACAGATGATCGTGTGTTCGAATCCTGGTTCGCCCCGATTATGTTTCTAGGTTTGTAAGCACCATACCCGTGCCTGTGGGTTTCATCGAAGTGGTAAATGACCGAGAACTGCATCACTTCGGGCTTTCCTCCCACATTAGGCTGACACGCTCACTGACTCACTCACAACACTTTGCTTCACTGCTCACTGTGCGAAATGAGCCGTCGCTTGAAGCGTTCGGTAAATTATCAATGTGAGGCGATTAGCTTAGCATTAGTTGAATAAAAAATCGTTCTATTAAGCAACGCTTGTGCTAACGCTTTGGATGGATGCATTGGAGTAAACGCTCGTTAATACTCTGGCTACACTTTGCTAACGCACGTGCATGTTCTCTCTGTTCGTATTGTCTATCCTTTGATCTAACACGTGTTAGCTCCTTATTTGGATAACGGCATATTGTCACGTGGTTTCAGAGTTTGCTAATTGGGTAAAACAGGGCGGAGAAGAATGGCAACTCATTGAACCGATAGATGGTTTCCATGTTAACCAGGTACGTACATGATATTCACTTATATAAGATTTGTCATGAACTCTAGATTCATATACTCTGTGTCATACACTCTAAGACATACACTCTAGTACCCGTGAAGATCCGGGGTAGAATAGTTCTTCAGCAACCCATGCTTGCCGTAAAAGGCGACTATGCTTGTGGTAAGAGGCGACTAACGGGATCGGGTGGTCAGGCTCGCTGACTTGGTTGATGCATGTCATCGTATCCCATTTGCGTAGATCGAAGCTCTTGATGTCAGTCACTGGATTGTCTGGTCCAGACACGATTATTTACAGAGCGCCGTCATATGGCTGGAATATTGCTGAATGTTTCATTAAACAACAAACAAACAAACATACACCAGAGTCGTATGCATTGAGTCATACAAGGAGTATGTTTCCTCGGGGACCTGTTTCTATTATCCATTCCTGAAATTGTCACCGCGTCTTTGGAAATGGGTGTTCGTCTATTCTTGACGTCGATGAATTAAAAACAGTAATATCATAATATAATTTAGACAATACACAGCTTAATCGAGGATGCCTTCACCAGTGCCCAGTTAATATGATTGGACGTCGGCGTAGAATGCCTGTGATACCGATGATATTTGCAGACACATATTCGTCTTACATATTTCAGATAGGACAGGCCTTATATGCGGCTGCGATATGGAAACATGTAGAGGAAAACATTCCGTTCGCTATCGGATCTC